TTTTTCATTATACAATACACATAAAATACATAATATGCACAGCAAATAAATCACAGTAAATGAATCACAGTACATAAGAAAATAAATATCAAAGTCAATGGTTCTCGAACATCTGTAACATACAAAGGATTAGTAACAAGAGAGGGGACACAACAATATGCACAATAAATAAATTAATAATATGCACAGTAAATAAATCACATTAAATGAATCACAGTACATAAGAAGATAAATATCGAAGCCAATGGTTCTCGAACATCTGTAACATACAAGGGATTAGTAACAAGAGAGGGGACACAACAATATGCACAGTAAATAAATTGATGGTTGTCGAATGCCTGCAACAAACAATGGGTTAGTAACAAGAGAAAGGACGAGTATGAGACGCGCGCCCACCCTCCGCGACGGCTCACGAGAAAGTGAGGAAGCTAACGCCGTTATGTATTGGGCGTACGCAGGTTTGTTCGTGTTGAATTGTTTTTGCCGACTTGAACGACCTTCCTCCTTGAACGACCCAAACACCGGATGGTACCGCCTGGTACGGCATACACGGCTAGGTCAATAAACTGTGTGACGCACGTCACTAGCGCGTTGGACCGACCGAGAGCACCGATACCGCGGCACGCTCTACCGTACTCTCTCGCTCGCACACCTCCCCCCATAGACCACCGAAATTCTTCGGCACGCGTCAACGCCGAAGGAGAGCATCGATACCGCGGCTCGCAACCATCGCTCTCGCTCGCACGCCGTAACGTCACCCGATTCCCGGAATCCCGCGGTTACGAGATGGCTCATTACGGTAAGGCATTACCGCAAGGGAAATTGTAAGCCGCCGGCCAAAAGGTAGATTTAACACGTTGAGCGCCATGTCAGCCATCGGTGGCTGACACTAGACTTTCCGTTTAGGCCGCGTCACCCATCGGTGGCTGACAGCGTGTAACATGAGAACTATAAAATTTGTTTTGTGGCCTGAACGGGATTGTCTTAGAAATACGCGTGGCGCTCAACGTGTTAAATTTCCGTTTCATGTTTCATGACTGTCATATTTATCCCTTAACCTTAAACTGAAGCATCGGATATTTTTATTCTCGTGAAAGCATATAGATACACGTAATATGCATGGAATATATAACACTTCATTGGTGCTAATAATACTCAGAATTCATGCTTTATCGGTAACGTCGGATATTGACACTAAAATGGTAACAGGGCTACGTAGCCCTATGAACGTGGGACTGGGACAGAAAAAAGCATTGAATGATAGGTCTATTCTATACCTAGTCGGTGGTGAGATGTACCCTCACGAGCAAAGTTATTGAGATATCTGACTATTGATTATTATAAAACAGTTCAGGAGCAATTTTTTGTACCATAATATTTGTGTAAAACAGTCATTTACTACCTATTTTGTTAACAACAAATTGTTACTTTTTCGTTTGCGAATATCTCATTAACTATTAACGGTGCTGGGGGAGCAAGTTCAGATTCGGAAGGAGCAAATTGGGAGCAATTTTTTGAAGTATAGATCGTTAAGGTGCGTTAACTTTTGGCGCCAACTATTTTCCGGGCACCAACTCCCATAAGATGAAATGTCTACTCCTATACCTGATCTGTGATAATATGTACTCTAGCTACGTACAGTAGGAGTTCGATAATTGGAGGCTCGTTTATTGATTGTTATCAACACTTCACTCACACGTATGTATTTCGCAGCATATGAGTGAATATTAATAGTGTCGCGTTTAATACGCATATTTTGCATCCCAGAAAGTGTGGCATATATAATATTATTTTAATAAAAAAAAGTATCAATACTAAATGGCTTTCGTGAATAATTTTTTTTTTTATGAATAATCATTCAGTCCACCGTATATATAGCTACGTCGTCGCAAGCAAACGGACGATTAGATACATAGCAGGGAGAGCCAGGGAGAGCGCGCGTGTGACTTGAGCTCGTTAATTGATCCAATCCTGGAAATTTGCTGCTACAATCCTGAGTCGATCAATTATCGAACTTTTACTATGTATCATTGAATATCGCAGTATAAGAGTGAATTCTAGTATTTCGGATGGTAACTTGACAACTACATATTTTAACCGTCAGTGAATCTATGCAACTATGTATGTACATATGTGTATATATACATACGTTCAATTATACTTTCAAATTAACCAATAATTGCAACTATGTATTACATACTTTCTCAACCTTGCACTTATATTTTATAGTTGTTATGTTTATTTAAGAAATTGTACTTAAAATTCGGGAAATATTGAAAGGATCGTACTGTTGATAGATGTTTTTTAGACGCATGCGGACTGGATATACATGTAATCATGACGTCATTTGCAAAGTGTCCATGAAAAAGGAGAGTAGGGGAAATTCGATGGACACGTGTGCGCAAGTATAGGTGGTATTCAGCAGTTTCAGTGGCCGTGGCAGTGTAGTGTCGTGTCGTGTCGACCGAGTACTTCGGGTGTGTGTCAGTCGGTTGAGAAGTCGGCGCCGTTGTATGCGTATGACTGCGGGTTGAGAGATAATACAGTGAGAATTTGCTGAAGCAAGGGTGGTGCTGTATAGTCGGATTGAAATTACTGCAGCCCATGTGCTCTGCTTGTTAAGATGCTCATCAAGGAATTGTAAGTTATTGGGAGTTTTTTGCCTGTTAACTTGGTGGAATGCGAGAAATAGTTACTGGTCAAACGTTTCAAACCAATTCTCAGGATATGATTACTAATCTTTAACCGTGGGTAGTATTGGAGGGGTGAAGAGGGATATATGTAGCTTCATCCCTTGCAAACCGTATAGACGATACGTGTTGTGCGATAGAAACAATTGTATGTATTTCCATTTCGGCCAGTAAGTAGTTTTCCTTAAAACGTTCGTTTGATTTACATTTGGTGTGTGAGTATCGATACTTGATTTTTGATACTTGATATCGTACTGGTATGTACTCAAGCCTCTTCCCTGTAAATATATAAACCACTTCAACTAATTCATGTTTTGAATATAAACATATGATTTGTTCATTTTTCTGTTACAGTCGCGTCACTTTGCCTCTTACAGTGCAGGAGGTACGTATTCGTTGGAAAGCAAGGTCTTATTTTAATGACCCACATTGAAGTGAGTTGCAATATTATAAACAAAAAGTCTAGCTTAAATTAGCTGTTACATCAGTATCGTGCAATTTCTAAGATTTGCAATTCATTTAATTAATGCTTGTTTCAAAATGTATAGTCACCTGAACTGTTGTTTTGAAATGTCGGTCTAACGTGTCTGACAAAATGTTATTTAATTGTACTAATTATGTTACGATACGTAATAAGAGTTTTTCTTGATCCATTTGTTACTGATTTGATCTGTAGTACTTTGAGGATCAGAAAATCAATAAATAGCACTAGATCAATTACACCTATAATATTAAAGCATTATTTATATTTTATTACTTGTTGTTATTTTATTTTTATGGTGTATGAAATTTTGTTGGTGACAGTATCAAGTGGCTCAGCTTTACTCTGTAGCAGAAGCAAGCAAAAATAATACAGGAGGTGGAGAAGGCATAGAGGTACTGAAAAATGAGCCGTTCACAGATTATCCTCTATTAGGAGGAAAATATTCTTCAGGTCAATATACGTACAAGATCTATCATTTAGCTAGTAAAGTGCCAGGTTTTATTCGTATTATGCTGCCAAAGAACTCATTGGAAATTCACGAAGAAGCTTGGAATGCATACCCTTATTGCAAAACTGTTATAACTGTAAGTAATTCTTAATAATAATAATGCTACATAAAAAGTTGTAGTTAATATTATAAATTACATGCAGCATAACGTTTTTTAAAGAAGTCACATAAGTTTTAGACATGCGTGTTATCTGATTTTACAGAATCCTGGATACATGAAAGAAAACTTTGTAATCATGATTGAATCCTTTCACATTGATGATGTTGGGAACCAACATAATGTACGTATGAAACTGTTAGAAAGAAGCTATGCCATTTCATTTTGCTTATTATATTCTTAATTTGTGCTTTATAGGTTCACGAATTACCTCCTGATAAATTAAAGATGAGAGATGTGGTCCATATAGACATAGCCAATGATCCAATTGCAAGTGCCGATTACAAAGAGGATGAAGATCCGAGTAAATTTAAATCTGTGAAAACAGGTAGGGGACCTCTTGTTGGGAAAGATTGGAAACATAACGTTCAACCTGTGATGACATGCTATAAGCTTGTCACTTGCGAATTTAAATGGTTTGGCCTACAAAGTCGTGTTGAGAGCTTCATTCAAAAAGCGGAAAGACGTCTGTTTACTAATTTTCATAGGCAAGTGTTTTGTTGGATAGACCGTTGGTACGGTCTAACTATGGAAGATATTAGAGCAATTGAGGAGAGTACAAAAGAAGAATTAGATAGGGTAAATAACATATTTTTGAAATTCCAATAAAGGGACTTGTTGTTTGTAACTTGCGTCAAATCGAAAGTTTATTAAAATGTTTTTCATTTTAGCAAAGACATGAAGGAGAAGTAAGGGGTATGCGAGCCGACGATTGAAGCTTTGACAGCCTCTACTATGAATAATTAAATCAATTTCCTTATATGTCTCGGATACATGCGCATACCTATGAAAATACATTCATATATGTTCTGTCACAGACGATCCTGCAGGATCGGGACAATTTCCAGAATTTACGTGTTTAGATTCAGTGTCTATTGAAACTACTTATGATTTTAATTTATTTAAATTTTCAAGCGTTTTAGATAAATGTACCTAAAGTCAAAGAATATAATATAGCCAATAATGAGAAAGAGAACTAATATAAATCGGTTCAATCTATATATAATGTGTAAAATATTCAGGCAAAGAGAACTGTTGGTTAAAAAAAAGTAATATAGGTGAAAAAAGATACATTAATTATATTATCTAACATTGTAGTAGTTGGATACTGAAAAGAATAGACAAGCAACTGAAGCTATTGTTTACAGAACACAAACAAAAATACTTGACACACAGATGAGTTACCGACTCGTTCATAGTTTAATAGGAACGCAATTCATGGTTTATGTCTTAGATCTATCGCGTTAAGGTTGAAGAAAACGGAGTATTGTCACGTTCGATGTAATTTCTGTTCGTCTAACGAATTTACGCGGCGTAATCTGAAATTCTTTAAGCCTTATACAATGTACAATAATCAAAAAAAATTAAAGAAAAGTATTTTAGCAGCTTTGCAAGCTGAAAATAATTTTGTGGTAATTTACTAACGTTCAATGTTATCGTCAGATTAGATAAATCTACGAGTGGTCAGTAGGTTATAAAGATTACGCTTCTCCTCGCGTTTTGTGTTTCTCATTAAGAAATTAAACAGAAACAAATGTGCAGTCGAATTAGGACCAAACTGATGGGTGTTTAATTGATCTGCGATTCTAAGTGTTATATTCGCATCAGTTGTTCATGGAAAGTATAAGCATAGCGAAATGCATACATAGTAATACTTATACACATATACCTAGAGACGAAGAGAAAACAAAAAAGAAAATAGTTATAAATATTTCTCTAACACTATAGCGACAGTGAACACGGAAGAGGTGTGTGTTATTGTACATAAACGAAGGCATACAATGAAATTCAACCTGATGTATGTATTATGTATATACTTACACGTATTTCTTTGCATTCCAATAGATCTCTGTACAACAAACCAAATACGACGGAGTAATATTCATATTGGCCATGTTTCCTTATGCAAAAGGAAGGAAATGATTCGTTTGAAGCATAATTGGAAATTAACTGAAACTGTCGTTTGCACAAATTGTATGTACACTGTTACCTGTTATACTGGGATCTATACATATAGTATAATATAACGATATAATAGTATTTAAGATTGCGTTAAAAATGCAACCTCAACGAGGTAACTATCAAATGATTTCTAAAAATTTCAATAACAGAAATATCGGGATTTGTGTTGCTTAGTTGTGTCTTTTAGTATTTAAGTTCGATGCACGATCTCATCGGTGTTCCATATCAATAAAAGCTCGGGGAGGGGACTCTCGGTTAAAAATATTACTGCGAGCATGTAATTACCACCTCTGCGCCAGGCGTCAATTTAATAGCTGATATACCAGCTTTTTGTTCGCGGTAAGCAGTATAGAAATCACGGATAGAAACTCCTGTAATGTCGTCAAAAGTTGATCTCGTAAAAGGAATTTGCATTTATAAATGTACAATTACGTTCTTTGGCATAGTTACATATGCATTTCGTGCATAGTTTTTGACGCGCGAAATCGTACACGAGAAAGGGAAACTGAAAGAAGCAGCAGTCATCGTATATAAAATTTACTGACTTCCTAGTCGTAAAAAATAAAAGTGTATAAAAATATTTTGCTCGTACATAGAAAGTTTAGGTAAGAAAACGTGTAACATTCGAAAGATTCAAACAAGATTGTATTCTTTAATGATGTTTCCGGCTATGACGAGTCTTTGTATTTCTGATGTACCTTCATAGATCTCGGTAATACGCGCATCTCTGTAATGACGTTCAGCCGGCATGTCGGTAACATATCCCATGCCTCCTAAAATTTGTATGCACTGATGACTACAGAAGGTAGACGTCTCGGATGCCGACAATTTTGCCATGGCAGCTTCCTGCACAACGAAACCGTCACTGAAATAATGTTCGGTCATACAAAATTACAGTGATTATCGTACCTTTCCATACGGTTTACCGTTGTCTTTGAGTACAGCTGCGCGCCATGTTAACAATCTGGAACTTTCTAGTTTTAGTGCCATGTCAGCGATTTTTTGTTGAATCGCATATAGCTTAATTATAGATTTACCAAACGCTTGACGTTTTGCTGCATATTCGACAGCACAGTCGAGAGACGCTTGAGCTATGCCTAAAGCTTGAGCAGCGATGCCTATTCTACCAGCATCTAAAAGTAATACAGTTGTTACGTTTTCGGATCTGGTACTAGTGCAGTTGCGTATTTATTTCATACCCAAAGTCATCATTGCAATCTTGAAACCCATTCCCATTTCTCCTAACAAATTTTCGGCTGGTAGTTTACAGTCTTCGAATATTAACGAACAAGTACTGCTACCTCGAATCCCAAGCTTGTCTTCTTTTTTACCAAGAGAAAGGCCTTCTGCAGGCTTATTGGCTATGAAAGCGCTAATTCCTCTGTGCTTTTTCTGTTTATCCGTTGTAGCAAATAAAACAATTCCTTCAGATTCATAGGCATTTGTTATCCACGATTTTGTGCCATTAACTACGTAATTGTCGTCATCCAAGATGGCAGTGGTGGATGCAGCACCTGCATCGCTACCATTACCATATTCGCTAAGGGCAAAACATCCAATTTTTGAGCCTGTTGCGAATGGGGCAACATATTTCTCTATTTGACTCCTATTCCCGAACTTTTCTATAGGTCCCAGGTAAAGGGAATTATGAGCACTCATTATAACACCTGCGCTTGCACAGCCTCTAGATATTTCTTCCATGGCAATAGCATACGCTAAATAATCTAATCCAGTTCCACCTGAGCTTTCTGGAACTGCTACACCCATTAAACCTAGTTCCCCCATTGTTTTTATTTGTTCTTTTGGAAAAAGATGCTTCTTATCAATTTCTGCTGCAACTGGTTTCAACTCACCCTCGGCGAAATCCCTACAATAATATTTATTACGTTAAAAATTTATTAAGCCCTCAATTTAATACTTTAATAACATTGATTGAAAAGGGCCATTATCAATAAACAGATAGATTTAAAGATAAATACTTGCATGTTTTGTGCAGCATCTGATGTGTCTCTGACAGCATTGACAGAGCAGCAATATTCCGAGTAACAGAATATAATACTGCGGATACGTTTTGAGTGGCTTGTAGAAGAAAAAAAAATGACATTATTTTTTAATTTTATATATACATAACTATATATGTACACGTTAAAAAAACTTACCAAGTAAACTTATTTTATGCATTTTCGTTTATTTATTGTATATTCTATATACTGTAACAAAACAAAAACTATTTATGGATTTTAACAATTCGACACTATTAATAGACCACCTGTCTTAATGTTACACTATTATTTGCTTGATAACTCAACTCTGTACACACTAAAAGTTATGCACTTATTTTCAAGCGCAATGGACTGGTTTCGAATGATATGTAGCGAATGTTGTCACCGTTGCATATACGTATGGAAGTACTTATGTAGATACATGTATAACCTTTGGTATAACGATACGTATAACGCTACACAATGGCCGCCCGTTTATTGCATATTTCAAGGCTGTAGAGCAGGCCTGGCCAACCCAAACGTTACAGAGGGGTCGCACTTTAGGTAAACATGCTTTTAAAAAACGTATACAAATACAAAATGAATAAAACTTTATTGTTATACTATGATTCAATATAATTAACTCTCGGGTCTTAATTAATGAGATGTTGTTTATCCTTTCTTTCACTTAATTTTTGTAAATCTATATTTATGTTCGACGTTGCACATCTTAGCTGGTTTTCTAAATTGGCATCAGTTAATGAAGCACGTGATGAACTCTTTGTAAATTTCATCTTCGAAAAAAATGTTTCACAAACATATGTGGATCCAAAAGCACGTATAACTCGTTGTGCAAAATATTTTAAGTTGGAATATCTCTCGGATTTAATATAAGTATTGTCATCATTCCACTCTCCTACATTACTAAGTGCAAAACCGATTCTTTCAGTAACATTTGGCGTTCGTAGATATCAAATATAGAACTGAAGTTCGTAGTCGCACTTGCGCATTATAACAATGCACATGCAAATTTTCATTTATTTAATATTTTTTGTATATGTACAACGAGAAACAAAAGTTTCAATAGAAATATAAAATCGCCTTGCGGGTCGCACAATTTAACATGGCGGGCCGCGTGTTGGCCAGGCTTGCTGTAGACTGTAGAGGGTCAGATTCCAGGAATTATGCAATAAACGTGCGCCAATTACCCAAGCGCTTTCCCCACCACTCAGCCGTTCAGTTGTGCGACTCAGCTATGTATAGGGTAGGCTGAATATACGCATTTATGGACATATCAAATATCTCCGTTATTTTTAGAGATATCAGAAAAGTTTATTCACAGAAGTTGTTTAATATAGAAAGGGCTATTACTTAGCAGTAAGAATTTTTTTGTAAGTGGCAGATCTTCATAGTTTTCAAGGTTAATTATGTTTTCTCTTTAATGATACTAAAACATTGCGGAATAAAAATATTTTTTTTCCGTAAATGGATTCTTCTAAACATTCTGCGTAATAAAATATTAAAGTGTTATCTGGAAAAAATAAATAATTCGTCAGATATTTTATATACAAAATAGGAAATTTGTCACAAACTGTTAATTATTTCTCGACTTGTAACAAAATTATTTCTGCTATGTTATGGTCCTTCTCATACCATATAACTTTTGTGAATAAACTGTTTTTTATATCTGTAGAAATAATGAAGATAATTAAGGTGATCAACATTGCTGAACCATTCCTTTGAATGCACTATAATTGAACAGTAGTTCCATTTATCCTTCTACACATTGAAAACAATGTAATGAATAATATGGAACAAATTGTGACGTACAAAATGATTAACAACTAAATTTGCTTAATTATCTTATTTATCTATAAAAGTTTAGAAAAGCACGGGTTAGTGATTGCAACAAATAATGTGCTGGACGACAGAATGGGGTGCGCGCACGTGGGTGAGAAATACGTGTGAGCGAAGGGTATTCCCATGCTACAATAAAATAGTCTGCAATAAACGAGCGCCTACTGTATGACGTCATACCTAACCTGTATGCAACAACATTATTTCAATTGCTCCCTGTTAATAAGTTGTTATTAAGATATCTGACCATTGAATATTACAAAACAGATCAGGGGCAATTTTTTGGTCCCATAATATTTGTGTAAAAAGACCATTTACCATCTATTTTGCAGACAAGAAATTTTTGCTTTTTCATTTGCGAATATCTTATTAAATATAATAGTTGCGATGGGAGCAATTTTAGATTCCGAGGGAGCAAATTGGGAGGAATTTTTTAAGATGAAAATTGTTAAGAAATACTAATATTCCGCGCCAACTATTCTTCGGTCGCCTGTGGTACAAAGTATGTACATACAGATACAGTGAAATGAAGATGACGGTCGGTCGTTACCGATCGACAGAGATCAATTGTCTGACAAGCTGTCAACGAAGAAAGTCACGTCATCGCACAACGTATTTAAATTTATAAGAGTTCTATTTAACTTGTATTAGAAATATATTGTACTCTGTTATACAGTTATATAATTGTATATTCTTTCTTAAGAAATTTGAACCTCGAAGCGACACCTGTATGTGTATACATATACACGTATATGTATACTATGTAAAAGAATACTTTTGTAACATTTTTCCTGAAGATGGACAGTATTGATGCCGGTCGTAGACAGCAGTCTGCGAAAAAACGTCACCACCCGATAGGGTGTTAACCTTTCAAACCTATAAATAGTTAATTTTAAGTTTATTGTGCATTGTGAAAAAAGGATTTATTATTTCATTCAGGATCCACTATTTTGACTATTTGAAAAATTTCGGAATTTTCGGAGTATGTACATACGTATGTATAGGTAGCTACGTAACGGTAGCAATCAATATGTTCGCCGCATAGAATGAGTGAAAATGTGCGCATGTACGAACGCTGTCTCTGCTCGATAATAACCAGTGTGTTTCTTCAGCTTTCGAGGGTGAAGTCTCGAAGCTGACAGAATCTGACTTAAGAGATTTCAGTTTGAATTAAATAGAAGAAAATGTCGAATAGCAAGTGTATTAAACAACCGCGTAAGAGTTACGCAAAGGAGCAGCAAGAAATGACCCATTCGGAGAAATTGCGCTTAATAGATGACGAATTGAATTCTTTCTACAAGTAAATTACTTTTTTTTTTTTGCTCTTCCTTTATTTCATTGTCTGTTTATCGATGATTGCAATTTATGTTTCGCTAATGTCATTCCTCTGTATCGTTGTAATAATTCACGGACACACTATGAGAAATAATCGTGTGCACTCCATGTGACATAATTTCTTTACCATGATAATGTACATTTTTCTATGTTGGGGTAATGCTTCGTAACATGTAACCATGTGATTAGTACAGACTTATGATGCGTAGGAATGATTTTCTCGTACACTGTGTATTAGAGAGTGAAAAGCAAATCTAGAACAAGGAATTCTTGTTAAAGAATGGTCGAAATGTTGAAATATTACAATAGACGTAGGAGAATCTGGATTCTACACATGTAGGTATTTATATGTAGATGTTCGAGTGCAGCGACATTTGTCTGTTTACAGGTATTGTCAGCAGGCAGGTTTTACGGAAGAAGAAATGGATATTATTTGTCAACCATTGGTGGCAGCGATGCGACGATCCTGGTTGCAACTAGTTTTTCGTGGTACTCTTGTGCTAATAGTCCTTGGCACTTTGGCCTGCCTGGCGGCGCAACTGGACTTCGTTGGAACTCATTTTACGGCGATTAGTCGGCTTTTCCTGATAAAAATTCTGCCAATTTGGAATTGGCAACCTTTATACTATGAGAATTGTATGATCAACAATCCTTTCTACAACGATCATATGATCACAGAGGACGATTGTGTGGTACGCTCGATAACATTAATACTAATTGTAACCGGTTAAGAGAGTTGGCAAGGTCTATCTCTGACAAGTGAAAGCGAAAAGAACGCGTTTGAGATGCAATTAACGTGGTAAAACTTGTTCATAATTTAATTTTCAGACTTGTGAAGCATTGGAAACCATTGACCGCTTATCAGATGTGAGATATCGAAATCTTGTGGACAATTACTTGAGTCGCGATGCACCTGCAATCATCACGGATGCGATGGATTCTTGGACAGTTATGAATACAGACTATTTTTGGTTCGACAATATTACTCACGTAGGTAGAAAGAAGCGTTTGTCCGAAAGAAGAATTTGTTTCCTTTTTGTCGCATAAATGTGTATAGAAATTGAATAGCAATTATTCGAGCTAAATAACTTTTATAATGAAATAGAATAAGCTTAACATTCTGAACACTTGTGTGCCGCGTACAGCTCTACTTGGAGAATGAGCGATTGATGGAAACGGTGCCTTGCGCTTTGACCTCAAATTTGAGAACCGGATCGTCCGATTTGGCAGCATTTCTGCGTCGAGTTCATTCTCCAGAAGTGGCCAAATGGTTTGTCCACTGGCAAAATTGCGATATCAATGCGGTAAAGGTACTAAGAAAGTATTATCAACGACCGTACTTCCTTTCGAGTACAGTCTCGCCAGCGCACTTCAATTGGGTCCTGATGTCTTCGGATTACAACAGTCCGAGTTACAAAAAGGTTGAATTGGATTCTGGACTGATCGCTCTGGCCCAATTGCGAGGAGCTACGCAGCTTCGTTTGACACCTATAAATCCGTGTAACAGCTCGTGTCCCGAATTAATAGCGGATTTGCATCAAGGTGAAATGTGTAAGTCACTTTTACTCGGAAGACGAGAAATTGCTTTGCTTTGTCTTTCGTATCCTTAAGACAATAACACTCGAATCATTCCTCGCCTTTTTCTGCAAATTATGGAAATTAAGAAGAGCGAGAATTTGGGATCAATTTGGAATCGGTTTCAGTGGTTTTCACCAATTTAATGTGGACATTGGAGTATGCACCGATGAGAGGGCTGGACAACATTGCGATCTTGACCGAAACCGTTTGGGAGGAGGATACGTAGATTGCGGTTTTTCGAACTCTATACGTACTTACATATATTATGTATACATATACACACAACCGTTTTGTTGCAAAAATTATTACCCAGAAAAAGAATTTAAAATCATTGCACACGAATGCATGATTATACTATGCCATTTTTTCTTCTGTTTCGTAAATAATCGTTTGTGACCTTTTGTTTGGCAAAATAAAATGACTTATGCAGAATATGATCATACATATAAGTACGCTTAGTTCAGTTTTCAGAAGTAAGTTACGGTCTGTTTACCTACATACATATAGTATGTATCTATGTATGTACATGTAGGTACACCCAGGAGCAAACTCGGCTTCCGCTAGGGGAAAAAGTAACGTAAGGAAAGGGCCTACTATCGCTTGGTATTGGAAATTATTGAAATTTATGCCAAATTAACATTCGGTTTAACATTTATTCCAGTACTCGAAATAAACTTACCAAGTGGTAGGAGACTTTTCTTCTACATCAGTTTTACCTACAGCGGAAGCCGAGTTTGCACGTCAGTGTGTACATCTCAACGGGTGATGATCACCCTATAATATGTACCTACTATGCAAGTATTGAACGACTACTGAACGGTGCCGGTCCTGAATACCTACTTGGCTGATCCCGTGCAGACCCACTATTTGCCGCCCCCTTATTTTGTTGAAATTAAATTTTAGGAAAAAACCAAAATACTTCTACTTTATATAGGATAAGATAAAGAAACAGACCCTAGACAAGTGCTGTTTAGGGTCTGCAACCGACGAATCTGCTTTGTTTTCGTAGAAAAATTAACGTCATCTTTTTATATGAATTGTTAAATTTCTCAGCTTCTGTAACGGTGTCATTAATGAACATATTGAAACAACATTGATCGTTTGTTTGTTTAACTTTAACGATGCACTTTTTGAGATTTAAAAAATCGTTCAAACATGGACACTTTCGGCTAAGCTTATTTTTGGGTTTCGAAGCATTTAAACATGTGAACATTCAGACCGTGAAGGCGACCTTTGACCGCCCCCCTAAATCGGCCGTCCACGTGTTCGCCATTCGCCAGGACCGGCCTGCTACTGGAAGAAAAAAAAAAAAGCCAGAAAGTTTTAAACGATACCAAATTTGTGAGTTTACAAAGTTGAAAAGGACTCGACGAGGATACCAAAAGTAACAACAAACAAGATTTGTTTTTTATTAATTAATCGTTTATAATAACATTGTGTTTTTGTTGATTTTTCTCTTTTGTAGCAGTTTCTTCTCGTTATTTCAGTTGGGCTAACAAGGAATAGATTGTTGTTATGCACCGATTCATAGAAAAACAAAGCGCAAGGTTACTCAATGACGAGACAAACGTAGCTGGCGACTTGACATGCTTAATCGATGCGAGAATTCGATATATTAAAAGTCGTACGTGTGTATATATTCGTTTTCATTTTGTTTTGCGCTACGTTCTTTTCATACGGTCTTAGGGTATCGATACAAGAGAATGAATGACGATAATTGGCGCCTAACTAACAACATCGTTCAAACGTGTTCCTCGGGTTCCCTATTTTTCGGGACCCCTTAGTCTTTTTCCCCCTTTTCGATCTCCTTTCCTTTCCTCTCTTGTTACACTTTTCCCTTTTTCCCTCTTCCTGTCTTTCTGTTTTTCGGTACCCTCCGTTGATACGTGTTTACTTTACTAGTCCACAAAGGTAAGCGTATATAAATACTTACACTTGTTCATTCTTTTTCGAATTCGGTCGGTAGGTTTTTTCCCGTTCTTTTCATCTGTCTCTGCGCTCGTAAGTAGAGTGATCTCGTCGAGCGAAACGGAGTCCTATGATTTCGAACGGAGCTTTAACCTCTCGCTGAGGATTAATAGTCGTCGCTATTTAACAACTGTCGGGGTATCGTGTGTCGTTTAGCTAATCGTTACCTAGATCGAAGTCAACGCGTACGTGCCTACCCTTTTTCAGAAAACGAAAACATACCTTCTCGGAAGAAAGCTCTTATAGTGTTCGTCTAAACACGATTTCCGACACCAATCAGTACCAAATTATTTTCTGTTCGTTCGATAGAGACAATTCGAGAGGTCTGCGCTCGAATTCAGTGACGGTGTGTTTCGCAATCGCCAATCGCCAATCGCCAATCCTGGGTCGACAATCGACGCGTCGTCTTACAATTAGATTCACCTTGCATCGGTTGTCACGATATCAAAAAGATTTTTATACACGAATCCGTTCAGCGACTAATATTATAACAATGACAATGTACAAGTGAAATACTAGACGGAACGAGTGTCAACGAACAATTTCATGATAGCAGGAATCTCATTTTTTCCGTCATTTATCCTTACAACCCCCCCCCCCACCGTCTTTCGCGTTTCGTTTACATACAAATTAAGTATGTAGTTGGTTACGTCGCACTCGATCATTTCGATCGCGGCTCGGTTTACTCGACTCGCGTTCAATTTCCGATTTTTGTACCTTCAGAGATCGATTCGGCTCGATCAGCCAAAGAGAAGACACAGAACTTTTTACATGTAGTTGGACAATCGAAACGCCTCTCCGTAACCGTTTCTCGTACACGTTACTTTTTATTCGTTCGGAGACTACTCGTGTTGCTCGCCATATCAAACATCTATCTAACACATAACGAGAACGGAACCGAACGGAACCAGGGTGAGATTTGCGCGTAGCACGTCCAAGGTTACGTTTACTCTCGTACGATGCTCGATATTCTTTGATTCGGCACGGTGACCTCGGGCTGAATTGTGAATCGTTTTGGTACATACATACACATACATATGTATAGGTACTCTCCGTGCGCGCTGTTTCTCGGGAACCGAATGAAACTCGATAACTCGCGAACAAAGTGGGAGAAAAGTTATGGAACAGAAGGGAAACACGAGCGCTGAGGGAATGAAAGACGAAGGCTATAAATCCGAAAGTCTATGCAATAGTACCAATTAATACATTCACTACCATATTCGAACAGAGTTTTAATTCGCGAGCTGCTAATCATTTACTTGTTTCTCTCGTTAACGAACAATTTCGACAAGTCCGAAACGTTTCGTTCGCATCTCTACGCGAATCGACTTTGCGCGGGTTCTTCGATTCAGCCCATTCGCCGATCGGTCCGTAGCTTCCAGGCAATCTAGACATCGGCCTTCGTACCGATGTCGCCTTTTGTCAGTCTTTTTTCTTTCTTACTCATTTTGACTCGTTTTCCTCGAGTGTCGGCTCGGCTGAAACAATGTTACGCGTCGTCGGATATGTTCGCGGTGAAGATTTCTAGCGGTACACACACACACACACACACACACACACACACACACACACACACACACACAGAGAGAGTATACCGTACACCTTTCATCGAATCTTTGACCGTAGATACGATAGAAAACGTTCGCGTTCGATAGAAAATATCTTGAACGAAGGAAAGGGTTTTCTCGGCTAAAAAACACTATGGACCGTCCTATCGAACGACGTTCGTGTTTAATTGGGATCATCTCGAAAACACTGCCAACCGATCGAGAGTATGTCACCGAACGAGATATGTTAATAAATGAATGATACATAACGATTGCGTTGTCGTTCGGAAGAAATGTTACGTGAAATGTTGTCGAATGGTGCCAACGGAACTGCATGTCCGTACAGTCCTCGGAATTTTCAATTCGTCCGAATGCATATTCGGGTTAAAAATGCGAATAGCGCAACGAAAACCATTCAAGTTCGACGGTAAATCGCGCACAAGCGTCGCGAGTATGCGTTCGAGCGTTCCGCAGTGGGAAGTACGAGGAGGTTTGCTTTCCGCTTCCATCCGTTTGTACGTCGAGAAACAACTCGATCCTTGGCATGCCTACCGTACTTACAATTCTTATCCCTGTCTTTTTTTATCGATTTAATTACAGTCCCGAAAGTGACACCGATTTCAAATTTCTACATACGTACGGGTGACGAGTGAAAAACAGATAATGTTGATAATGATGACCCGGCGATCCTGTTTCTTTTAACGCTTGCTCGTTCAACGTAATTTAACGCGATCGATATCGCAAAAACGAGACTCGCGAATTGAACGAATTTCTTCTCAATGATCCCACTGAAACGGATCCGACACGACACTAAACTGGTGAAACTCGTACACCGTCAATGGATTCTTCATTTCAAATGGAAAATTAATGAAATTCATCGTCACGATTATGGAGACTGACTCTGGGGGAAGATGGTTGGAACTCCAAAGGACGTATTAATTAGTTTTTCTTACACTGCCGATAGATTCGACGTATAAGAAAATGCTTTAGGGAAATGTTCGCTTCGAATGATGTCTTTCGAGAAACCAGTACACATACTATATTTACATACGTATACGCGTAGGTATACGTAAACCATAAACCATCGATTACACGAAACACGGGTATTCGAGTCGTACTAGCCATTTCACGGTGCACAAACAAACCCATCGAGAATCAAAACCGGAGAAGGAAATGAGAGAGACAGAAGTGGATGATGGGCTTGATACGAAGAAACTAAAATATTTTCGTAGATGCGTTCGTACGCGGTGTTTGTATTTTTAATTGAACGAATAAGAAACGAAGGATCAATGACGATTCTGTTATTCTTGATTTTCATCTTATTTTCTCATGTGAGATCACCTCGTAAATTTTCTGTCACCTGTTGCTGAACACCACGTCTATGGGACACACGGTACCTAATTTATTCCACGAGTTGCTAAATTATAAACTATACTCTTGTCGATTTTCATCTAGCTCCGTGTCGACGAAACAATTTTTCATGTCCCTTTCTCGTCGAAGGTTTAACGCTTTGGACCAGTGATGAGCAACTTTTTTGCAGTGGGCTAAAATTGAAAACCCGACGATCCGTATACGTTGCCGCTGCAACCGTAACCGCAACCTTAGAAAACCTAATTTTATTAATTATTTCATAGATTCGTATATCGTACTAAACGCAAAAATTCTTCACTTTAGCTGATTGAAGTGAGGCACAACCAAGTTCGCCGGCTCACAGGTTGTTCATCATTGCTTTAGACGAAAGAGAACACGGGAACGAAGAAAGGCTCGGGCAAATGTAAGTGGAGGAGTACATTCCACGGGTGGTTAGTAATGAAATTCCTAACGAAGAACTGTTGTTCTGTTTTACGAATGAAATATTCGAGACAACAAAGTATAACACGTAGGTAATACGATTCTCTACGCGCGGTTCAAATGCTATCCGATTAACCGATATGTACCAATATACTCCGGTCTATACGTATCCGAATAAGGACTCCGTCCAACTAAGAGAAGACATTTTTCCGGTACGGTAGCCGGATTACCCGTTGTTGTACGATTACTCGTATCCCTGAGCGGACAGTTGGAAATATCGCGTGGCGAGATGATACGCGACTCTTGTCCTCGAATAAATCGTTCGCGGTTAGCACGCCTCCTGTCTGCGAATCAAGATTATATTGCCGTAAGCAAGGCGTTTAATTCACCCAAATCCGGGCTGTTTGCAATAGTATATTGTTCTCTGTGGAAAATTTCCTCATCGTTGCGCCAAGAAAAATGGCAGAAAATCGAAAAAAAAAAGGGTAAAGGTACAGAGCAAGGTTGGAAGTACGAGACGGTAAGATGGGGGGGGGGGGAGGGGCGAGGAGACAGCAAAAGGGAAGAAAGTTGATGTAGACAAACGACAACTATAACTGCAAAGAAGATGACAAAGAAGTGGAAAAAGAAGTCGTAGTACGAAAATTTTTGCGACCTTATCTTTGTCCTCGAACGAATCGCCAATCGCGTAACTCTAACGTCGAATTCGATTATTCGAATGATAATTTCGCGAAGAACATCATTGAAAAATACTAGAGAATATTTTGTTGCTTTCAAGGTATAAGATGGTCGACCTCGTGGCTCGAAACTCGAGATAGAATCGGTGGAGAGGTTGTGAATTTTATTCCGCTCGTTCGTGCGAGCAGAATTTTCGATCGAGAAAACGATGAATCGAAACAACGATTGGTACGTGTAACAAGATCGAGAGCATCGGGTCGCCAGCAGCAGCGGCAACAGCAGCAGCAGCGGCGGTGGCGGCGGTGGCGGAAATCATAGCACACGCATTCGCTATGTATCGCATCGTATCGTTTAGGGTTATACACGAAGAGTTGATCGGAGGAGACGCATTCGTCGTAGGTTCCTGCCTGCGCGTCTCGCTCGGCCTGCACGATCAATTCTCCGCGATATCGACTCGTTGAATGATGATCGAGCTCTCGACGAGGAATGGTTCGGGGCCCGGTGGGAACCAGCAAAAGCGGTAGGATAAACGGTGGATAGGAGATAAATCGGAGCCAGCGACACGAGCAGGATGTTGGCTCACTTGCCGAGACCAAACTTCATGAAAATCAGTTCCTTCCCTTTCGAGAGAATATCGCCGCCAGCGCTCGCACCGGCCATCTCCGTGAATTTCTGCATCAGGTTCGGCCCTGTACTTTGTTGTTGCTGCTGTGGTTGTTGTTGTTGCTGCTGCTGTTGCGACTGCTGGCCTTGAATGTTTGTCTGCGGCTTCGACTGAACCGTCGGCAACACGGTCGGTATTCCTCTGATCGGTTTGCTCGTACTCTGAACACCCTGCATTGTCGAGCCTTGATTCTGTTGTTGTTGTTGTTGTTGTTGTTGTTGTTGTTGCTGCTGCTGCTGCTGCTGCTGTTGCTGAGTATGTGCTTGCTGAAATTGCTGCCCCTGTTGCCCGAATCCCGTGCCCTGTTGCTGATACCCTTGATTCGGTTGCTGTTGATAGCTTTGATTTTGCTGACTCGCTGGTTGTTGTTGCTGTTGCTGATACGGTTGATTCTGTTGCTGATAGTCCTGTTGTTGTTGTTGCATGTGCTGTCCAGGACCCTGCATGCCTCCCGGCGCGTTGCTACCACGATTGATCGCGCCTCCCCTCCCCTTCCCCTAAAAATCAAAGAGCGTCCTCGGTTAATCGATGGAATTTTCGTCGAATCACCATCTTCCGTATCCGTATGCGTTCCCCGCCGTAATCGAAACTTGCTATTTTCATTCGAACGAGTCGAGGCATTCTCGCGTATCCTGAAAAGTTCCAGTCAAAATTCTGTTTGCACTGGAAGATTTCTTTTCTTGCGATCCATCGGTTAAATCCTAGAAACAAAACTACAACGAGTCGAGTAACTGTGTCGCCATTATTCTGCGATCCCCGATGCTATCGCTAGATACAGTTTTAAACGATGCTGATTATCGACATTTACAACTTCTAGACTCTAGAGCGAGTAGATATACCTACGTAGAATACGTTCGACAAAGCCGCAACACTTTCATCTATCGTTATTGCGAGCGAAAGATATACATACATACATACGATACATACATAAGAGGGATCCGTATGTCAGTATTTCGTAAAATGTTTCTAGGACGTTGTGTTTCGAATCAAACCTTTTACTATTATGCGTATTGTATTTGACCGACGAGTCTGCATTTGATGACTGATACAACGATCCGAACTGACTGAATTTCTACAGCGACAAACATTCGTAAGCCGATGGATGGTGAGTATCGCCGATCAAAGGCGACTGTGAAAATGAAACTGTGAAAGCGAGCACGGTGAATAAAATGAGAAGAACGGTGCGAAATTCCGGTGAAAGTTGTCATTTCCGTAGAACCCATAGTTCATCGCGTACACGGAACTACGTCGATATTTGCAGCATGCTCTCATGTATGTATCTACGGTCTACGACGCGACGTGCCAATTAAAAGCACCGAATTGCAAGTTCCGGCAAAAAGATACGGTCACAGATATGCAGGTACGAGGAAAAATCGACGTTTCACTTTGCTCGATTTTCATACGAAGCTGCAACGGTCCGTCGTTATCGAACGTATCCGTGACAAAGCTCGTTCCATATTATGTAAACGCGTTTGCGATAGAGAATTATTTTTTTTTCTTTAATCAAAACGTAATTCTATTTAGTCTAAATGTAAACCTATTACGATAACGGTATCGAGTAATAGAGATAATTTGATTATCGACGATAATTTAGTTTAAAACGATCGACTTTTCTCGAAGCTCTGGTCCGTACATATGTTTACTATGCATATATTGAAAAATTGCTAATTTCTTATGCCCACTTTCTATTACATTTTCATTGCAATCCTTGATTCATAGCTACAATTCGTTTTCTTTGTATTTGCGATTCTGTGTGGTTAACGCAGAAAAAGATACAAGAAACACTTGAAACCTAACGAGCAACAAAACGATAAAAACAAAAATAGCCGTAACGGAGACGAAGAAAGAAAGAGGTAGATAGATAAACAGAGACAGAAAGAGAAGATGAAAAAAATATGTGCGCACATATGTATGTATAGAGTTCCCTATATTGGATCTCCCTCTCCTCCCTCTCTGTCTCTCTCTCTCTCTCTCTCTCTCTCTCTCTCTCTCTCCCTATAGATATATATGTACGTGCATATATGTGTAATAGACAAAGAGATAAGAGGGAATTAAAGGAAAGGAAAGGAAAGAAAGACAAGAAAAAAAAGAAAGAAAAGAAACGAAAAGAAACAAAGGAAATAAAGTTGAAGCGCAAGTATTCGTAGCACGTCGAAAAGCACCGGTGAAAAGTTTCGGATAGAGCAGTGAACTCACCTGCTGTTGAAGGTGAAGTGGTACGGGACCTTGCTGATGGGCACCCATGGGTGTGGGCCCATGTTGATTGGACGTGGTTACAGTCGTGTAGCTGTGGTGATTCGCTTGTTGGTACGCTAGATGCGGTGGATTGTTTTGTTGATGTTGTAGTTGATGTTGTTGGTTGTTCATTAGTGATGGTTGTTGTTGTTGTTGTCTAGAGTCTAAGTGACAGACAGGGACAGACACAGGCACAATGCAGGCATCTAGCAACAGAGAAGAGAACAGAACCGTGTTGTCATTCATGGCGCATTTACTTTGTTTTCAAATGAACATTCATGTACGCGATTTCGGCAAACATGTTCGTTTTCATTAATAGTTCAATGTCCTTTGTCGATTTTTGCAAATACGAAACATGCGAAACGATTCATATCGAGTACATGATAAAATGGACGTTCGATTTAGGCGGCAAACCCTAAACCGAAACGTACGTACAAATCTTATTTCCTGAGAATTTACGCATCAAGACACGAAATGTAGCGTTCAAAGGTTTCAGTGTTCTAACATTTAAATGGCCAGCTTGACAACACGACACGAACGACAATCTTGTGACACGACGACCATCGACCAGTTCAGGCACATAGAAACAGAGTATATCTTTATAGATAATACGCTACATATGTAATTATACATATATAGCGTAAACATAACACGTATATGTATATGTATAGTAGATGGAGAAAAGGGATATGCACGTAGAAAATTAATAGAGCGAGAAAGTGCTCAGAAAGAAAAGATATGGAATAATATACATGTGTACATATATGTACGTACGTACGTACGTATTTATGTATATGCATGTGTATGTGTATGTGTATGTGTATGTGTATGTGTATATGTATATGTACGTATGTACATATGTTGTACATTTGTATGCATGTACGTAATCGTGTATCTGTGTATACATATTTATGTTCGCATTTACATATGTACGTATGCGTTTATGTAGTCACGTTTGTACATACTTATAGTTTGTTTTTCGAAAGAAGAGACTTGCGGTAAGCAGTGGCTAATTTGTTTTTTTAGCTTGATCAGTTTCTTTCGATTGCCTGCACGTGCGTCCCTATATATGTATTACAATTTTTTGTGTTTATCGCACAAGTATCGTTAACCACTTTGACAAGGCCCAACCCATGCGGTTTCCATGGTAACTAGACCGCGCGACGAATCTTATTGGGCATTGCATTCGACACGCGTCCATGAATCCTCTACTGCCCCCGACTTTGTTTGATCGAGCAAGTGAGCGAGACCGTGTTGCGTTTAAAAACAGAAAGCGACTCACGCTATGCTTTGTAGCAAAAAGGAAAAAGCGTCGCACGAAATATGCAGCGAGTGAGTTGGTATCCTTCGATGCCACACGCATGCCTGCCTGCCAGCGAGCACGCTTCAGGTCTCTTTTTTTCGAGAAACAAACTACAGTAGAGAACACTGAAAGCGGCTTAGTATTTTAAATTATATACATATATGTAGTACATATGTATGTGTATAACTGTATATATTATATAATTTTTTATATATAATATATACATGTATATGCAGAAATACGCGCACACACACACACACACACACACACACACACACACACACACACACACACACACACACACACACACACACACACACACACACACACAGGCGCACATATATATTTACATATATGAGAAAAGAGACAGATATACGGATAGATAAATAGATAGATAGATAGATAGATGGATAGATGGATAGACGGATATACGGATAGACGGATAGACGGATAGATGGATAGACAGACAGATAGATAGAAAGATAGAGATAGAAATATCGCTTTGCATACGACAATACACAAGTCTTGAAAGAAATAGAACGGAGTAAAAAGAAAAAACAAAAAACGGCTGCAAATACAAAAACTGAGTTGCCGCATGGCATGAATACATTGATAGTTTTTTTTTTCAATTTCATTGAGTCCCTAGAAATTTATATCGTCGAAGAGCTACTTAAATATAATTCCCTAAATTCAGAAACACCGGATGACTTACTGAAAATTGCCATCGTTGTTACCTTAGAAATTTATACATATACAATTTGGCGGTCATTTGTCAAGTATCGTACGATCCTATAAAACGTCCAACTCTTCGATTCGATCGATGTCGATCGGGCCTCGCTATATCGCTCGATCGTATGGTACAAGAGCTTGTGTGACCCTGCTGCCTGTCGTCTGGCGCATCTAATTTCGTGTCTTGTGTTGTTTGCCGTTTACGTATTCCGTATTCCGTATCACGTATTTTATTCACACTGACGTCCGATTGTTTTGCCCGAATTGTCATTTCTATTTTTCCACTCTCTTCTGTTTCGCGCGCTCGGGTCTTTTTTCCCCGCTCGTTTACCAAAGAAATTCGACCGATCGCATCGACCGAATACCCAGTGCCGCGCCAGTGTGAATGCATATTCTAACTCCTCGAGCCAGTCGAGTTCGGTTCTTTTCTGTAACCGAAAAGACACGCGAAATTTTCGCAAGTTTTTCTGCTCGATACTGATTGCAAGTCGAGTGGAGCTCGTATCCGCTGAGACGCGTGTCCATTTCAAGTTCGAGTTTTGATTTTCGATCCTGGTTGAGAGTGTCGCGGCTGGTTTTCCGCTGCTCGTTTATCCATTTGCCGTATCTTAAATTTCGTTTATCGATCGTTTATTCGTTTACTGATCGAGGACGACCAGGGAAAGCTCGGTTAGATCCCGGTTAGATCCCGGTTAGATCCCGGTTAGATGTCGGTTAGATCTTGATTAGATCTCAGTCTACGTGGCTCGAGGAGCTATTCGAGACACCGTTTCCAAAGAGCAACAGATCGAAAGAACGAACGAACGAACGAACGGCCACACCATTCGAAGGTGTTACGTGCTTCGTGTTACCTTTGCTTCGTCGATGTCCCGGCGGAGGTGGTTCCCGTGGCGGGGGCGGTGGTCCTCTGGCGCCAGGCCCTTGACTCTGATTTGGAGGCCTTCTGCTCCCCGGTGGAAGTTGCCCTTGCGGCGGTTGGTCGGGTGCTTCGGTGAGGAAGTTGCTCGGAACTAAACCGCGGACTCCGTTCAATTCGCCCATATAGAATCCATCGTTGTCCAAATCACCATAAACGTAAATCTCGTTTCCGCGTCGAAAGTTCAACTCCACTTGCTGCGAGTACGAGAAAGGGGAAAGGTAGGTATACGAGACTGGCACGTGCATTTCGACGCAGGAAGCGTACTTATATGTAGTATATCGATATGACGTAAAGTCAACGAGAAGCAATTGGGGGTACGGAACAGGTGGAAAAATAAAGAGAAAACTGTGTGTGAACTGAAAGACACTTACCGAGTCGATGTTAGGAGACAGTTTGTGCGGATCGTAGTCGTAGAGCGCGATCATCTTCTTGACAGGCATACTGGCGTGAATGTCTCCCCACCTGCTACTCCTTCCTCCCTGCCCCTGTCCCGATTGATTCGGATCATCGATTTCTTGCACCATGTTGAAAGGAATGTACCCTTGTCTGCCACGACATTCTCCCCAATAAAATCCGTCCGCGTCTTTCTCACCATACACCTACCGAACGAATCTGTGAGCGGTGCTGGGGATCTTTGAGAGTTCGGATCCGCGAAAGACGGGCGAAAACAACGAAATAAAAACCTTCAGCGTATCTCCGTTGGAGAAAGATAGTTCGTCCTCGCAGGCGTCCGGGTTCGGCGACATGATTTTCGGATTGTAATCGAAGAGAGCAACGAACCACCGAATCCTCTTGTTCATTTGTTGACCGCTACTCGACGGATGACCCGCTCCCCCTTGAGCTTGCATTCCTCGGCCGCCTCGATATCCGGGACCTCTGCCTCTTTGATTTACTATATAAAAAAAGAAAAACATCCCGTTTAAACCGTACGGATGAGAAAAGAAAGAAAAGAAGATTCCCTCCCCTCTTCGGAAGGGCGAAACGTTTCGTGTCGCGCATCCGATTGCTTAGACCTTAGATTTTACAACGAGTAACTCGCTTACCTGACTGATCGTAATAAGGATCCTGCGGTCTTACACCGGGCCCGCTTTGACTACCGGAACCCATTCTTCCGGGTCTATGAGTTCCAGGAAGTCCTTGTTGTCCCATCTGTGGTCCGTATCGCGAATGATGCAGCGGCATGCCCCGACCTCTGCGCGATGGATCATCTTCTTCGCTGTAATTCGCTTCGCTTGCCGAGTCCTTGGTGATTTCTGGAACTCCTACGCGACAAGTAGGCAACACGTGGAAATGTTGAAAAAAGTATGAACGCAAGATCGTTGCCTATAATCACAAAGTAAGAGTACCTCTTTCGTCATTGGACGACGAAAGTGTAGGTACACTATGTAGATATCTCGAACCGAGTCGCGATAATAGTGTGAGAAAGAGAGAAAAAGTATTTCGATGAAAGTGAGGGAAAGATCTCTTACCCATGTGGGACATGCTCTGTCCAGGATAGATTTCTTTGTCGGATAAATTCTCGTCGGTTTCGATGATGATTTGACCGTGGACGTCGACCCTCGGTGCAGCGTGCCTTCTCATATGCGACGGTCCGGGAACCGTGGAATACCTTTGACAGACTCCGGTCATACGCAATCTGTTCGGATCGTCCTGCTGGCCTGTGACGTTTGGCTGCTGTTGGCCCTGGTCCTGCATATGTTGGGTGGGTCCGTGTTGCAAATGGGCCACGGTGCCAGCACCGCCACCACGAAGCACACTGCAAGGAATAGCGGTGGCGCAACTATCTCCCGATTGGCTTTCCCTGCTCTTCGTTCTGACCGTGATATGTTTCGGATTCAAACCCATTAGTTTGTGAATGTCGACCAAAGCATGGTCACCGGTGGGGCTGTCTACGTCGGTCACCTTCTTTCCATCGGCATACACCGCGTAACCGGTGACGGCCGAACCGTTTAGGGCAACAGGCTGCCAGGTCACTAGCAAAGTGCCGTCCTGCGGTCCAGCCTCCACCTGCGATAGAACGGGAGAACATGCTGAAATTTACTTATCCTTCCGAGAAATCACAAATACGTGGACGCATTAGAGAGAATTCGCTACGAGTAAACTAATCGATCGAAATGTCGAAAATATTAACCTGGATATCGACCGGAGGATCGGGTAATCCCTTTGGTAATGTTTTGAAATGGACGTGACACGCTAAACTGTTTGCTGTCTGAGTGTTTTGGTCCTCGAAGTGCGTCGCTCTGAGATTCTTCGCTTTGACGGTCACCCGGTAAATCGTCGAGGGAGCCAAACCGGTGATCGTGTGTCTATAAACGCCAGGCTTCACCGTTCGAACTTCGACGTTGTTCACGCAAACCACATGCTGATGATTGCTGTTGCTCGGCAGCCACGAGATCACGGCACTGGTGGCGGTTACGTTCGATGCCTTAACAGCGGTTGGGCCCAACGCAACATCTTTGCCAATCACCATCGTACAGGCGGCATCCCGAGACGTTCTTCTCGAATGTGTCACCGCTCGTACGCTTATCCTATGCGGCTGTATATCGTGTGTCGCTTCGATCAAATTGTCTTGTTACACTCTTGACTACGCGCAAAGGATCTCCTCGCAACGCGACGGATACTTTGCGCGTGCCGCGTTCGAGAACGAACCGCTATCGAAACGTGCTTCGAACGGTCACGTACGATCCAAGAACATGATAGGCGCCGTTCAACGACAATCGTGTACGTACCCTGGTAGAATCGACTCCTTCGACCAGCGCCCTGGTTCTTTCGGTAGCTTTCACGGTAACCTTCAATACTCCGTCTACGTAGACATGATACGATTCGAGCTGATGAGTGTTTTCGGGCGGTGTCCAGCCAATTAGGACGCTCTTGTTCAGCTGCCGCTCGAGAGTGAGATGTTGTGGCGCCGGAACTAGGTCCGAAAACAGGTAGACTTCTTCAGGAAAAAAAAGACAAGACAAGCCTAGCTGTAGCTAAAAATCTCTCGCTATCTAGTCCGCTAAGCCAGCCTGAATCCATTTAACGTTCGATGCAGTGTAACACCGAGAGTATACCCTCATCGGTTCATCGACTCATCGATTGTAATACTTACTTCTCTGATAGTCGAATCGAATCGAATCGAATCGAATCGAATCGAATCGAGTCAAACCGAATTGAGTGAACTGTACTCGGATTATTGCTACTAAACGAAATACATAATTTGCTTTCGCTTAATGGTCACGCCTACCGATACGAGACTCGACATGTACAAGCGTATACATAGAGGAATTCGTACAGCGTACATATGTAGGTACATACAGATTGGTCACGATTCTGCTTAACTATCAAAAAATGGATCTACAGATTTACGTGTTAGGAGCCTTGAAACAACTACGAAAGACGACAATGACGAAATCGAGTGGAAAAAATTCGATCGGAACTACCACCGTATGATCGACGACGACGAATTACGCGGCGACTACTTTCTATGCATCTATGTAATAGGCAAACATGCTCGTCGTCGTAGAAGATCAGAGCGGATAGTACACGAAAATCTGCTAACCTGGTGGTTCTTGTTCGTCCTCTTCCGCGATGTTGTCCAGCTCCGCGTACGCGGACAGCTCAGCCTGCCGATTTCGATTTCCTTCTTCGAGCGCTGCCAACTCGAGATCAATGTCTTGCAGGAAGAACTAAAAGAAAGAGCATCGAGATAACTATAACTATCGCGATCGAGCGGTTTCGCTCGTCAAACCTAACTCGTAAAAAAGTTTACGCGCACAATCGGAGGATGCGGATCATCGAGTTTGCTCACATTGCTCATTTGGGGAATGTTGGTCGAAGCGGAATCGTCGACGTCTCTAAGACCCAGCACGGCTTGATGAAATTCCAATAGATCATCGCCGACTAACTTTTGAACGAAATTCGCGGGGACTAGACCCCGCCTACCGTCGAGAGTCTCCGCATCCAGAAAATCATCCTCGTCCGGTTGCCCCCAGACAAGAAGATAATCGCCGCCTTGTACGGGCAGCTCCGCTTCCGGATTTTCATTGGGCGAATGTTGAAAAGGCTCGTAAGTGAAACGGGCGATGTAAACGTAACATCTGCCTTTCCCGGGTATATCGAGCATATCCACTTGGCCCTCGGGTAGGATATTGTCGTTGGTCAGCCGATCCAAGGGATTCGATAGTATACTACTCGGTATTTTTGGCATTTGTCTCGAACTGAGATAGTGATGACCCGTGGTAGCAGTCGCGGTAGGCGAACTGGCGCGTAAGCTTTGCTGAATCTGCTGAATGATGGCCTGCTGCTGAAGCTGGTTAGCTTGGGACTGGGCAGAAAGTTGTTGCATCGCTTGCAACGGATCGTTTATCGTTTGTAACAAGCCTGTCGAAGAGAGAGAGAGAGAGAGAGAGAGAGAGAGAGAGAGAGAGAGAGAGAAGAAAGAAGTCACGGTACGGTTTTCTCGTCGTGAACGTTCATTTCGAGATTGTAAGTATACCTGAACTGACGCCAGGCGTGCCAAAAGCGTTGGTCCCAACGGTAGAGTATGTCGATCCGCTGGTGGCATATGTGCTTTGCACACTCGAGTACGGAAGAACAGTTTGAGGTACGCTGGTGAGCGGGCCGAGAGTCGAGTGGTAAGAGCTCGTCGAATAGGGTGGCAGCGACGACAATGTTGTTTGCGGAATGCTTGTTTGCGGAACAGAGAAGTTGTGATGCGACAATTGGCTGCTAAAGGTATTCACGCCTGTACTGTAAGTTCCATTCGGATGCGACGTTATCGATAAGCTTGGATAAGTTGTTGCCTGCATAGACAATGAATCGTTGTTACTTTTTTTTCTTTCGAACGAAAGAAAACGAAACGAAACGAAACGAAACGAAACGAAACGAAACGAAACGAAACGGAACGACGATAGAAAAAGAAATCGATACCTGTTGACTTCCGTTCAGCTGAAAGGTTTGGGCGGTCTGAACGGGTTGCGTGTAATGAGGTATTACACTTTGACTCGACGACGTCAGGTACGTTGTAGAGGCCGGATGTTGTTGCGATGGCGGCTGCTGCTGCTGTTGTTGTTGTTGTTGTTGTTGCTGTTGGAGCGGCTGCTGATAGGTTTGCGTATGTGGATAACTCTCCTGATACTGATTGCTCGTAAAATGAGTGTGCGCTTGTTGCTGCTTCTGCTGCGTCGGCAAAGCACTTTGAGAATGAGAACTTGACAATTCGCTGTGGGTTGGTTGAGGTTGCTGATACGACTGAATCTTTTGCTGGAAAACAGGCTGCGATTGACTGGTGGAGAGCGACGGAGCCGGTGGAATCGGTTCACTGTAGTGGTACGGTGGCCCGTTAGGAGTTAGAGGCGGACAGCCCGGCATCATTGGCGTTAACGGCATCGGCGAACCTGTGTACTGTTCCAACGCTTTTATTACACGGGCGAACGAAAGCAAATGTATTACTACTATACAAAACGAAAAGAAACGAAAGAAATGAAAACGAAAGAAGACGCAACGAGACCAGTAGCAATATCGAAAGATACAATGTTCGTAGATTACGTACATGACCCATCTGCGCTGGAATTCCTAGGTTTAGAGCATGCGGATGTGGTGGATGTTGCTGATGTTGACTGAGATTGGGAAGATTTTCCGAGCTGGATCGTAGTATAGCTTGCGTAGTTGAGGGCTGTTGCGTGGTAATAGTTCCCCGAATATGATCCAACTCGTGTATCATCCTATTAGCGCTACGTCGATGAACATTGAATAGAACAGATGTTTTATTTGAAAATTATACAAATGGAAATATTAAATCACGTTTCTCGAGCGGAAAGTTAATGGCGTAGAATTTCAAGTGACACACCTATTGTCGTGTTCTATTTTTGCTATTATTCTGTCGATTTCGGAACCAGTTGGTGGCCAAGTAGTCGGAATCGTCGAGTGACTTACTACTGGGCCTCTGCTTCGAGCGCGCCTCAAGCTCGTTAGCTCCAGCGACAATTCTTCGTGTCTGACGATCTGTAACTCCGTCTTTTTTTCGAGCTCCCGTATCTTCGATTGCAGCGCTTCGATCGATTCCGGGCCCTGATAACGTCCTGCTATCTTTTCGCGTAATTGGTTCTGTACATCCGCGCGTTGTCGCTCCAGTTCCGCCTTTCGGGCTTCTGTTTCACGCATTTGCTGAAAATATCGTTCGTTCGTTCGTTCAACGTTTCAAGTAAAACAGTCAGGTATACCTACTGCCGCTCCGCGTCAGCTCATTGACATCGCGATTTCTTTGGTATTTGTTCGACGCTAATTCGCGGGTTTTGCTTTCGTTTTACCAAATGTAAAACACACCAGCCTTTCGAAAGAAACGATCCGAGAATCGAGCGATCGCTGTGTCTGTCGTTGAAGGGAAACTTGAGCGTCGCGTTAAAATTCGTTTAGAACAGCGATATCTGATGGCCTATGATCATCTCGTCGATACGTCCTCTCAAGGAGAATAGGGTCGCAGAAATCTCAGAACGTTGTGTCGTGCGATTATTACGTGCACATTAATTTTGTACGTAATAGCTGGTGAATTCTGTGCAAAACAACCGCGCTATACTTTTTTATTTTTATCAGAGTACCGAAAATCGCCTTGAGCGACGATGAAATTTTGCCATTCCCGGCAAGATACCAGATTAATCCGATCGTTGTGAACGAACGTGAAAACATGAACGGTTCAGTCGGCGCGTTCGTTTATTGTTGAACGAAACACAAAATGTTGCTTCCACAGGGTCGAACAGAACGGTGTCAGGACGGCGATCATCGAAAAATTCATTGCTAGGATGAGGTTGCAGAAATCAAAGAGTCGAAGAATGGAAGAATGGAAGAAAAAAAAACATTTGTAAAGTGCGGAGACAGTTTTAGAACTCACCTCGAGGATGGATTCAAGAATCGCGTCCTGCATGATGGTGGTTTTCGTGGAGGTGGTAGTCCCGACAGCAGATCCGGTATCCTGCAGCTGCGGAGCCTGAGGTGCCGTGGAAGCGCCACCTCCAACACCACAGCACTGCAACATCCCTGAAGTCTGAAACCCTCGCCCGTCTTTATCACGGCCGGTCCCTATCGATCTACCGTGTATCTAGGAGCTATCTTAATTAATTGGCGACTTTTGCGGGGCCTGCCAGGCTGCACACGACGATCCCACGATTAGGCGCACGATTCTCTAGGTGCGAAAAGGAATTTTTTTTTCATCGTGCACCCACGATACCCTAGCACACGGACGTAAACCGACTGATAATGATAATAGTCGGTCGGTTATTCGTTTCGCATGGTATGTCCGTGGAAGCAGAGTATACAATTTGTCGCGTTCCAACTCCCGTACATCAGCTGTCCGGCAAACGTCAGCAGTCCGATCGAATCGACGAATTTTCGGCACAGAAGTACAGGGTGATTCTCTCGCTTCACAAATCAAAGACTGTGCCGCTCTAAAGAACCGCCGCATCGGCACGTGTAATCTATCGATCGGTCCTCGCTGTTGGATAACACACACGCAGAGACGCCGTCACGGCGGTTCTTTGGAATCTTTGGAGCGACACGTTTCTTGATTTGTGCAGCAAGAAAAGCAACATGTACATACAGTAATGTCTCGATGAGTGCGACGTACTCGGGCCCGCTTCGGAGCATTCATGGCAAGATGGAAAGATTTTCATCCCCTCAAACCGAGCCTCGGCTTAGCTTCTCTTTACTTTGTTTTGATTGATTCCAAAGGGGATCGCCCCCCCCCCTTCCCCCGCCAGTGGTGGAAATAGCGCCGTTGCTGGTGTTGCATTCATCGAGGAATCACTGTATCTCCAATGTAGGTAGATACATCTCGAAAGATCAACGCAACGAACAGTCAATTCGTCTCTTTATCGAGAAACACGTGGTGGTCGGTTGGTTATCAGTTTTGGTAGCCGGTTGCGCCGGTGTACGGAGAATTGGACGGAAGTAATAATCAGTGTAATCACCGATACTGCATACCTTGCATTCTATGCGAATCGAGTTAACCCCACGATGCTTTCTGCGAATAATAGACGCGCTGATCGGTCTGATCGTGTCGCGCAAAAAGTAGTGTTAATCGGAAGTTCCAATCTGAAACCGACGAGAAATTCGAGTTTTCGTACGAAATTGTCATGTTACGGCATAACTGTCAGGGCAACAGGTTCTGAAGAGGAACGGGGGCGGGAATAGAAATTGCGAAGTTCTGTACGGTTGCGATACGGTTTCCATTTCATTCGCTTCTGTTAACACGGGATGTGTCGACGTTTAATCATCAATCGCCGCGACAACGTCTGACGTGCCTATGTAAAGGATTCCCATGCAACGCAGAATCACTGGCAAATCTAAAAGGTTCTTGTAAGGAGAAATTCTCATTAATGCATTTCAGATCCAACGTAATTCCATCAGTCTCTGCCTTGACGCATAGAATTCCAGAAATTATTGTGAGGTCGACAAAGTACTTGTGATGGCTGTGCCAGAAACTTTGTATTTTAATAACTTCGAATTGTTCCTGCGAGTAGAAGGGTGGCGTCGAATCTAAAAATGGTCGGCTACCACGGAGGAAGAAACCACCAGTGTATCGTGTTTGTGGAAACTCTTGTTCAAATGTCGAAAAAAGAAACGAATATTCGTGTATTTGTAACTCAGTTAGGTACCAGAATTTCCCGACACGTTCAGCTTTAATTCAATCTCGGGCAGGTTCAATTATGCTTGTGCGAACCGCCTGCTCAGCCGTCCTTTCAATCACCAGATCGGAATATGGTTTATCTCGTGAAAAAGAAAAAATATGGCCGAGCGTGGTTCAACTCTTCGAGCAGAAAATGTGGAGACATTCGTTACGCGTGACACTATGTATGTACATATACATATATCCGTATGTATATCTGTTACGTATCCACTGTGTCGTTTCGACAGCTTTTATCCACCGCGAGTTTCTACTCCGTTTCCGCGTTCACCGACCGAACCTGGCCGGTTATGTACCTACATACTTATAGGTAGGTATATCCTTGCAGTCAAGGTCCTACATAGTTGATCGAGCAAAATTCAGCTGAAAAAAGTAACGCATTTAAATGAGGATGTTAAACGCGTACATAGTACAACGAGTTGTCCGTCTTGTTTTACGTTTATCACGATGTTCGAGCTCGGATTAAAGTTTCAGTCTCGCGACATATTGGAAATTCTTACAACTAAAAATCTAACAAAATTCTGTTACGGCAAGGAACACATTTGGTTTGCCGACCACAATAACCGAAAACGATACCGTGGATCTCTCAGACGTACGTACTATGACAGAAACACACATTTCACCCGTTATTCTGGACGAAACGAATCACAGTGGTTGAGGCAGAAAATACAAGTAAAAACGAAAAACATCGTTATAGATTCCGTACGAGGTAGTGGCACAGCTGGGAAACGAAACCTCACGTACCGACCGAATCGTCGAGAGTTCACGACAAAAAAAACGGCCGGGATTGACGATCGAAGAAACACGAAGGAACGAACAGGAGAAAAACCCGTTGCATGTGTTTAAACGAGTCGAAATAACGAACCCACCGATACGATGACCTGGTTCACCGTCGGAACGATCACTCGATCGTCGTCTAGTAGCTCGAGATGGGATACGAAATTCGGATAGGAAATAAATGAAAGCGGCTTTCGGTAGGTCGATTGGTAGAAAAGGAAGAGGAAAAAAAAAAGGAACGGTATGGTAGGGTGTGAAGGTTGGAGTGGGGTTGGCTGCGGGGGTGGAGGACTCGTTCGGAGGACGAAAAGGAAGGAGATTTTCAGAATGAGTTTCCGTTGGTGGTCGTGGGCACGGGTCGAGTGGCGGCACGGCACTGCTTATTGATCTCACTACCAATGATACGTAGCGTATATGTAGACCGGTGCGCACGGGCCGCACACGGGACACCACCGACCGCACAACGGCGATACGTAACGCATCCACCACTGTGTATCACTGTCCCACTGGCCGGCCGTTTATGATCGGTGTGCGCGAGTACCAGCGACGGCGGCACCTATCATCGGACCCCCTCGATCATGGTACCGATCACAACCGATGACGACGACACTGTCATCGCCACGATCGCCACGATCGCCACGATCGCCTCTTTTTCTACTCTTCTTTCGTCGTGAATGATCCTCTCACGAGTTACGTTTAATTCGATAAGCTAACCCGGAATTGCTCTCCCCATACAGCATACAGCATGGATACGGGGTATCGTACGCGTTGACAAAAAAAGAGCACCTTCTCGCTTGATGTTATCGTTATCGTTACCGCTCCCGTTGCTGATCGCGATGACGGCACCATGAAACACACTCTTTTCCCGTAATTTTTAAGGAACCTTAACACGGGATCCTTCCCGGTGTGATTTTTCCAAAGCCTGAGGATACGAAACCGTTCGGCTCGACACTTTTATCGACTCACTCCGACACTTTGCAACGTATATCGTCGCGACAGCAGCGTAACAAATTGATCTCCTTCTGTTTCACGGAAACACACGGAAACGTACGCAACCATACCATTTCTCCCATTCTCTCCCACCCTTCCTTTCCCCGTACTTTTTCGACTCAGGACCAACAAACCTCTGCTTCTCCGTTTCTGTTCCCTCCCTAGCATTCGGCCTTACGCGGCGATATTCCGTTCTCGTTTCATTGCGATCTCAAAATCGGTGTTTTCTTTTCGCGGAACGCACGACACTTACGATGACCGAGTCGAAGCGATTGTGGCAGGCCAGGGCTGCTGCTGCTGCTGCTGCTGCTGCTACTGCTGCTGCTGCTGCTGACGAGCGAACTTCACGGGACTCGCGAGCTTTTTCACTCGGCTATCATCCCGTACAGTACAAACCCCAAGATCAGCTCGACCGCGGAACGCAGGCGGCAGGGCTGCTGGAAAACGGAGGAGGAGGAATATTCCCTCGTCCAGCGGAGAAAGGGGAAAATCGGTGGGGGCAGACTGGCAGATCTGGCGGGGATAGATAAGTTAGGTGGGGATGAAGGACGGGGAGAAGGACAGAAAGGGAGGGAGTGCGAGCGAAAGAGACAGGGGACTGGGTGAAGAGGAATCGTCGCTGAAAACCGAGCCGCGGGGGTAGGAACTCCCGTCACCACCAGATATGGGTCACTTTGCGATCGATGCCGATACAGAGCCCCTTTACCGCTAGGGATCGCTCGGCATCGCTTACGTCATTCCTACGCTGCCCTCGCTTCTAACCTTACATTTCTCCTTTCATCGTTTTATCCTCTCTTTCATACCTGTCTTCACTTATGCCAGGTTTTTTTACGCGCCACAATCCAACGAGATCTATCGCGTATATGTATGTTGCGAACGTCTGGTAAGGCGATCGATGAAAATACGCTTTCGATCAATGAAAATCAAAGATGGCGTTTCACAGCGACAGCTGCTCGAAGAACAGACAATCAGGCGATACACCCTGAATGTCTAGCAACCGATGCGATGGTTCGTCTCGCGGCTACACGAGGGTGTAGCTTTCACAAAAGACCAATCAATACGCGCGAGACGATCCACCAATCTTTCCCTCTCCTTTCACCCTCGATCGTCTTCGTTTCTCTATCCCCCCACCCCTCCTCATTTTTCACGCTCTGTCTCTCATACTCCCTTTCACCACTGCATTTCCACCTCTTTTTCTTTCTTTGTCCCTGTCTTTCGCTTGACCCGCCTACCCCCGTCTCCTACTTCATTCCGCCTACCGCCTACCCAGCCTGTACTATATACATACATACTTACATATGTTCGTATACTTTTCACCCCTTTGGCTATCTACACCTTCCTTCCTTGCTCACCTCTTTACGGTTCTTTCTTTCCTTCTTTCGCTCTAATTTCGTTCTAATTTCGCTCTAATGCGTAACGGCCTACGTGGAGAAAATGTTGAATGTACGAAAATTTTTTAATATGTCGATTGTCAGCCTCGTTTCTACCATCACCCCCACCAGCCCCTGTTATCCCCAGTTTCTTATCCTCGCGATCCAATATGTGCACGTATATGTACAAAAAGCTGTTTCAAAACTATATGTGAAACGATTCCTACTACATAACTGTAACATCTTTCACGACTTATATCGACGTACTTTACGCACGTAACATGGTACATCATACATATATCTATCATACCTTATGTGCGTTTGATACGCATCCTTACAAAATAATACAATAACGACACGAAATATCTCGAATCGATGATTTGTATTATTCGTTTCCCGACTATTTCATTGCACAAAACGTTCGTGACGAAATTACTTACGTCATTGATGATGAATAGAGAGAAAAATTATGGAGCACGGGTCGTACGATACGAAACACGGCCCTGACCAAAGCGCAGGCGTTCGTGCGATCGTGTGACGTCACGAGTCTAAGGCACGACGGCACGGGGCGTTATACGCTTATCAATGAACGTACGACGCCTACGGCGGATACCTGTTCTCTAGTGGCAAATACCCACCCTTACCCACTCGTCCATCCATATCCCATACAGTTTGCTCTTCGCTTCTTTTCTCTCCGTCCTATTCCAGACATTCGAATCGTTCCATGATGCTTCTTCGCCGTTCAAAAACTGATTCTTTCTACTTTTTCCTACAAATACATTTACCCATATGTATACTTGAACCGCTCGCCCATCTTTTCGGTCATACGTTTTGCTTTTGTTCCTGCTCGATCGTATCCGTACTAACTTACAACAGACTACGATTGCATTGCCTTCGTCGATTTGACAAATGTTCGAACCAATGAAATAAGGAATTCGAGCGATGATATTTCTAAACGTTCCGATAACTTTTGTTGTCTCTCAGTTTGATATAGTACATCTTTCAACAATTATATATATTTTGCATTTTTTACGTTCAGACACTTTGATCGTTCAAATTTTCGAAAACAATCGGGTTCTCCAACCTTTTCCTTAATTCTTCGTAACTAAAAATCTAGGTGTTTCCTGACTCGGCCTGATAACTAACAATATAACGAAAAATAATCGCATTGTTTGTCTATAGTGATGGTGTAGTACGCGCTACGTATTCCGTTCTTGTTATTATTATGTACAGGAAAGTTAGACTCATTTTTCAAAAGCATACCTATAAGTACGTACATTGAACTTTCCATAAGCTCCCCGGTAAGTAGCAGACTATCCGACATTTTTCAAACGTTCTACTGGCACACAATACATAAGATATGTATGTATGTCATTAGACTCTGTGCTCTTTCCTCTTTTTTTGCTCGCATTCTCTCCCTCTATCTCTTGCCTTTTATGTTTATCTTCCAACATCCCTGTCTCCCTTTCTTAACCTCTTCCTTTTTTCTCTTTATACATATGTAAGCATCTCTTCTTATGTATCGATGCAATTTGTAAAACTGCCAATAATACTTTTACTCGACGATATGTACATAGAAGTTGTTCCGATTGTAGATGTAATTTTACGAAACTTCGCGTGGTCGCATTAGGAAGCAGGCGAGAACACACTTATGTGACAGTATTAGAAAAAAAACTATCGGCCAATTTTGACCCCAACGCGTGTACTCCCGGGTTAAAACAATATATATGTATCGAGGAAAAACTCCTTTGATAAGGAGCCGTTGCTTTCCAGATTGTCATTCTAAAATACATATCCTTATATAAATACATAGAATAATTCATGGAAGTATATTTACGCATGTTACGATAAGACGGTGCGCATTCAACGAAAAGAACAACAAGATTCTTATTTTGACTACATATACGTATATTTCACTGGGATATTATACTTATCTCTGCTTGAGCCCATGAGCCTACAAAGGTTTATGCATTTGTGGTTTCTGCAGGCCTACTGTACAATGTATGTATGTATCTGAATTTATGCGTTTGCGCAGTTCAATCACCTGGCATCCAGATCCAGGCAACGCAGCGACGCGACAGAACAGCGGTGAACTACGGTGAATTGAGCAGCAGCCGACGAACGGATTGTATTACGCGCGCGTTTTCGAGTTTGCGTCCATTTGTGTCTCTCACTGATTCGATTCGGTAAGGCGTCACGTCACATTCTTTTCGGCTTACGGCTGCTCGTTTGGTGGGAAACAGTGGGACAAGTTACGTTCGTACCTGTTCGTATCGTAATTCGAGAGGTTAGTTGGATCGACCGTGGAAAAAGGTGCTCACGACAGTATAACACTGCTGTTTCTCTTTTCACCTCACTGACAACTGCATTTAAGTACGAATGTCTGATTCGTAACGCAGTCCAAGTATACGTTGATCCATGAATATAATCGTCACCTAACCGAAACCTCGCGCGTCAAACAGTATCAAATAAAAGGAACAAAAATTTGCATTACAAATTTTATTCCAACCATACTATTATATCGCAAGAAGTCCAGTGCTAAAAAGATTGCACATTTTTTCGTCGATTTTAACATGCTTCCATCGATCGCAGTTATTCTTCTTGTAATTGGTATCGCCGGTGCTGAGGATTGTAAAGGATGCGTCTCGTTGGACTCGTATTCCTTCGACAAGGTATTTCTGTTTTTGTTTCTCTTTATTTTGACAGTGATGCAAGCGTTTGTAGTTCAATTACATTTTATTATTTACAAGATCGCGAATATTCACTCCACTCAACAGTTGAAGTCCATTCAACGGTCGGTTAGTCACTTTTTTCATTTTCCTCGTCTCGGTGGTTATTTTGTTGCCATAGTTACAGGATATGTTTATACTAATTCGTTGTTATAAAAAAAATACGAGAGAGTAAAACAACGTCAATGTTTAGATCAGTGAAAAACGTGCATTTTCCAAGCAATAGTATCGATTCTATACACATGTGTAATCGTAATCACACAGAACCGGCACGGAATGATTTTATAGATTCCGACAAACCATACCAGACTTCAATCAATTGTTTCATACTATGCTTTACGATACATTAAATAAAACGAAATATTTCTTAAGTATCGGTATCACTAATTACTCGCTATTCAAATTTTATACCTACGATGACCAAGTTAATGATCAAAAGGAACGTAACAAAATATTTATGCCGCAATACAGGTAATTCCAAAATTCAAAGCTGCAACAGTGAAGTTTGACGTCGCATTTCCATATGGTGACAAACATATGCAGTACGCGGAAATAGCCGCAGCAACGAAAAATGCGAACGATCTTTTGGTAGCCGAGATCAGAGTGAAAGATTATGGGAACAAAGACAATTCTGATCTTGCCGCTCGTTATAACATAAAATCCGAAGATTTTCCCGCAGTTCTACTTTTCTTGCAAGGAAAAACCGAGCCCATTCCATTTGTTGCGGACAAGGACACTGATTTTACCGCGGACAATATCAAGCGATTTATAAAGACGAAGTCGGGCGTGTATCTTGGTCTGCCTGGATGTGTCGAACAATTGGACAGACTCGCAGAGGAATTCAAATTCAGCGGAGAAAAAGAAAGGAAGGTACGTAATATTTCTGAGAATTCCGGTATACCTACGATAAAACTTACGAAATTACTATAAAATTAAGTACATAGTAATATTGATGCTTTACTTTGCAGGAGATATTAAACAAAGCTAAAGTTTTTGAAGAAACATTGCCCGATGTGCAGCGCGCCGCCGCTAAAGTTTATGTTAAAACTATGGAGAGAATATTAGAAAAAGGAGACGTATTTGTTCAAACGGAACAAACGAGAATAGAGGGTATATTGAAAGGAAAACTATCGAATGAAAAGAAACGTACAATGGAGGAAAAACGCAATATCTTGCATTCGTTCTTGTATAGAGACGAACTGTAAAAAATCACGAACCAACGTAATAATACAAATTTTGTTGTATGTGTTTCTACAAGAATAACACTGCGCCTTTTTATTGTACATCCATCAACGATTTTAACTGCCATATTTTAAGGAGTTTGTTTTTGGTAAAGTCATTTTTCATCTTACTCAAAACATTCCATTATTCTGTATTGAAATTTATACGAGCGTGATGTGATTTAGAAAAACGATTAAAAAAAATAAAATGCCTAAAAACAGTACCAGGTTTGTAAATTCATGAGTAGAGCACAATTGTAGTTGATTCAATTTTAATATTACTACGTACATATTTCGTAGCAAAGCAGGAACCCACACATTTATTGTTTCTTTATAAAAAGATATATTCAAACGAAATTTAAGAAGACTAACTGAATAAAATCCGATACATTTTTCATTAAACAGCCTTTTGTTTACTATTTTCTTGTTATCGGTGAATTTCGCGTTTCTTTTAAATTGTTCTTTTTTGTTTAATTGTTTAATAGTATAAATGCTAAAACATTTTCCGCTAAAAATCACAGATAATGTACAACATTCGTATAAATATTGTCTTGTTCATAAATTCGAAGTTTATTCCACCTGTTTAGTAAAATAATTGCTAAAAAGTTTCCCTACAAATTTACGTCGGAATGTGCATTTATAATTTACGCCACTGTTTCACTGAACATGATCTCTTACTTCTCCTCTGCATCTTGCACCTGCAAGTCCTCAAGTTCCTTGGATACTTTGTCCATATCTTGTTCGTTCTTCGTTGTCTCGATTTCGTTATTTCGAATCTTTAAACTCTCGTTTCCTGTCTGTTTTTTCGCTTGCTCCTCGTTATCGGTACTTTCGCTGTAACTTACATCGCTGGAAGGTTCGCTATCGCTCTCGACGTGTTTTTCATCCATGTCGTTTTTGCCGGCATATATTTCGCATTCAGAGCCAACTATCTTCTTTGCTTTTTCGAATGCTTCTTTCCAAACAGATGCATCTTTAACAAAGAGAAATATTGATTCCACATAATTGGTAACGTTCATTTACTTACGGTCATCATTATCTTAAGGGAAATAATAAACGTACTTTCCGCGTTTGCAAATCGTATCGCGAGTAATTCGGGTTTAAGCTGTTCGTCCGCATAATCCGCCAATACACTCCATACCCATGCTCTATCACTGCCACAAATTGGCTTTAATTCCATCCATGGAGTTACAAAATGATTGGCACAGATTTTAAATGTCTTGTCTCTCCTCATTACCACTCGTACAGTGTTCTTTATTTTATGTCTTAGCAGTTTAACTTCACCTGTTCCACGTTCCTTCCATTCAGCAGGAAACACTACGTTAATATATACTAACAAACTATCGAGCCGCGACTTTTTCCGCAGACAGCTGCATATGGCCAACATCGTCACTTTCCAGTTTAGGGAAAAAAGGTTACAAAATTATTATTATATATTTATAATTGTGTATAATGGTAATTACTCTCAACAAAGAGTCCAGAAACAGAACTCAGAAAGTTTATTCTTAATAGGTCTACAGAGAGACTATCCCTAGAGTCGAATACATCTATTGTTAGTCGACCGGCCGTTTACGGAAGTTTTCACAAGGAATTTTAGTCGATCGCTCGATTTCGTGTCAAAAACATTAATTTAAGATACAGATCAGTAGCTCTGGATGGTTTAACTTTACATTTTTATCATTTCCACTTCATCTTCTTCATTACTGGATACCTCTATTAGGGGTAAAGAAATTATTGGTTCAAAGTGTATATCACTGTCGTTACCATCTTCTTCATTGTCTTGAGTTTCACAATTACCACCTTTTGTATTAACGTGGTCCCCATTTAACTGCAAAACAATATTAAATAACGAAAGGGTAATGCGCCGGTTTGAATGGGTTACAAAGGAAAAAGAAATACTTAAATTTCTTGTTTCAAGTTACCACAATACTTATCACAATTATTAAAATATGCGTAGAAACGCCACTATTTATTGTAATGCTTAAGAAAAGTGTAAAAATACGTTTGAAATTAGACGAAAACATACGATTTATACCTTTCTTGCTTTATTTCCGTAAGAACGCGGTAATATAACCTAAAGCCTCGCTTGGAAGTTTTTAAAGAAACGATAATAAATCATTCTTTACAACGTATGATACAAGATTAACGTTAAGATACGAATAAAAAAATATTTACCACATTTTCGGGCATCTTTTATGTGTTTCAAAAAATATATTCTTCGTTCAATTATCGAGTATCAGCAACTCCGGTCTGTTTGATAGCAAATCGCGATATTCGACGATAGATTCCATAACAATTCACAATACGTCGTATAGTGTATTTCAGATGGAAACAGTGCAGTACTATCCAATCCTATTGGTTGAAAAAGGAAATCTAAGAAGACAATCAGTTAACTGAAACTTCGTAGTTTTTTCAAGTGTAATGTTTCTTACTTCATTTTTATAGACAAGATTCCCTTATAATTTAAACAAATTTAAATACGTATTCTCATATACTTATACGTCGACCTCACGAACAAACTCGGCTTCCGCTAGGGGAAAAATGGCGTAGAAGAAGGACTTCCTACCACTTGGTACCGGGAATTATTGAAATTTATGCCAAATTAAAATCCGCTTTAACCTCTATTTCAGTACTTGAAATTAATGTTAAATCGAATGTTAATTTGGCATAAATTTCAATAATTTGTTCACAAAGGTGTTTATAGCATATCTTGCATAAAACTTGTAGCCATAACGTCGATAACTTTATAACAGGCATTGGACAAAATTTGGTTTTGCAGGTTTGGCTGCAGCCAATAATTGAGAGGTACATGAACATCCCAGTGAAATCTTATGTATCTTTACGTAATTGGAGTAAAACATTTCACAAACCAGGCTTAAATTGCTCGATATACTTGTGAATTTGAATAATAGCAATAGATGATCTGAAATGATCTTACAATTTTCCCCGGTGCGATCCAAACCACAGAATATCACAGTATAGAGGGGAGTATTGAGTTCCGTAACGTCTTCTGGGAGACACGCTGGGGCGGAACTAGGGTTGACGGTGCAGATATATGTGTTTTGTGGCTCTGTGTTGTCGGTTGCACAGAGCATGTTCGATGAATCGAGCAGTCGAACTGTACAGAACTGTATCGAGCAGGAAGAGGGAGTCGTTCGGGGAGGGGGTAAAAGGGAGTGGAGTGCGCGGTTGTCCGGGCGGCCATTGCGGGTACATTGTCCGAAACCGCGAATGCAATTGAGTGCTGTGTGCGACACCAGTGAAATCCAAGAAAATCAAAGGTCATTCCCGAAGAAAGGTGATTCGTGTGAAGCCCGGGACGCGCACGAGACCCCGGCCCGATGGCTGAATCCGATAAATTGAATATCGACGACATTATAGCTCGGCTCTTGGAAGGTAAAGTTCGTTTGGCCTGTGTGCCCTCTATAAGGGGGGGTATCATGGGACGAAACTGTCGTCCGCCTCATCCTTTTGCACGCGTTTCCTCCATCTTCGTGTTTCAATACGATGCGACCAACTTCCACCAACCGATGGCTATAACGTTCTCTCTTTCTCTCTCTTTCTATTTCTTTCTATCTCTTTCTATCTCCTATCGAGAATATCGCACAGCCTCACCTTTTATTTTTCTCCTCTCCCCCTTTTTTTTTTCTTCTCTTTTATCTTTCTTCTACAGTGTCTTTAGTCTTTTTTTGTTCGATTACGCAACTCTTAGTCAGTTTGGAATACGATGACCGACTCTACAATCGTTTGTTTACGCGAAGCGATATTGACAGTGCCTAACCGAAATCCTCACTTGTTGGGCGAGGCTTCTGTTCTTTCTTGTCTTCGATGATTACCCTTATACATTCCACACCGCAACTTTCAATGCCGCTTTCGCTCCCTTGTGACAGCTGATCTGCAAACCGATTCAAATATACCAATAAACGATGCATATTCGTTCCATGATCTGTCTTGGTATCTTCTCCAGGTCTGTTCTTATAACAAGCAAAGCACTGGCTGCACGTATAAACAATAAAATAATTACAAGTGCTGTAAACATGACACTTGCTCGAGTTCTTATTATTACTTCCTCTTAAACGACATAGATACATTGCTCTTAGTTTCAAGCATTTGTTTGTAATTAACTAACAACATTTTGGGCATTTACTTGTATCAGATGTAAATGGGGATAATTTGATCTTACAGTGCGAGGAGCCAGGCCAGGGAAGAATGTACAGTTGACAGAAGGAGAAATAAAGGGACTATGTCTAAAGTCACGCGAAATTTTTTTATCGCAACCAATTCTATTAGAGCTCGAAGCACCACTCAAAATATGTGGTAAGTTATCAGAAGTTTATGATCTAGACTTTGTGTGCCAATATAGATATACTATTTGGAATGCATATATATCAGTCTGCATTTCTGTATTTATGAGTAATTTTTTATTTTAAGGTGATATTCATGGACAGTACTATGATTTGTTACGACTATTTGAATACGGCGGATTTCCACCGGAAAGCAACTATCTTTTCTTAGGGGACTATGTGGATAGAGGAAAGCAGTCTTTGGAGACAATTTGTCTTCTCCTTGCCTACAAAATCAAATATCCAGAGAACTTTTTTTTACTCCGTGGTAATCATGAATGCGCATCTATTAACAGGATATATGGATTTTATGACGAATGTAAGTGGTTTTTAACCGAGCTGAATGTATTGTTTTGAAAAAAGTTAAATATTTAAATCGATGGTGTCATACCATACAGGTAAACGTCGATACAATATTAAACTATGGAAAACGTTTACGGACTGTTTCAACTGTTTACCGGTTGCCGCTATAGTCGACGAAAAAATATTTTGTTGTCACGGTGGTCTTAGTCCAGACCTTCAGCACATGGAACAAATCAGACGTATTATGCGGCCAACGGATGTACCCGATCAAGGTTTATTATGCGATTTGTTGTGGTCGGATCCGGACAAAGACACAATGGGCTGGGGAGAGAACGATCGTGGCGTATCGTTCACGTTTGGAGCCGAAGTTGTTGCCAAATTTTTACATAAGCACGACTTTGACCTCATATGTCGTGCTCATCAGGTATGTGTGCCACATTATATGTTACATCGTTAAATTTAGCACATTGGTCGTTTAACTCGTTGCGTCGCGTGTCTAAATCCTATTAACGGATTTATGATATGCCGGATTGGAACTTCAATCTCGCACATGCTTCTAAGTATGTAGTACCTATCCATTACTGGAATCTCTGGTCTGCATGAAAAGCATAGCGTGCCATAGAAAAAAAGAGACATAATGGAAGATTTCTGAAAATTTCAGGTTGTCGAAGATGGCTATGAATTTTTTGCAAAACGACAGTTGGTTACCTTGTTCTCTGCACCAAATTACTGCGGCGAATTCGATAATGCCGGAGCTATGATGTCCGTGGATGAAACTCTAATGTGCAGTTTCCAGATATTAAAACCAGCCGACAAAAAAAAGTTAACGTACGGTGGTTTAAACGCAGGCAGACCAGTGACACCTCCACGAGGTGGAAATAACAAGAGCAAGAAGAAGTGAAGTCCTTAGATTTGTTTGACAGCCCTCCCTGCCCCCTTCTTTGAACGCAATGCTTACAACTTTGAAACAGTAATTCCTTCCTTGAAATCTACCTACCATCTTGTAAGACTCGATCAAGTTTTTGTACGGGAAAGACGTTATCGTTATTTTTCCTAGCGTCGCTACAATCGTTGTGAATATTACTGTATTAACATACTGCTTCCGAAGTCATCGTAAATTCCAACAATCCGTATCCAATGACGACGCATAAAGAGGAGAAGAAATCCGGAGGGGCGTTGTTTATTAAGTAAAGAAAAAAAAAAGGAAAAGGTCTTTGTTAATAGAAGAGTTCAGAGTAAACGACGAATGAAAAATATTATTCAACTTGTGTCTATAAAAAGAAGGTAACGCGTCAAGCTCGACTACTACCGATTAGATTAGAAGTCCTCAATGGCTATTAGATGAGGTTCTACGTGGAGAATACTGGGTGTCCCAAAATAGGTGTTAGTCCTTGAAAGGAGTGATTCTTCGGTTGGTTTGAAACAACTTTATTCTTAGCGAAAAAGTTCTCCGAGGCTTTGTTAACGAGATATTGTATTACGAACAAGCAAGTCGGCATGAATCGAAGGAAACTGTTTGTTTGTGTGTGGGTGTGGGTGTGGGTGTGTGTGTGTGTGTGTGTGGATGTGGGTGTTTGTGTTTGTGTAGCACAGCAAATGAAAAAGACGTAACAAATAAAATCGAACTTGTCATTTGCTATTCTACGCAGTTCCGTTCAGTACCTGCCGCGGCTTGTTTGTTCGTAGTACAAGCGAACGCGCATATCCAACGCTACCACGGGAGCTCAGCCGGTAGATTCGCGCTCTGATTGGTCGGGGTTTCTCGTTAATATCTCGTTGACAAAGCTTTGGAGAACTTTTTCGCCAAGGAAAAAGTTGTTTCAAGTTAGCCCAGGAATCAGCTCTTTTAAGGACTTGGACCTATTTTGGGACACCCTGTATATCATGACGAAGTTAAAAAACGTAAAGAAAGAATTGGTTCTCGAAGTTTTCGCATTGACATTTTCTTTGGTACTTCTGCAAGGCGAATTAATTCCAGAACCGTTCTTGTTACGATCGATTAGAAATTATAGCATGATACGATTGACACGTTGCCAGGGACAATTTTATTCTACATATTGAACCATGCATCGTTGGCATGATCTGTATGCTTCGTAGCGGTTCTCTCAACGTATATAATATTATTATTGTCGTATACGTAGAAATTTTCGACACGGTAAGTGTTTCAGAGATACTATACGTAGTTATGGCTGGCTTCATTATATTCCTGTAAAATACAGAAAATTTGTAAACTACACATAGATACAACCTTGACGATGAAGAAAACAGTTTTTGTAGAACGTGCTTTTATAATTGAATTTTGATAAATTCTAAAGGGTACGTTGTATCTGTCGTTGAATGACGCGAAACATTTTTACGTTGAACACGAAAGCAAAAGAGATAACGATAAATTTGGGCATTTCGTGTTCGCGTACTTGTATCCGGAGATGATGAAATAGATCAAGAGAACCCTCGATTATGTACCCGCGAAGCTTCTCTGGATTTGACTCGACGCGAAGACGGTTACAGATTTTCAAAAGGGAATTGTAATAATAACGCCCGACATCAGAAAATGTTGTAAATGTGTATAATTGGAGTAGGAATATTACGCGAATATTGTGTATCTGTGCAACAACTAAACTAAGGAGAAACGTAAAAACAGAAACCCCGATTTCTAAGGATTTTATCGTACGTATAATTAATAACAATAGTACCGTTTAAATCGGGAATGATTTCATTAATCTTATCGTTAACACTTACACTCTATGATTAATTTCGTTAATTTCCTCGATACGCTGTTTCATGTTCACCACCTAGATCGCAAGCCCATCCTCCCATGATATTGCTAAAAGTCGCGTACAACAGGAATCACCGTACGCAAAGGATAAAGAACACTGGTATCATGATTGCCTCCCTGTACCCTGTACTTGTACATTAATTTCTATTTTATAAATAAAATTCACGAAAAACGTTCATTTATTCTGTTTTTCTTTTCTTTTTTTTTCTCCGTTTTTCTTGACGTCGAACAGGAATGATTGCGAGCTATCGACGCGGCACGCGCACGTACTGACTTGTTCTGACTTGTTGTAACTTTTTGATATCATCGTTGTCGTCGTTGCCGTTGTTTCATACAACCTGTAAGATACATTCGACAATTAGCTAAGTAGCACGTTTGAACGAAACCGATTCGCGAACAGTATCGAAGAACGAAACGATCATTCTTCGATCGTAGAAGTTTGTTCGTTTCGCCTTGAAACGCCCAATATTGGATACAATCGGAGTAGGAAAATACATATTGTCTGCATGGTGGCCAGCAAGCGTGGGTTAATCGTTAAGTTGGTGCTCGAGCGAAAGTAACAGATGCGTTCGAATTGGACGTGATTAGTGTGAGGCGCGGATGATTTGCTGCGAACATTCGCATGCCGTAACTAATAATAAGTTGATAAGTATACGCGACAGAAGCATTTGAAAAACCGCATTCAGTTCGGTTTACCGGTTTTTCAGTGTGCAGGTCGTTTGTGTCTCACGAAAGAGGAGAAAAAGAATGATTAAGCAAGCTGAACAATGTTACTGGCCCTACCGCGCGCGTATGAGCTACGCGAATGATCCATATTTATAGTAGATTTTTAAACGAAAATAAGTTTTTAAAACCGATCGATAAGATTCGCGTAATTACCAATTGTGTAAATAATAACAGGAGAATTGAAATTGTAACGCTCTTCTACTTATAACAATTGAATGTATGTATCGACAGAACGAAGAACTTTCTATGGATTAATAAAGCCATACTTCTGAACTATTGTTTGACAAGGTTTTTTTAACTCCAAACCTTTGCGAAGCCCACAGGCTGCCAGTACTATGTATTCAAATTACCACTTGCTGATTTTGTATCGAAATTGCCTAAACGTATGAACATGTATTGTCATTTATTTTCTAGATTATTGTAATCGAACGGAGAGATACTTATATTGTCTATGTATAAATAAATAAATAAATAATCGTTTTGATCGAAACGTAATTGAATCTGGTTCGCATCCGCTTTTTTGGAAGAAAGAAGAAGAACGAGAAGAAATCGACTTGGGCCGCTTGTACGTACACAATTTTACGAGATTAATCGCGAGAATTAGACTACCTTTAAAAGGAGTACATAATATGTACACGGTGGTTTGTATTGCGGCGAATGGAAATGATGTATGTATGTATGTATGTATGTATGTATGTATGTATGTATATTTGCAAGGATAGTGGCAAGTTATAAATTAGCGGATGGAAAATGAACCGAGTGAACTGACAAACGGTGGCCTTAGTGGCAATGTATGTGCATACTTACGTACGCGCTACGGACTGGGACGAGTAAGTATAGTCTCCGAGAATGAACAACGAGTAACGAGTAACGAGTAGGTATCACCACGCACATAATGACCACGCGCGCGGCATTTGTTCCCGTTCGAAAAGACTCCGCCTTTTGGCACGAGATTCCGAGGAAGAGGATGCGGTTAGCGATCCCGTGAAGTCGAGCGTGGGTGTCCGTGTAGGAGGATCTTCGAGAAACCCCTCCTTCCTCGTTGAAACTTTCCCTGCCTTTCGACGACGCCTCCTCTCCGCGTTTCTCGATCGGCTTACCTCGCCGAGAGAGGACACCGACGCACGGCGACGGAAAGGAGAGGAGGAGATTCTCGTGAAAAGAGAGAGGGAGGCTGGGACGGAAAGAAGAAGAAGAAGAAGAGAGAGGGACGGCATCGGAGAATGATGTCCCGATGATAAGCCACGAGGTGTAGTCGGCTCGGGGAAGTTCTTTCCGATTCATCCGGATGTCGCGTTCACGCCGCGACTCGAAGCCCTTGTCAGCGTCCGTATCTCGAGGCGAGGACAAGTTCTGTTGACGAGAGCCACGAGAGCCCGTCGACGATGTCGAGGATCCTCTGATATTCACACGCGATCTCGAATCTCGCTGATTGCCTCGAACCGCTTAATGACCGGCTGCGAAACATAACCGCCCACCGAGAGTCGGGGTTCGCTCGCGGATTTCTTTTTCTTTACGTTTCATCGTCTGCCAAAGTGTCCCGTTTCCCATGGATTGCCAACTGCTCCCACAAGCCAACAAGAGAAACCAGAGAAAGATAGACTAGTTGGAAAGAAAAGTAAAACTGCAAAGTGTTGTTGTTCGGTGATTGTGATCGAAGCGTATGATTGTTCGGAAGAACGCGACGGGAGGAATTTTTCGTGGTCTGCGCGGGAAATCTTGCCGACCATCAGCAACTCTGCATAAGTTACAATTTGAAGCAAGAGAGTCGAACCGAGTATAGTTTCATTAACGGGAACGCATGTTCGGAAATTTGGAGCGTCGTTGCAGATTGAAAATCATCAAGGATGCAACAACAACAACAACAACAACAACAACAACAACAACAACACGAGCCACGAGTCGAAATTGCCACCGATTGCTGCTATCAGCAATGGACCACGCACCATCAAGCTCAGCACGTTCAGCCGATTACGAACCTGCCATCCCCTATGCAACAAATGGAAGGTATTTTTATGTTTTCCTCTGTATTTCTACCCGAAAATGTTGTTATCGATTTGTATCTAATTGTTCAACACCGACAATTTCGCGGTTTAAAAATGTTACGTTTATTTCAACGCGTGTGTGTATATGTTTCTTCTTTTCATCGTGGGGTGTGTGTGTGGAGGTGTACGAGATGCGAACGTGAACGCGAGCACTCGATGAACGAGCACAATGATCAAAATTCTACCAGTGTACGAAAGTTTTAATATTGTTTCAGCGTGCTTGCAGACCGCCGGAAGGTTGAAACGGTCTCGCAGCCCGAACACGTCCAAGAGCACGTTAACGCCGCGAGTTACCGCGTCGTCGGTATCATCCTCGACTTCCACGGAGGCTCGGAACGATAGCAACAACAACAATCGTCATCACGGTGACCATCATCCGAGCGAAAATAGCGCGAGTTCGACGGAAGAACTCTCTCCGAAGAGACCCCTTCATCCCGCTTTGGTTGGCGCCGGAGCAGCGCTCGAGGCGAAACCTCTATGGGAAGAATTTCATCAACTGGGAACGGAAATGATCGTCACCAAAGCTGGAAGAAGAATGTTTCCAACCTTTCAGGTAACCGAGGTTTTGTGGCTAAAATCTGATTTTACACGGCTGATGCATACGTGTGCCCGAATTTCACCGGGTTCGACGACGCATCGTCGGTGCCGCAGCGAGATAGGGTTGAATTTTTCGGGTGAAAGTAACGCGCGCTTGCTTTCGCGATTCGTAAACGATTGTATGATACATACATACAGTGCCACGAGGAACACTTTTCATTGAAAGTTTTCAACGAATTGTTCGGAAAGAAAGATTTTACGAATCTTCTGTATGCACCGAACAGACCGGATCGCGCGACACGTTCTCTCGGGTTTGAAAGAAGGAAATTCCAATTGTTTCGTAGTGTCGGTTCTATGGATTGGATCCCAACACGGATTACCTGCTAGTGATGGATTTTGTGCCCTGCGACGACAAACGGTACCGATACGCGTTCCATAGCAGCGCCTGGGTAGTCGCCGGCCGCGCGGATCCAGTTTCACCCCCCAGAATTCACGTGCATCCCGACAGCCCTGCGAGCGGCACGCATTGGATGAAGCAACCAGTTTCCTTCGACAAATTGAAGCTCACTAACAATCAACTCGACGACAACGGACACGTAAGCGATGATCAAGTTTTCGTTAAAAGGCTTAAATAGCTTATTGTTTTACACGTTACACTTGAATCTCGATCATTTACAGACTTACACAATAGTCTGAACGCCTAATTTCTTTCGAGCGAACGTTTCGTCTCACTTTGCCGCATAATAGTTTTCGCGAGATAGAAAATCGACATCGCGTTTCTGGCATATAAGTAATTCCGAATGCGACGTAAAAGAGAACCACCTACAGTGACCTACACGATATAGTAGACCGAGAAGAAGGGTTGCTGGGGAAGATCGTGTACGAGCAGAACGAGGAGGAGTAGGCGGTGAGAGGAGCGGGAGAGGGAGGAAAAGGTTCCGTCGTGACGCTTCGCGATGTTCCGCATCGAGCCACGACGACGTTGTCGCGTTCCACGTGTTTGTCGTTTACGGACGAGTTCGTCTTAATTGACCTGAGATACGAGCCTATCTTCTCCGAGAAATTAAAGACGCGTTACGCCCGGTAACATTTCCACGGGAAGATTCGTTCATCCCCGAGAGGGGACACGATTCCGTCGTCTGGTTTTATCGTTTTCCATCTTCCCGCGACGTCGCTCTATTTTTTTTCTCAAATTCTCCGTTCAAAGAAACGCGTTACTCCGAGATACAAAGCACACCTTTTCTACTGGTCTTGTTTGAAAAACCGACGGCCGCCGAGCTGTCCAACGTACATACAGCTACAAAGTACGACAATGAACTATGGTTCCATTAGAAGCTATTATCGTCGTACGAGTAATTAGAAGCGATAATTGTTTTAACGCGTTCTTCGGATTTATGTCTGGCTGATGAAATTAGAGTTACGATAAAGCCGCGCCGCGTACAGAACGACTCTCGCGATTTATCGGAGTAAGTACATCACGTTTTCATTTTTCCTACAAAAATTAGAAAATAGGTAGCGTGCCTATCAATCGCAACGAATCGAAGACGTGCGCTTACGATCCATCTATCGTATTAAAAGTTTATCGTTGCTTCACGTGCTATACGCACGCCTGTATAGATGTATTTAGAATTTACATACAGATATCGTAGAGAGCACTTTGACTTTGTATACTCTTTGGATCTTTACCCTGTCCACGCTTTATTAATTCTGCTCTCCTGTCACCACCACGATTAACGTCGATAGCGAAACTGTAGGCGCGTCCAACGCGACTAACGTAAACACTAGTGTAATATAAACGAACCACTGGAAGCCTGGGAAAGACCACTGAAAGCCACGGACGATGTGTTTACAGTTTACGGGTCTCTCGAAAGAATTACCGACGCAAAAGAATTCCACGCTTCGTTATTCATGGAAAATTATAAACGACGTTCGAATCAAAAACGATCGCGTTGCTTTCCGATATCGAAGGCAACATCCACGTGGCAAAGTTACCTACGACTACGACGCGGATTCGTATCTTCTTCCGATTGATGATATTCGAGAAGGAGGAATATATCGTGAGGTCGCACCGCTGTGTTTTCTCAATTCGAACCAAGAGATACGTTCAAGAGATCAGGCTAGTTTCACGTGGAAATTTGTTACGCTTTATTTCGTACGTCGATCTTGCCGAATCTTTTGATTCGGTTCCCTTTCATTGTGTCCCCTAATGCACCCGTGGTTGCGCCAAAAATAATCGTCCCTACGTATCCGTGCCAAATTCAACGCGTCCGCCACCATTGCGAATCGAGAGATTCAGCGTAGAGATTTATACGGACACACCGATAGGTAGATCGACGATTTACTTCGATCGCGTCAGTTCGGAATCGATGAGATAACGAAGCGACGTGACGCCGACACGCGACACGCGACACGCGACACGTGGCGTTCCCTCGGTTATAGTCGAATTCCGAGAGATAATGCGGCGATTCGATTTTCTACGATTAATTTTTATTTGGCTCCTATTGCTACTAATTCGCGTCTTTGAGAATCGGAACGACTATCTATGTTCTCGTGCGGCGTATCGTCGAGTATCGTAAACGGAATTCGTACAGCTTTGCCGACAAACTGTCCTGACACGAGCTTGTCTGCGATTGCCGAATCGATACGAATCACCGGTACAAGTTTAACTGTTTTTATCGCAGGATGGTTATGATTCACGCGTGATCGATGGACGATGGTTGCGGTTGTATCGCGTGCCACGCGATAGTTTGTTCGTTCGTTTAATTGCGCTTAGAGACACGACATCGAGTGGCTTTGAAAAAAAATTCGAAGCTGACGTTGAAACGCTCTCGACGCTTCCAGCTTCTTAATTGGGGACTCGGTATTGCCGAACGAGTCACCGACCGGGAAACACGACAAATTGGGAGCAAACTATGACCTGGAGAAAAACACTACTTTCCGCGTATCTAAGATTCCATCGATGAACCGACACGTATCTCTTTTAATTTTCTTTCAGAGAAAGGGGCTACTATACACTATTACTACTACTGTTACTTATGATTTTTTTATACGGTTTGTACGAAACGAGAAGGGAAAATATGTGGATAATCGCGTGCCCCTGAGATTCTGCTTGCTAGTATCAGACCACACACAAACCCAGACGCAACCGTGGCGTTTTGATTGTTCCGCGTTGCACGAATTATTCTCCCTTGTTCTCCCTTCTTCCTCCTTTTTCCCCCTTCTTCCCCCTTCTTCCCCCTTCTTCCCCCACTTACTGGTCCTGTTGTGTTCTGATCTGCTATGCTTATGCTCTGTTCTTTTCGTGTATCCCAAGAGACACATGCCTCGGTCGGCATATGCTCGTAAGTGCGTGCAAGAGGAAGGACCGAGGGTGTCGGGTTGCCAGAGTGGCTTGGGGTTAGTTTTTACACTAATTAGTCACCGAGTCTCTCTTGGCTGTCAAACATTGTGACCGCCCCCCTGCGGTGTCCCTTCCTTTCAAACAAGAACGTTCTCACGTGCGCCTTTTCTTTTTACTCCCCTTCCACCTCCGTTTCCAGCTTCACCTTCTTCGCAGTGATCCTTATTTTTTCCTCGGGTGATATTTCTCTGTTTTTTTTTATTTCGACTAACTTTTCAAGGAAATTTGCAACACTTTCACAGCATAGTAGAAATTTCTTTCATTATTCATCGGCATAATATTCTAACGCGCACGCACGTGTCTTTCACCCATGAAATACAATCGACTCCGCAAACGATATATGTATATGTACCTCTGTCCCGTTTGCGTTTCAGATAATCTTAAACTCCATGCATCGATATCAACCACGATGCCACGTGGTCGTGGCACCGTCCCCGCCTGGTTCCGGTCCAGATCCTCGCACGGAGAACTTCAAAACTTTCGCCTTCCCGGAGACGAGATTCACCGCCGTGACCGCTTATCAAAATCATCTGATAACGCAACTGAAGATCGCCAGCAATCCGTTCGCGAAAGGATTTCGTGACTGTGAATCGGACGAATGCGATTCGGTGACGGTTTCCGGTATCCAGAATCCCGCGAAACGACCCGCCACCGGCACCACCAGCGTTTTATCGTCTGGTTACGGAAACGCAGTGCCAACCGTGCAAATCCCAAACATATCCGGTCAAGAACATCATCAATTTTACGGAGCTACTGCGACAGGAGCATGGACTTATCCAGCGCATCACGGGCAACCAACCGCGCACGTAAATCCTGTTCACTATACCGCGCATTCTCATCCGCATACGCACACTCACCCCCATCCTCATTCACATTCTCATTCTCATCCTCATCCTCATCCTCATCCTCATCCTCATCCTCATCCTCATCCTCATCCTCATCCTCACCCTCATCCTCATCCTCATCCTCATCCCCTTTCCCATCCCCATTCGCATGCTTCCGGAGCATCTTTATATGGACCACGATAATTTTAATTCTTTCTCCACGAGCCGCGTACGTGTGTATGTGTTCGTTCGGCAGATCATTTTACCTCGAAGAAGATACGCTTCCGCGAAATACAAGACTTCCCGCGCGAGTTTCGAGTTACGTTTGTTCGAAATACACTTGGACTTCGAGAAACGATCAAACACAGAATTGTTTAGCAATGAATCGGATTCCGCGATAAATGTTCCCCATTCTCGTAAAACAAACGAGCAATATGAAGAGTTACGAATATCGCGTGCATACCGAATTTCATATATCGTGCCTTATCCATCGAACATTCACGGAACGTATCGCAAAAACTATACCAAAGATACTACCAATTCGATATTACAGTGTAGTTATAGAATAGTTTATCGAGAATCGAGCAGATTCTGGTTCAACGACAATTGGATCGGTGCAACGTAAGAAGAAAAACAAACATTTTTTCGATAACGTCTTCTGCGCTGTATGGTCTCTCGGTAAATTGTTACCACCTTTACGAGCGCGTGTATTATTTATTTATGCAGACGTATTACTTGTTCTTGACAGGTCGTCGTAACTGACAAATATCGATGTACGGATGAAACATTTGTCGGAGATAGTTTTAGAAACGATAATTTATCGATGGATCTTGTAGAGGCGAAACAGATAGAAGAATCGGTACATCGTCGTCGATGTTCGTGATGATCGAATTGTGCGATACAAATCGGCGGTTCGTGTCGTAGGTCCGTGGCTCAACGGTCGAAAAAGAAAGTGCCTTTTGTAGGAGCAAAGTGCATCTATTTATACAGGGTGTCTGAAATGCCAAACGAGCCTAAAACGTTCTCGAGCCAAGTCGGGAAAGTAAACGCACCGTGACCCACCCATAAGAGAGCTCGACTACTAAGTGCCTTAATAAATTATTCTCAAAGTATCGTATGCCATTGCGACTCGAGGATTTTTTTCCCTATTGGAAGTTGCGCTCTTCTCCAAAGAATCTGTTGTTACGAAGTGTGTCGAGAGCGCTCGAGTTACACAATCTGTTCTGTATCCGTTCGAATAAGTAGAGCCATAAAAAAATAAACGTAAACACGATGACGAGTACTCGAGTTTAAGATCAATCTTTTTGTTGCTTTTTCACGATCACCTACCTCTTCTCCCACAGCAATTAGTCTCTAAAGAGAAGATAATCGTTTATAGAAGCGGCCGAATGTTTATATCAAATCGTCGAATGATGTTTATTATGGGATTTAACGTTGAAGAAGTTAACAATAAAAAGATCGTGGCAATGAGACAACACGAATACTACGGAATCGGTTGGGATGGGACAGGATGGGACACGATGCGATGCGATGCGATGCGACGCGACTCGACTCTCTGTCGGTTCCTATGCATGCAACGGATGAACCGACGTGTCTCGTGATTGATGGGCCGCGCGAAGAACTCGTTGTGCAAACATATTATGAACGTATCCTTAATGACTCTCTGCAAAGACTTTCCCCCGAACATTCACGAAGAGTATCGCAGACTGCACACGTCGTTGCAAGCGACAGCAGTAACAAAAGAAACGTCGGATTAAAGCGATTAAAGTGGGCTGCTGCGTTGTCTAATTTAAATTCTCGCTAATTTCGGGTTCGGTCGGATGCTGTGAATCCAAGCGTGAATTCACCGAGTGAATCTTTGTCGGCGATAAAGGCAAACAAATAATCACCAAAGTATTGCAAGTATCCAACATACATATACATAAATATTATGTAGTTGTATTTGGATGCATCGCACTAATAACCAACGCGACGAGGAATCTGAATATAATGAATATGTACTTATGTGATAATTATGAATACGTAACGCGCGAATAAAATGAATCCAATCTGTTTTTGGTGTGGAGGGTAGGGTGTGTGGGATTTAAGATGGAAGAAAAAATGGAAAAGTAGGACGGGGGAATGTTGCGTTTTGAAAGAGCCGAGTGCACGAGCATAGACTTTTCGGGTACAGAAAGACACCGCGTGTATCGGTGACGCGTGACGGCGCCAGCAATAAAAACCGGTTGACGGGCCCCGCCTTCGCTCTTATTCTTTCATCTTTCATCTTTCTCAGAGGTGCCAGCAGCTCGGCCGCCCCTGTGGAACCTTAACCCTTGACCGTGTTGGGCGATTATGCGTTGCTGATGGTACACTTACTTGTGTTCGCGAGAACTGTCTACCCCTCAAAGGGTCTCACCGATTCTTTTGACTCTTGACAATGTGTTTTCTCGATAACGGGAACACCAAAGGTGTTCTCGTGTATTCCGCCAATTGTAAGTTCGAGCTGCATTCGTGTCGATATCAGACACGCGGATATATCATACTTACACACGGTGCACGCTGTCGATAGATTTTCGAGTACTGTTGCGAAGGAAACCTACGATTCTACGGAGTATTTGAGAATCGGAGATTCGTAGTAAACTCGAAGAAACCTTTACGAGTGTCGTGTCGTGCCGGTCGTGCGAGGAAATGTGTATGCAGTAACCACCGGCCACCGGCTGAGCAACCCGAGGACCCCTCCAAAGATGCATCTGGAAATTTTCACTTTACCGTCTCGCGTCGGCCTGCTCATCTTTCTAACCGCCCAACATCTTTTTCCGCGCTAACCTTCTGTCGAATTGGAGATTGACGCAGTTCGATACACACAGCACGTCCTTGCTTATACCACAGAATCAACGACAAGTATACATATGTATATTATGTACCTAGGTATGTACCATATAACAGGACTCTCTTTGCGGGTATTAAATTAATGATCTGAACCGCGAATTGCGTTGCCTCTACATTCTACATATTCACGAATCGTCTTTTTTTTTCCAAAACATCCTGAAACAGACGAATAATCGTGCGCTCAGATGTGCGACTATTCACCGATTCGAACCGGAACAACATTCGTTATACGGCACGTACACGAGTATTGTAACCATAATGTTTGCCTACTATACGTACGTGGTACGTGTTTTCACGCGAATACCGAATATCTGCGGACGAATGTGTCGAGCCGGCGACAGAGAACGCGCAACCACTTCATAAATTTCTCTAATTTTGCGGTAGCAGTTTGTTGGTTGCGGATCAAAGACCGACAAATGGATTGTTCGTTAAACAGAAGAAGAAAGCCAAGGAGAGAAATGTTGAAAAAAGAAGGGAAATCCGTAGACCGACATCTCAGGGTTGAGGTATTGCGTTATCCTACGAGCCGTGAATCTGTCATCATTAGCTACCAAAGGAAATACTGCGGATATACGGTGCGACGAGTACCGGCGCTTTTATAGATTTCACGCAGCTTCGCACTACCGAATGGTTTTTGAACCTTCCATCAAAACTGCTCTTTACTCTCTGTCAGCTGGCATCAAAATGACGCTCAACGAAATACGAGACAGAGAACGAAGTATACATATGTGTATGTACTTTGAAAAAGCAAGCAAATCGATCTCGATGGATTTTAGATATTTTTAAACCGAACTTCTCAAAGCAAAAATATAACATTGTTCGAAACATTTCTCGCCTCGGTAAAAGAATCGAGCAAACCAGCTTTCCAGAATCGATAGAATTTATGTAAAAAAGAAAGAAAAAAAAAGGGCAGCATTTGTTATTTCGAGGTACATAGGAAGAAGAGAGAAAGAGAGAGGGGAGGAGGTGGGGGCTTCCGTTTCGGTGTAAAGATCTCGAAAGAAGAGAAGCGGGTAGATCTACGTCGGTAACGCATACGACGAGCAGAAGTTCATATCCTGCGGTACCAGCCGCACGAATATGGCTGCAATGACAGATTTACAGATTCCAGCCATAGGGCTGCTCGCTTCTTCGGGATTCTTAAAGCGTACGTTTAACGAGAGAGATGCGCTTTGGATGGCCGGAGTGCGCGTCAAATCGCACCTCGACTGTTTATGCTTTACGTCCGCAACCTTCCTCTCTGTCTTCTTCTTAAACTTCTTTTTTTTTTTTTTTTTTTTTTCACCTCGTCGTCGTTGACGTCCGCGTCCCTTGCACCCAGCATCATCGTCGTTGTGTCCTTCCCTAGCATCTCGTGTCATATGTTTCACTTGAATGCTGAATTCGCTCACGAAGCCACCAGTTTCGTAATTTACTATCATCTTCTATCGGGCATTGGATAAACGAAAATTGAACACCGAACGAAAACAAGATTAAGTCGAATATACCCGAGTGTCGAAAACTTTCCTTGAAATTATTTCGAAAATAAGTACGCGTATTCGTGTCGCGGACTTAATTAGCTAAGAAAGAAATATCGATGGCCAGCCACAAGAAATCGCGAGTGCATAGTATTAATTTAGCCAGCGTGGTAACGGGCGTCCTCGTTGTTTCTACTTCAACCTTATTAGATTAGTAACAACAAAGCGACGCGACGAAGAGTTACGTTCCGTTGAATCATCCTTCTTAATTGCACGAGGACAGGTGATTTGGAACAAATATGATTTAAAATTGGATTTTACGTAAATTTATGTTGGTGCCAAAACGACAAACGACCCTGTTTTTCTCTTCTCTTAGGCGCACGTTACTTCCTGGACCAAATCCACGATACTCATTTACGATGCCGGCGTTTCTGTATCTTTCGCTTTTATTTATCGTAATACCGTGCGATCGTAAAATTGAATTGATTGGAAGCGCGTTTAGTGGAAAGGAGACGACGAGAAAGGCGGACGTGTCCGTTAACGCCACGAAAACTGTCCAAGCAAGCCAAGTATCCGAAGACAGACACTGACCGTGAACTACGAGACCTAAAAGAAGTTTACCTTATGTTGTAAATAGAGGGGACGAAACGTCTTTCTTGACTGGTGTTGCTGCTCGAGTCGGTTGACACTACCACGTGCTCCGTGAACGCGAATCTTCCACAATCTTCATCTTCCGACTTGATCTTTTTGGGCTAACAGTGCTAACACACCATCTTCAATTTGCTGCACACTTGCCTACATCGTACAGTCGTATCGAATTAATAATGAACGTTGGCAATATTAAACGATCATTGATTTGGATTATCTTTCGTTTTACCGTGCAAACTTCCTTCCGAATTCATTGTATTTCTTTCTATTCTTCCATGTCTTATGCGTACGATCGCGATAACTTCACAATGAATAATTTGATAATGAAACTCCAAATTTACATTACAGCCATTCCGTCGAAAAACTGAAAGACAAGAAAAATGGTAAGCATGGGGTGAACCTCAAAAGATTTTCGCTGTAACATAGTCGACGGGCATATCCTATCTCGCTGCTGGAATCCTCATATGTCTTTCATCGTGCCTTTCCAACACCTCGCAGCCTCTCGGATCATTTTGCTCGGTCTCTCTCCCTCTTTTCCTCCGAGACGCACGGCAATACGAGAAGGCAATCATATCCCATCCCACTGTCTCGACTCGACCAAAATATCGTTTCGACTACTTACCGAGTGGCTAAAGCCAGGGCCGTGCCTCTTGACGTGTTTGCATGCCACGGCCTAGTATACTCGTCTATCCTCTTATCAGATTAAAATTATGCATTCTTTACCTAATAATATTGTCTTTCTTTCTTTCTTTCTTTCTTCCTTCCTACTTTCTTGCCATCCTCATTCCAGTCAGACCCAAAAACTGTCTAAAAAAATCATAGCCATCTGTTTTTCCATCTGATTTCGGTTTTGCAGGCAACACCAGCTGACAAAATGGTATAGCAAATTGGCAGCAAGTCTTGCAACATGACCTATGTCAAATTGAACGCAAAATCGGAACAAGGTTTGCGCAAGCCAATTTGCTGCATATGTTGCTGCCAATTTGCTATCAATGTACGCGCAAAGTGTTTATAGCAAATCTTGCATCAAACTTGTAGCCATAACTTTATAACAACAGCAAATTTGACCGACTGAACAGTTACCTTCCTTTTTCCTTTCTTCCTCTGACCAACACGTATATGTATACACACATATATTATTCGACTGTATATGTATACAAATTTTTGTCTCATTTCTTACCAACTGCGCACGATTAAAATTTGTACGTTCACACTGCATTCCTCATAATGCGCGTCGTGTTACGAATACATATACACACGTATGTATGAATCTTGGAAGATGGACCGTTGAAAAATAAATTATTCTAATACTGGTTTGTCTAATTAAAGCGTATTTATAATTAACTAAATATTTTACGAACGCTGTCGTGTAATAATTATTATAATTATTTGCAAAAGGATAGAATAAATTAAGCTCGACGAAAACAAGTGAATAAATGTGTTACCGCTGTTTCAGCTTGCATATTATCATTGTACATAAGAAAAAACATTGCAATAGCGTAACGACGAGTGCGTTAAATGAATAAAATAGATGTTAATGATGAACGCATTACAGTTATACATATTAGTTTTCCTGCTAACAATATATAACTTCTTGTCGTGGACGCGTTATGACGCCACATGACACTACCCACAGTGAAGTGACAGTTCCAGCAAAGGTCACCTTTCGTTGGTTATGTCTAACGCTTTTCTGTGAGTGGAGTATTCGTTCAACGTACTACATAACGCTTTGTACTTGAAATTACGAGAAATAATTATGATAAATCCGCACAAATTGTCATCGATGGTTCATTAAAATATAAAGTCTAATGCGAAGGAAAAATGTAACATTAGTGCACGAAAAGGATTATATACGTTTAAAAAGCATTTCATAACATAACCTTATTTCTTTTAAAACGTAATATAAATGGTTTTACTTTCTACGATTTACCGTTTTTGAGACACGTATTTCTCGGTGTTTGCGGTAACTGTGAGTATCGAACAAATATTTTACCACTGCTTTTTTATAGGCGCTACATATTATGGTATACGTAGGTTCGACGATGAACTCTCCAGGATCTCAAGCTCTGGAAGCAGCTAAAAACATGAAAGATTTATCGATATTTAAAAAGCCGCAGGGTGTTGCTAAGAGATATAAAAGAGTACAACCAACAATTTTAGACGAAGATACGTATATAACAAGAATGGGAGAAATTATCCAACGAGATTTTTTTCCTCATCTTGATAAACTTCAAGCACAGAATGAATATTTGGATGCGTTAGAACAAAACGATGCAAAAAGAATGAGGGAGTTGTATGAAAAGTATAGTTCAGGAAGGCCGATAACAGAGAGACCTGTTAGTCCTGCTACATTCGAGACTCCTATGAATAAAACAGAATCCGAGGATGAACAATTTAAATCGTCGAAAGTTTCAGAAGATACCTCTGTTTCTGAGGACACAAAGGAGAAGGACAAAGAGGAACCTAAAACCGGATTGGATGCATATTTGAGTATGCACACCAGTGAGGATAATGCGAGTTTCGAAGAAATGATGGATGAAGCAGAGAAGAGACTTCAACAGAAATTTGCTTGGCTCTACGAAGCAGAAGAGAAATCGGAATTACTCGCTTTGAGAAACAAAACCACAGATGTTTTAGCTATAGAAAATGATGATAAGAAGCCTAACCAATTGGATAGTTGGAGTTACAAAAATAAAAATTACATTATGTATGTTCCCGACGGAGTTGAATTAACTCCAGACGAAAGGATTGACTTAGCTAAGAAAAGACAAATAGTAGTACATGGAAATACAAGGCTTCGAACAAATCCATTCAATGAACAGCAAAATAAGGAAACTATTAATGAGTTGGCAAAAAACCAATCGAAGGTTAACGACGGAAAAATCGGAGTCGATGGTAAAGAAATTATTAGAAATCCAACTCCAAGGGTGAACGGATTCAGTTTTGTGGCGACTCCGAGTCCAAGACCCGGGGAATGTGAGAGTCCCTTGATGACATGGGGTCAAATTGAAGGTACGCCATTCAGATTAGATGGAGGGGATACTCCTTTGTTGAGAACGAGTCAGGGACCCTCATTTAGAATGGCAGAACCTCCGAAAAGAGAACAACTGGCCTTGCAGTTGGCGGAGAAAGCTGGAGAAAGACATAGGGATAGGAAAACTAAAGCATTAGAGGCAGCTAGAAAATCACTGGCAACGTAAGTTTTGCTTATCGTATTTGGAAATCTGTTAATGTTGCTTCAGTTAACTAATATGAACTATTTGATTACAGACCATCTCCAAGGTCCACTATAGATCGTTTGAGTACCATGTCTCCAGCCGCGAGAAGATTGGCTACGCAAAAACTTCGTATCACAAGCACACCGACTCCACGGAGGGCTACATCATCGAGGACACCATCGATAGGCATTAGAACACCAAGCACTCCAAGAATAAATACACCATCAAAGTCTGAAAATCGTCTTACAGTCGAAAACATCAGTACCCGATCACAGTGTCCTGTTCTCACCGATAATCTACTTAATTTGCCTCTCCAGAGGCAAAGAGCAGCAGATTTTTTTAACAAATAAAGTGCGTAACTATGTACCAAATTACCGCTCCAATACTATGTGTTGTATGATATTGTAAATACGTTATTTGCATTTCTAAACGAAAAATATAAACCTTACTTTCTAATCGTCGCAGATTTGTATTGTAAAGGAATGTTTTATAATAAAACATGTATTAATGAAAAATGATTTCTCTGCAACACTTCAGTAGCTTCAATAGCTCTATACCCGAACGAGTAGAACGCTCGTTACAGAATGGAAATATTCTTGCGAGATTAATGTTTAGACTACGCTTTATGTACATAAATACGGCTCAACAATAATACGGAAGGAATACGGAAGTAGCGGACTGTCACGATGTCTGATTTATTTACAGCATGATATTGTACCTTGAAGAAAGTTTTAAGAGATCCGGATACAGACTGAATTATGTTTATATCGATATTTAAACAAACAAATTTGCCATGTGACAATCATTTGACTTCTCCATATTAACTTTCGAATGCAGGAAGTTTCAGAAGTGTGTTCAAGTATAACAGGAAATGTGATTGACATTGACAGATTGCGCAATTTCTTTTCGAATTCGTAACATTTTCAGGTATATAAAGCAATCAGAATGAGGGTTAAAGCAGAGAAGAAATATCCTCGACAATATGAAGTCGTCAGCTCTGTACAACGTTCTCGTCCTAACGGTAGCATATTCGTTTATCGTTCAGGGACAACAGCAGGCGTGCACATGTGGAGACTTAGGATCAGGTACACGGTTAAATTGTGTTACGAATGACAAAACTTTAATTTAAAACTGACTATTCGAACTCTTTTTGGGATAGGTACAAACCCTTGCACCTGCAGCCAAACTGTCGTGAAAGCTGCAAAATTACCAACACCGACCTATTATGTTTCACCTCAAGAAATTAATGATGCTGCTGCTGCTGCTGCTGCTGCTGCACGGAACAGTATAGTCGTATCGACTGGTACATCTCAAAATGATTACACCAATACGCAAAGCGGCTGTGGATGTAACTCTGTTACATATAATAATGTGCAGCCCAATGCTTACATCAGCAGTAACACCGACACCATTACACAGAATAGTGGTAGCTCTAGTGCATGCAGCAACAGTGATTCCAATACATACAGCGGTGGCAGTTCAGTTGGATATAATAATGGTGGCATAATTACATACAGCAACACTGACTCTAATACACCGAGTAACAGTAATGCCGATACATACAGCAACAGTGGGACTATTACATATAGTAGCAGCAGTCAACCAAGTTCCTCCGTACCATCTGTTGCTTATGCCGATGTTACATCCCCTTTGGATACTTCTAGTCAGAGTGATTCTGGCTGTGGCTGTAACAAGCAAACGTTGGAGTCTTTAGAAATTGACGATTCAACGAATTCCGAGGGCAATATTGTACCCAGGTATTTAATAGATTTTAACTTTCCCAGTTGAACGTTAGAGTAATATACTTAATGATTTACAATGGTTTCGGAATTATTGACATGCATATGATATGTATAAGACCATTTTACATTGAATTTTTCTTCCACAGTTTTTCACCAATCGGCGACTTATGTTACCCACTTCCATTCGATTCTCGCAGTGGAAAGCTAATTGAAAAAACTAGAGTAACACCAGCTTATCCAGGGAAAATTGTATGTAACAGATGTAATACTCCCGAACCGTATGAAGTTTGCGTAAATATGCATACTGGAGAAACCACCAGTAGAGCAATTATATCCAGTTCTACGGATGCAACGGACGGTTCTAGTCCTATTGTGTACGGAAGTCAAAATTCTGGTCCCTCCAGCGGGTCAGATTCCGAAACGTTTATCGCAACAGCTTGTGGAAGAAATAATGCTGCTACTGACTCAGCTTCTGGGCTGTTCAGCAACTCTGGATTAGGATCATTAGGAAATTTAAATTCTGGAACAGTCAGCGGGACCCGAGCTGGACTATTCGGAAATTTTAATTCTGGAAGATTTGGCGGAGCCAGATTAGGATCATTTAGCGGAGCAGTTAGCGGAGCAGTTCCTGGGCCATTTAGCGGAGCCAGATCCGGGCTATTTGGAAATTTGAATTCTGTAACATTTGGTGAATCCCAAACGGGAACGTATGGAAAGTTAAACTCTGGATCTCTTACTCGCTCAGATTCTAGATTATATGGTGTACCTCCTCTGGTATATACTAACTCAAACACTGCGAGTGGGCAAAAACAGTACGCGGGAATAACTATAAGTAGCGATTCTTCAAATTGTTTCGACGATGATACAGGTATGTTGGCAAGGCGTGAGTTGCATGCACGGAATTGAAAATTTTTATTATCATAGTTATTAATATTTCTGAATGTATACATGTATCTTACAACTGAAAGTTCGTGTGTTTGTTAGATGAGAGTCAAGTGGACTACTCGTATCCAGAAATGCCGGCAGACGCAGTGTCCCTTACTCTTGCGTACAAAAACCTTCGAGCTCCAAATGTAATTTACAGACAAGGAAAACAGTTTGTACCGGAAGACAAATTATCCTTTGGTCACCGCACAGTTCCAAACGACGCGAAGATTGAGAAGAAAATAATAGATATTCCAGAAGAAAGACTCGTTACAGTCGAGAAACCTGTCGTAGAACTAAAATTAGCACCGCCAAGAACTGTTGTTATTGGTTCTTATGATGAACGAGAAGAAGCAAAACTCGCGGAACTTGAAGCGATCGAACGCGAGAGTATAACGCAAGAAGAAACCCCGGATCAAATTGCCGAAGGTTTAATGACTTACAAGTAAGTTTGCTATTTCAAAATGAAAGGGTTCAAATTTCTGGGAGGCAGGTGCTCTCCGCGGGAAAAATGAAATGTATGCTAACTAATGAACGCGTTAACCACTTACAGAGATCTAGGTTATGCACCAGTAGGTGTAACCTACACGAACTCAAGAGGCTATAACGAAATGATCGATGGAGAAATTAATGATAGCATGGAAGAACCGTGTGGTCCATTAGGTCCACCGATACCAGACTATATTCCAGGTACAGTGATGATTCAACAAGATGTACCAAGAGATGCCTTTGAAAATTCTGGTACCGGAGAAATCCGTGAAAATATAGAGTTTCAGCGAACAAATCCCTCTAGAGTGGGACCATGTGCGATCTGATTCAACAGTTAATATCGATGGTATTGGAAGTATCTGGTTGTAATTTATATTAATAACCACTGCCTTCTGTATACCTATTTTGAGCAATGTACATGACAAATAAACGATCGTGAATGAAAGTTCGAAGTATTTCTGTTTTTCTATCCTGTGTCAACGAGAACCTTAGCTTTAATGATATTAGTATTAAGAAAAATTGATACATTGTTCGTGTGTACATCTGTAACATAAATCATCATTCGTGTAATGTACGTCATATACATATATGAAGAAGTATGCGGAGGTATAGGATGAAATATGTACATACCTACACATACTTTTAGTTCGTTTTGCAAACGAAAATATTAACTTGGCGTAGTTTGAAAGGGTTCATGACATAGAAAAGAAGAGACGAAATAAACGTAATGGTTTCTAGCATCTGTTACGCCTTTGCTATATGTACATATGTACATATGTATATCGAGATTTACGATGCTCCTAAGGTTTGGGCTTCGGTGGTGTAAGCGAACCTGTCAACGCCTCGTAAAATGCACTTTAATGCGGGGAAAGGTAATTTTTAGTACAAACACCAAACACCGCAGACTAGTTTACTAACAATAAAATAGATATGGACGTTACATCATTATTATTTAGAAATTGGACAAAAATAGATAAGCAATATTTAATAGGATCTATCGTACGATAAAGTAATGGTCACTTTATGTATTTCCCTCGAAAAATCCGTTTTTCACGCATACATATACATATTATACGTGGAAGAGATGGAGAAGGCAATCGTCGAAGCGGTAGACAACATTATTTTTCGGATTAAGCTTCTCGTTAATGTTCGCGCACGACGCATACCATTATCCCTTGACCACTTTCATTCTTCATTCTCAGTCCATAAAAGACTTGGAAACGTCGGACGAATGACTCGAGTTTACCGATCGACGGCACTGATAATCAACTAATTTCCGGAAATACATAATGGCGTTGTGTACTAGTTTGAACTTACCAAGCATTAACAACGGTATACAGTTTGCAATAACATACTGAACTCTAACAACTAATAATATAAACTCATTTTTCTTTAATGGAAATTTGGCGTATTAGAGAAATGTATTAAAACCGTACAGAACATCGAAGCGTTGTTGTTTTATCGTATACCAGAATAAAGTACAAGAGTAATTTGAGTACAGTATATGTATGGTTTTGCGAGCCGGCGAATGCTAGGAATGCCAGGGCTTTTTGCATTTTATTGAAATATTTCAAACGGTATTTCTTTGAACTTGAACTGTCGCAGAGCTACGAAAGTACATTGAACTGAAAAGACTATTTTTGTTTGACTCGCCACAATAGATGAATTTTGTATGCAGAGTCGAGTGTAATTCGAGTGTAATTCGAGGGAGAACCGTCAAAATGCCTTTGTGAACGTTTGAGAAGATTTGTATTGGATTAACTAATAACATGCGTAACCATCATTTCTACTTGCAATAAAGTGTCACGATAGTACGATGGTATTTCCTTGTCATCGATCTTACTATCGTCTGTCATAGGATAACGGACACTCTCGATATTATTAAACATTAACGCGAACAGACATACGAGCTAAGTATTGTAGTAGGTATACATACGTAGGTACATGTATATATGTACAATATATGTATACATAACTGTAGTACCTACATGTATGTATGCATGCATGTCCGGCGATTATCCATAATCTTTTTTCTCAGAATCATGCAATGACAGAAATCGTACGGAAAATGTAATTACGTCCTTTTTTGCTGTATCATGAACGTTAATGCTTCCTACTCTACGGAATATAGTAAGTACATTTTGTTTGATTTTCAACACGCGAGGAAAGTCTGTCGAAAGCGATATGTATTAACCGTATGAAGCAGTTTCTCGACGGAGGATTTTGTAAACATTTCAACTTACTTGTGAAGGCAGCTGGCTAGTGGGAGTGGGGAGCGTTATGATTTTCCACATTGAACGGTATAAGACTTTTTTTGCACGCGTGTTTAAATCTCGTAGCGTCCGGTACGTGCGGTTTCATCTCATTTTTCGTAAACAACATCCGAGACTTGTAACTTCCGTGAACGATACCCGAGACCCGTGAAATTTCTACGGTAGGTCGTTCGCTTTTGTTTACGTGCGATTGACAAAATGATGTGACAGGAACTGAATCTGACCGGTTGGTACGCCGATAAACAGGAAGCGAAATTATTTTCGATCGACCGTATATTAAGAGTGGTGCGATCGTCGTCTGCAACTTAATCGTAGTCTCGATTTCAAGATACCGGTCATGTATTCAGGAACAGTGATCTGGTTTTTGATCGGCGTTTATTCGATTTCGAATTTCCGATGTTGTTACAGCTACGTCTACGATAGGCCTAAGGTGGTGACGTACGGTGAACCATGTATCGCATCACGGCAATTTCCAATTAGGATCGAGGTAAACGTGTAAACTAACGACAATACCCCGTACAGAAGAAAATCTGGTCGGAGGGAATCGAATGGCATAATTATTTCAGGGGCCAAAGCCAGCGATGCCGGAACAGAAAATACCATTGTCGCTAGATTTTCGAGTTGTTTCGGAGATGTACGTGGAACCTCGTCGCCGCGTTGAATATCCAATTGCGATAGATGCACCGTGTCCTACTACGTCATCGCCATCAGAAAGGATCATCGTAGATGACGACGTATTACGATTACGGGGAAAAACGTACGCGTACAGCACCTACGTTCCTCCTGCAGAAGACACGCCAACCCCCTCGAAATATTATAATTTTTCCGTTAACATTCCAATCACGAGCAAAGAGTAAGTTTTACGTTAAATTACCCGTTCAATTTTCCAATGTTCGTTTCTCTTGTAAATACCATCGAACCGTGTGTTGTCTTTCTTCGATTTTTTAGAATCACGTCCGAACAACCTACAGAAAGATACGTTCAACGTTTGAGGGGACTCGCTACACGAGTCGATCGAGTACTTGTTCCAGCTTGCGAGGTATCACAAGCGTATCGATGCTGAATATGGATAAGCTACCTTGAATGTACATGTACCGAGTCTGAAATGAAAGAAATTCCTATGCGTTCAATGTGAATAAAATCGATTCATTAACCAATTCGTCGAAACCAATCTCTTCCCGCAGTTCTGCGAGACTTAAGAATCCAGCGTGAACGCAAGAACGATTGTAGGCGATTGTTTGAAATATTAAGGAAAACATAATTATTGTACCTATATAAACCCATTTCCACGGGTGTATTGCACAGCTGTGAGAAGGTACTCAATATTTCTAAGGTATTTCGTTAATCGGCTTCGCAGTTTGGTCTTTGAATACGAATAATCGGCCGAAGAATTAAATACGTGCTCGTCGGCAGATTTCTTCGAGTCACCGTAGATAATGTTTCAATGGTTCGGCGAAAGTAAAATCTTGTTCGGATCGACGGTATCGCGTCCGTCGTTGATTCCTGTAACGCGCAATCTTCCATGTTGCCGAAACTGCTCACGACTCGCGACGCACGTGATGCCCTGTGTGATACCTGATATCAGTCCTGCTCCTATATGAAGGCACCTCGATCGTCTGAAACCAGCGAGTCTCTCCTCCGGTAGGAATTATGTCGAACGGATGTATAGTCAGCCTCCTATCGGTGATAATATTCACCGCTAGCCTGAGTTTTGCCGATGAAAGTCGGTTAGTTGACACAGAGACAAGTACAACTCGCGAAACAACGACGGATTTCTCGTTGGGATCTCGTCAGGAAGATTTACCGGACAGTGCAGGAGCTTTTGAATCGTCGACAGAAGGAAACCAAGATGTATCGACAGGAACAGTTGCGGTAATGTGACTTTTTATCTATCGCTTTGTGTATACGATTCATTTACGCGTGGTTCACTGCAATAACATTGTTTGCCATCTACTGGTAATAATATCGTTCCTTATTTTTACTTATTCGCTGCTGTAGGTACTTGACACGGGGGAACCTTGGAAAACTCTACGAAGGTTTGCGAACGTAACGAGAGAGGATGAAAATCCGTTGGTTCCGGGAAGAGTAGTCGAAGATGATACGAACCAGGTAAAATTAAGCAGGTAAAAAGTAGGTAAAACGAGAGAACAACTGATCGGGGAAAACGCAATGCTTCTAGAACATCACGGATGAATCGAGCTCGGTGTCGAAGCGTTACGTAACAAATTCAATGTCCCCCGAGCTTCCTGTGACCGAGTCTACGTACGCGGGAGCGGCGGAACCTGACTCGTCCTTGTTAACATTAGAACAACTGAAGAATCTGTCCTGCGAGCTGGAGACTTCAAAGTTTGCACACGATCGTATGCCTGGAATGATGTTGCTCGAAATTTTCTGCGAAATAGAGAAGCTCGTGCACTACATGGTGATAGCTGTTCGAAATTTCAAGTCTGATTGCGAGCTTGGATCGAAGTCACTACTGGATATAGAAAACTTAGGGGAAAATGTGATTTCGTTAAAGAATCTCCTGTCTGACAGCGCTCTGGTCGAAACTATAGAATGCGGTATTGCACGGTTTCAGATGTTTTTCAACAGTCTCGAAAGCCTATCGTCGAATTTTCCGAAAATATTATTCGGTATCATCGAAAAATATGTTCCTGTAAGCGGCGACATTCGAGAAACTTGGGATCGACTGAAAATCGCTGTTGAGAATTTGTTCATTCGTATCGAAGGACTTTTCGAGTACTTCGAGCCAGGTCACCATCCTGTCGTAGATATTTTGACTAAACTACGAGAAGAAATCGTAACCGCGAAAGAAGAGGCGATGAACCTACTTTCTGGATATTTGTCGGATTGCTTCGAAGGGAAAACCGCACCGCTGTCCGTTAAGACGACTTCGTTGGTGGAATCGTTGTTACAGAAAAGTTCCGTCCGAGAGTCGGTACATCGATTTTTAATAGTCGTAAAAAAACTGGTGGATACTTTTCTGGAAAGTTTCTTGTCGGACGTTCAGAAAAGTCCCACGACGATACATCTTCCGAATCTTCCGTTGTGTTCAACGCCTACGTGTATCTGGCAGAACATGCATCGATTACCCTCGAGTTCAGATCGATCTTTCTCGACACCATGTGGGATTAATTCGGTGGATACGCAGCAGACAGAGACGCCGACAGAGGAGCCCACGATAGGACATTCTGGTATATTCACGAATCAGGGTCCGTTGGACGTTCTTTTGTCTGCAGCAACGCCATCGTTTCTTGGAGAGGACGAGCCGCCTGGCCGTTCGTCCGGTTCGTCGCCGGTGTCAATACTCTCAACAACTTTTACTCGCTCGCCGATTTCTATTCGTTACTTGTCAACGCTCGAGAACAATGCTCCGAACTCGGTCGGATTCACCGCTCGTAATCCAATAACTTCACCGATCAGTACCGCCGACGATTCTGTGTCCACTGCTTCTACAATGGGAGTACCCTCGGACGTATTTACGAGTCACTCCTCGGAATCCGAACCGGTTCCTTCGAATACGACAACTTACAACACGGTTCCCATCGACGACGTAACAGCCGTAACATATAGTACTATGGCTATGGCTACACAACCCCCTTCTCGCGTGCCGGTTTCCTCGCTTCTACCGGAAACAACTTCTCAAACCGATTCAACCACCGATCCATCGGCGCAATCTTCTTCCGTTTCCTCTACCACAGATGCGGCGTCGTCGTCGTCGTCGTCGTCGTCGTCGTTTACGCCATTCGTATCGATTCCATATCCCACGTCGACCGTACAAGACAGCATTATCCCGTATCTACTACCGATTCCGGACTTCCTACCGAGAAGAACAGACTTTAATACAGACGCCTCGACCAATTCTCCTGGATCCGACTATTCGTCCCGTTTCACGAAAACAAACCCTTCGCCGCGATCCCAACACATTATCGGTTCTTTATACCCGTCGAGATACACGGAAACATCTCTCGTCTCTCCAGCAATTCCTAATGGAGCGGAAAAGGAAGCGTTAAACCGTAAAAACGTCGCTGGAAATGTCAACCCATTCGGTTATTTCTCGCCGACGCGAACTACATCGTGGTCCTCGCAGCAGTCACAGCCAGATCACCGATCGCTTTACGAGACATACTTAAAGTTTGTCTCGAAGAATCTCTATTCCTATCCGCGATACGATAATTTCGCGTTAATACCAGCATCGAATGGATTTCAGGAGACTTTGGACTCTCGTAAACTGAATATCGTCCCGTCGTCGGTACCATCGTTTGCTCGAAACTCTGGTCTTTGCGGTACATCAGCGTTCTTGCCCTCGCTATCGAATTTTAACGATGTTTTGAACAACAACGGTGCATCCTTGCAGCTTCCTGCGAACGAAATTGCACGGGCCATTAATGACGGTCCTCTATCTCCGGGTGACATAATCGTTATTTTTCCTAGAGTCGGCAATGGACTGATTGGACACGTATTCAACAGGCTCGCTCCGATTAACTTCAATGCGTACGACATCGGCCCAGTGATCGCAGCCATTAAAGGTGCTCATAAGGCCGTGACAATTTGGCACATTCGATCCCGAGATTTTAATAAGCCAGCATGCCAGCAACTATTGCGATTGCTCTAGTACGGTGTGAGAGCGATGTCTTCGAGAAATCGATACGCAGTCTCGTAATCGTATACACACGAGGCTTGCAACATCGCGTTATGTACATACATACCTATTATTTATACGTAAATATGCTTAATAAAATTGTTGAAGTCGCCGAAACGATATTATGTTTACTTGTTCCTGAAAGCTGTGCACTGTAGGCTACCTATCTATCGGTAATCGGCGAATCAAACTTTTTGTTTACTCGCTTTTGCCGGGGCCTCGTCTATCGGACTTGACAGGAAAACCGTGGAGAAAGAAAGGATTTAAAAAAAAAAAAAAAAACACCTTCGACCGCAATTGATACGATGCTGAAACGTAGACACATTTAGAAGCGAAAAAATTGTTTGCGGTAAGTAAATGTAAAACAACAGGGAAGCCGATTAAATCTTTCTGATTGCCCGGACGTTTTCTATGATACTTACGTTGAATGTAGCGTTCTGCAGACAATTATGCGTGACTCATCTGCGTCGCGATAGAGCTATAGTTCGTAAAGTTGATTTAACATTTTTCTTCTTTACTCACAGACATTTGCATTGCAAAATTTCGAAGAGTCGTTTTTTGCGCGAATTTTTAAGCAGATTAGATACCGTCTATCAAATCCGGAACACGGAGCTTCGTGGTGTTAGAGAGGAGGCGAGAAAACAGAGGCATGGAGATTACGCAATTTCCGGCGAGCGTAGACAAATCGTCGATGAAAATGCAATTCATGACGAGACACGGGATAATTAGAGGCGATAAAAGCAGGTGTTCGGGTCGGTAAGCAATTTAATTCAGTTCCCAGCGAGCAAGTACAACGACTAGACGGCTGCGGCATTGCTCGACGAGACGACAAGAAAGAAATCGAGAGCAACGCGCCAGTGTGTATAGACACGAGTCAGTGGCTATTACCGTGATCTTTGATCTTAATTCGTTTCATCGTAGTACCGCTGTTCGGACACTGCTTCTAATAAAGCAGTTTGTCGCTGTTCCTCCGACAGAAACTATCCTACCGCCACACGTTAGACACTTCTAGGAAAGGAAACGATCGTAACATGGCTCGACTTTTCTTCTCCGTCATCCTCTTGGTCTGCCTGTTTTACGTATTCCAGGTATTTACACGATTTTCTCTGAACGATAGATATTGAGACGGTGCGTTTGTCATTAACAGAATCAGAAATAACAATCGATATTGAAATTTACCGATCGGATTATCCGTTTAGGCGAATCCCGTGCCAGATGAGGCCCCACAAATTACGGTCAGTGAGTTGGACAATCTAACGGACCAGGTGAAAAAAGCGTGGAATACCGCGTCCGATACTCTACACGAGAAAGTTGGCCAATGGATGAACGAAACAAACTTCAGCGACACCATCGAAAAAGCGAAGTCATTTCTGAACCAAGCCGGCGAGAATATTCGTAAGGAAGCAGAGAAAATTGGAGAAAAACTTCATGATTAGTAAATTCATCGTTCCGTGCAAAAATATACTACCTATATTATATTTACGTACATATGTACAGCATATGTATAGGTATACGCAGCTCATGAAATCTATACATATAACTTTGGCACGCGTGATGCGATTTTTTTTTTTGCGTACGACATTTTCCCAGCTACAAGCTTACTTACAGTGTAAAGATTTTCTCGAGATTTCGAATATCGAGCCAATTCGATGCCACACGATTCGATGTTGAGTTCGACTTTCTTTTTGCTCTTTAAACTCTGTTCGCGAGTAACGTTGCGTCATTCTTGTCGCGTCTAGAGTATGTTATGTATGTAATATGTATGTATGTATATGCCCATACAAGCACTAGCACGTTTCTTGAAAATAGCGTCAACTTTGACACGGACATCGAGATAAAAAAATGATACTTTACTTTATCGGAATATAAATTACACATCGGCCGATTAATCGCTGACTATCGTTACGTAATGTATTTGTAAGATTTAGAAATTATGAAAATAAAACACAAAAATTAATGCATGTCGCCGGATAGTTTTACTTCTTTATTTTTCTATTTGCGTAACCCAGACTTTTGCCCTCTGACCAAATCCGATAGTTTGTCGGTCTTACGTGAATGTCGCGTTTTAGACAACATGTCTGCAATTAATAACATTGTAACTAGTATCATCAGTGTACACATACAATGTGATATACTAGCAATTTTCGACGTTACACCAGAGTTACACCTTGAATATATTCATGTAAAATTAAATGATTTTTTGGTACAACATTATACTTACATATGTATATGTAAGTACCCGATCAGGCGAACCTGTTGTTGCAAATTTTCTCCAATGCTTGTTATAAAGGTATGTATATCTATATATTCGCTACCTTGTAAGTCATGCAAGATTTGCTATAAACAACTTTCACGCACACTGCCAGCAAATTGACAGCAACACATGTAGCTAATTGGCTTGCGCAAACCTTGTTCCGGTTTTGCCCTCAATTTTACATAGGTCATGTTGCAAGACATTTTGCCAATTTGCTTTACCATTTTGTCAGCTGGCGTTGCCTGCAAACCCCAAGTCAAATGTGGAAACAGATGCCTATGGTTTTTTAGAGAACTTTTGTCATTCGTTGCTGGCAATTTTGCACATGTTGACCATGAGAACACGGATTTGTAGTTCTATTTCTGTTCTATTCGTGTTTTGGACGTTGTAAAACCCTTTTGAGCTTGTCTCTAGTTACTTTTCCTTTTAGTCGGCTTTTACGAAAATCATCGCATTGCTAGGACAGTAGGTACCTACATTGTATGTATACTATGTAGGTACTTTTTCGCCACCAGACGGTACTATGAGTATGGTATTCATCATGATACACACATGATATTATCTAATAATTTGAACATTTCATGGAAACGTTGAAAGGTCATAAAACTGATCGTATTGTACACAGACGTGCATACATACGTGGATATACGGATACAGCCACGCGCCTACGCATAAGTAGGTAATAGACGCGGCGGATTTGAAGAACGCGTACATATATCCACATTCACGCGTCTATGCATGTACATATACATATAATAGAATATGTACCCTCACGAGCAAACTCGGCTTCCGCTAGGGGAAAAAGTGGCGAAGAGGAAGGGCCTCCCACCCCACTTGATATCAGCAAACTCGGCTTCCGCTAGGGGAAAAAGTGGCGAAGAGGAAGGGCCTCCCACCCCACTTGATAAATTTATTTCAACTACTAAAATAAATGTTAAACCGAATGTTAATTTGGCATAAATTTTAATAATTCCCAATACCAAGTGGTAGGAGGCCCTTCCCCTACATTACCTTTTCCCCTAGTGGAAGCCAAGTTTCCTCGTGTGTGTATGTACAATGTATTTATATGTATGTGTACCTATAGATAAACTGGGTGTTCCCTGCGAACATCGAAGAACGTTTATGCTCAGCATTATCAAACAAAATTAACAAGTGCATGGACGTAGATTTTTCCACGGAACCTTGCCCCCTTGACGTAGCTTTCTATGAGAATCTTTATTTACCGAGAAACCACGAATACCAGAATCGTAATCTCACACTATTTTCTAGAACATCGAATTACAAGCGATTTCCTGAAACAACGAACACGATGTCGTATCGCGGACCAAATTCAAGATAATTTTGATCTTGCCTTCACCTTTGACTTTCGAACATCGGTCTGAAATCGAAAATCTGTATGTTTAATTATTTAGAAAGCAAACGCACGCAATGCATTCTGTACTATCGATCTTTTTTTCAGATTCAAACTGTAATTCATGGTTTCAAAATAATGCAAAGTAACTCGTTTAAACGAACATGTAAGTAGCTGCTACCATAAGTACATATCTCTGATGTAATGTTACGCAACGTAGAACATATATATGACATGATTTTATACTTACACTCGAAGAACAATCCACTCGATTTTAGAAACGAAGCAACAGCGACTGCGTCTTACTGTAGTTTCTTTCTATCCAAGGCAGCTCGAGAGGGATGCAAAAATCACGATTCATTGACGTCGGAGCAAGATAGTCGCGGCAGTGTGCCCTCGTGCACCCTCGATAAGGATCGCCTATAAAACTCGTAGCTCCGGTCGCTGGCGCATCAGTCAGTTTCTGATTGTTTCAAGAATTCACAGAAACAGAGAAAAATGAAGAGCATCATCGCGATCGTGTTAGCCGTAGCGATGCTATCGGAGGCTAAAGTTGTGCCGACCAACACTGCCACCACCAATTCCCAAGGATCCCCCGAAGTTCAGCTGAACGAACTGATTACCCAGGCTCAAACGAATATCAACAATATGGCCAAACAAATCCAGGAACGATTGAATTTGCCCGATCAAGAGACTCTCGTGAAAACTGTCAAGGAGCAAACAACCGACTTCGTAACCAATGTCCAAACATACATGAACAACATTACCGAAGAGGTAATTTAGCATCACTTTCATTTCCATGTGATTCAGTGGCCCTGAAAGGGCGGCGTAAATTTATTAACGACTATTCTTTTTACGATAGAATATTTAAAATCATAGAAAATTGTGAAATGTATGCTTTCGTTTCGCAATTGTCTTTACTGTTCTGCTAGAAATATGTATGTATATTAGACGCGTAAGAATCGAGAGAATAGATCGCGATACGAGAAAACTGGTGCAGAATTGGCCGTAAAACGGTAAGGAGGAAAATTAATGAACCCACTTTCTCGTTCGATTTTTAGGTGAAAACCAAAAGTCCCGAATTGGAAAGGATGTGGAACGACGTAAAGGGCAAATTGAGCAAAGTCGTCGACGACATCAGTAGCGGAATTCCGAACGCTCAGCAACAGGTAGCCGATTTGCAAGCGAAATTTCAGCAAGGAGTTCAAACAATGCTCAAGGAATCCGATAACGCCGCAAAATCTTTGAGTCAACACTCCGAAAAGGTCCAGGAGGATCTTGCAAAGTTTACGAAACAGGCGATCGACATTGCAGTACAGGCAACGCAGAACTTGAACAACCAACTCCAACAAGCCGCTGCGGCTCCGAAAAACTGAGCGAATTTCCGTTAGATCTTTCGTTGCCCTCGAGAGTATTTACCTCGAACGCCCTTCTAATGTTCGAATTTCTGACAACATAACAGAAAACGGAGGGAGCACCTCGATTGTCATGTGGACATATGTGGTTGCTGCTTTAAAATCAACGTGTATTCTCTTGCGATTCCTACGAAAACGTTTTTTTCGTCGCTTACACTTTATTATACATACATACATACATACATATAATACCTTTTTGCAAATCGCATATTATATTTATAAATAAAATACACTTTACAACAAAGCGTTTCAAACTCTTCATGTAATTGATTCCTTATTGTTTACCGTATTTTTATGGAAATACCATTGTACGTTACGAAAGAAATATTAGTAGGTCATTTCGACATTTATTATGGTTGCCAATGGTGTTGTTGCTCAATATTTGTTTCTTTGTTCGACGAATTCTGCATCATACCTCACGTCAGCACATACCTTTTCAATGAGAAACGTTCGAGCGAAAGAAATATATTTGCCGGTAAACACGAACGAACTCGTTGAATCGCTGTAAACATTCCGGTATCAAAGGATCGATCGAATATCGGTAGTGTGCCACGGTGATCCTCTTTTCGTTCGACCCAGCGTTCAACATTGCGGGCAAGAACAATTTAGACGTGCTCTCTTTAAAAGTGACCAGCCGAACGGCGACAATGATCAAGTTCAATCTATCTCTGTAAAGTATTGTTATATCGCAACAGAAAGCTCGTATTCGTTGAGAATATACATACGTGCGCGCACACCTTGTGCTTCATCAATATTGATCATACATACATATATGTATGTATCTTTATTCACATACGTGTAAACTCGAGAAAATTTCTCTTCGATCAAATGAATGTACCGTTGCTGCTACTTCTCGCGACCTCGATGGTAAGTCCAACAATGTTCTCTTCTCCTTTTTTTTCTTCTCCTTTTCATATTAATATTTTTACTAGACGATTGCAAGGAACATTGATGGGGTATTCGGAAAGGAAAGCGAAAATACCTTGAGAAAATCAATGAACCGGCTAACCGATAAATCGGTTACTCTTACCAACAGAGATGAAAGAATAAATAAAGGTTTCGAGTTGATGATTCGATGCGTGAATATGCTGGGCCAAGTAGACAATTTCATTTCCGACAGAACGAGAAATATCGTTCAACAATTGCACACTTTATATCACGAGAACCATAAGGATACACGAAAACCTTTTGATCGACGTCAGCATTACTCAACTTACAATTAGTATCGCTGGTCATCGTATTCCAAGTCTATCATATACAATAATATAATGTACAATTGTAAGGGAGTCTGGAGGGGTCGGATCGTGTTCAAATGGAGAACAAATTACCAAAGATCGTCATCTACTTTAGAATTTGTAACAGTAGTTACAGGATCATACATTCCCGTCAACTTCCAAAAGTTGACCGGTCATTTTAAACAATACGAATACAACAGTATGAAAATGAACATTCTCTGTTTTCACAATAATTTTCAACTCAACATTCGTGTTCATTCAGAAAACGCATCTCAAATGGGTAATATATTGTGCACTAAGAAAGAGCTACTTAATGCAAAAGGTATACACAAGTATGCACGTAACTATAAAAAAGTACAACGATCCGGATTATATTTACATATATATTATTATAGTGAAAAACTGAACGGAGGATGATGCATGAACCCATCGTAGACATTAGACGAACTAAAGATCCATTTCCATAAGAGGGCAAAGTGTAGGCGGTGATAGCGGTGATGGCGGCGATGGCGATAATGGTAGGGACAACGACGCGCGATGAGAATCAGTTCCCCGACAGAGAATTGCGGATGATCTTCATCGCAATGTCCATTAATTTCTCACTAGGTGGCGACTGTATACGACAGTCACCGGGATCAGGTTGATCGGACGACTTGTGCTAAGTTTTATCGTTTACCACATGTTGATTAATTAAATGAAAATACAATATTGTTGCCAAAATCATTGTCCAGGGCTACCACCGTTCATTTCTAAAATCCGTCGCCGTGAAATTCCACAAAGGTGATTTCCTGTGTATGAAGAACGGAGTTACGTCACGCACTAGCAAGTATCGTGTGGTGTCGTGTCGTGTCGTATCGGGTAGACACCGTGATCCCCTGTACGTCTCCTCGAATGCCAAGTGTTCTTGCTTCCTTTGATCGCATTCTCGTGTCTCTCTGAACTCGAAAGTTACGCACGTGCTACACTTTTGCAAACGAGTGCATTTAGGTAACCGTACCATTCGCGCATAACCTACAAACGATCGTGACTCGAAACCGATCGTGAATGTTGATAGTTGTTACGGCCAGTACGGCCTCCTGTCAATCGTTCTGGGGTCGAACGAGATTTCGAATTGTAACTTTCCACATCTAATCCGGAGACCGTAAAATAAATAATCGCGACATTCTCCCGTATCGGGACGTTTGATCGAAAATATTTTTTTGACGTTGAGCAGTGACCGGGAAATTAGTCAAAATTCCGGTCCCCACTAGGAAACGAGAAGGCCCGCAACAAACCGGCGGCAGAAATCCACCAACCAGTGGCGAAGAGTCCTCGTCTGCTGGCAGAATGAATAGCAAAAGAAAGAACCGTTCCAATACTAATAGGTACCCCCCATCTTTCTTTCTATTCATCATTTTTTTTCCAATCTTAGATTTTTACACTTTTTGCCTGCTCTTAACATTTCTGTATTGTCATTATTATCTTACACTTTGAATTTCAAAACCAAATGGCAACTCATATTTCATCTTGTATTGTTTTAGGTCTCCACGTGCTCGTGGTCCGCAAGAAAGATGTGTTGCTGCAGAAGGTGTATATAACAATGCTCATTTTATGCATGCGATAACCAGTCACGTGGGCAACATTGTACAGGTATTGAAATTAATCAGGGAAATAAAATACTTTCTCATGATTTAATAATAATAATAGTAATAATATTGATTAAAGAACACATTTTTTTGACATAAATGCCTCACTATGAACATGTGATATTTAACATATTCGAGACTGTTGACCCAGCATACGAGTCACGGAACATCTTACCAGTTTAGCCGATGACACAACATGTCGGTCATGGACAAATGGTATATAATATTACAAACAGGTGGTCTCAAATATGTTAAGACGTTAAGATGAATGTTTATCATTTGCAATTTCTTTGTCATACAGTTTGGTATGTTTCTATTGTCACTGCAGATTCAAACGCTGAATGGTTCTGTATACGAAGGTATTTTTCGCACGTTCTCCAGCCAATTCGACGTTGTCTTAGAAATGGCTCATCGAGTAGAAAGTTCAGGAAAAATAAGCGTGGAGAGTGTAGTAGAAAAATTGATTTTTAAACCGCAAGATATTATTACTATGTCCGCCAAGGATGTTGATCTAGATTATGCTATACGCGATACTTTTCAAACGGACACTGCAATTAGTAAATACAATGGTGTGATTGGCGAAAAAGAGTTGGAGCCTTGGGACGCTCCTCCGGCTACTATGAATGGAGATGATTTAGAATTGGATGGTACAACTGTGAGTATAATATTTAAAGATGAAAAACATTGGGTGCAAATCCGTGTAAGCATAGGAGTAATACACTCAACTATACAATTGTTTTGCAGAATGGTTGGGACGCCAATGATATGTTTCGTAAAAATGAACAAAAATATGGTGTCCAAACAACTTATGAACCAACTTTGGCTGCTTACACTTTACCGCTTCAAAGAAAAGATACAAAAGATTACAAAGAACAGGAACAAAAAGCTGCAGAAATAGCAAATGAAATAGAATCGCAACCAAATCACAAAGTGAGACTAGAACTCGAAAATGGCGACGAAGAGGAAAGATTCGCAGCTGTGGTGCAGTTTATTGCTATAGTCGTAAATGTTTCAAGTAGAATAGAATTAGATATTTTCTATTAATTGTGTGCAATTTTAGGTAAGGCCCAATGAGGGTAAATATATTCCACCACCACTTAAGAAGAAAAACGGAAATAGTGGGAAAATGATGAGATCTAATGAACCTCCACCCTCGCCAGGGCCTGCGACAACCAATAAAAACGTTTTTAATCAGCAACCTCCGTCCAATGTAAACGTAAACATTCCCCCATCTTCTAACCTTCCTATTGGAATGCAAAACACTCATCCCTCCGTACAACATCCAGTTTCTTTAAATATGGGAATGCCACCCAGTGGAGTAGTAGTTACATATAATAATCCTCCACCACCATTTGTACCTGCATCGACAACGCAACCACCACCACCACCAGGTACCGAGAAATAACACTTCCGCTAAAATTTATTATTAACTGAACGAAGCCAACTATTTACATTGTATTCATGCAATGAGTATTTGTTCTGGTATTTATAGTACCTGTGATGCAGCAAACGCAACAGCAATCTCAAGTTACTCCTTCAATACCACAAGTGAGCTTTCCATCGCAACAACAACAACAACAACAACAACAACAGTCGTCGACATCTAAGATAAGTGCAGAGAAACGGGAGCGTCCTGGCAGACAGCAAGTGTATCAAGCAGACAAAGCACCACCAGCACCGTTTCCTCAAGCGAATGTTAATACATCTCATCAACAACAGCAACAACAACAACAACAACAACAATCGTCACATCAACAACATGGTCACTTACAGCAGCAAAATTCCGTTGAAGGACAACGATGCGAGATGGTTCCACATAAATCTGATCATAGAAAGGTAATAAAATCTTCTTCGTTGTAAATACTTACTGTTTCAAAACATCTTCTAATTTGCTGAAATAATTGTACAATATAATTTGTCAAGGTGCCAACGCCCCGCAGCAGAGAGGAACAACATTCGGAACTACGACAATTTGCGTCGGATTTCAAATTAGCAGATACACAAGCACAAGATGCACCACCAGTAACAAGAAAACAACAGCACCAACATCAACAGGAGTCTCATTCTACGTCACAAATTAATCAAATACATCATCAACACGCAACATCGCAGCAGCAGCAACAACAACAACAACAACATCCAAGCCCGCAACAACAGCAACATCAAAATCAAACAGTTCAAGAAGAAACTGTAGCTACCAGTAAACCACTACCGGGACCGTTACCTGTAAGACCTACGAGTCCACCTCAAGCATCGCAACAACAACAGCAACAAACACCGGCAATCACACCAACTGCAACACAAGCTCCACAAGAACCTGCTGTCGACAAGATTACAACAGCTTTTAAAAAGTCAACATTGAATCCAAATGCTAAAGAATTTAATCCAAATACTAAGCCTTTCACACCGGTGAGCTGATTAGTTATCTCATATAACGTTTCAAGCATAATTCAATATAGAATTAGTTAATAAAATAGAGGGATATTTTTAGCGATCTCCAAGTACACCAACACCCAGTCGACCGCATACGCCACAAACGCCACAGTATACTGGAGCAACGATGCCTGCGACTGTAGTTATGCCGGCATACGTTATGACCAGCCAACCACCAACTGCGTTCAGTCAACCACCGGCACAACCCGTGACAAGGTTCCGGAAGGGTCAGTATCTAGGTATCCGCATCTTGTTTTCACCTTTTTAATTTAAATTAATTCACATTTTTTCGTATTGCCCTAGAAAATACGTGGATTCTTTCTCTCGAAGTATAAACCGTAGATATTACATGTCTGTTGTTCTGGTTATTTTAGTGCCAGTGATGCATGCGCAACATCGCGCACAAGATATAGCTTCTCAGATGCAAGTGGTAGCGGCAACTGGGCAGCCTTTAATGGCACCAGCTCCACTGCATCCACCATTCCAGGTACCTTATCCTGGTCAACCGACTTATCAACAGATGGTACGCATGGTTCAGGCACCACCACCACCGCCACATATGGCTTCACCTTACCACCATCATGATTCGCCAGGACCCCAGGCCCCTGGCATTCCGTACATGGGTCCACATACGCATCCTCATCCACACGTTGCTCAACAACCACCGAGTCAAACTCCCTCTCCAGCTAATCCTAATCCACCACACACGCCAGGCACTTACAACCCACCTGGTACCCCACAACCCACATATCCTCCACCACCTCCCCAAGGTCATGCTCCAAGTTATCCAATAATGTGTCCTATAATTCCTCCTCATATACCGATACCGCCGCAGCATATGCCATACCTACCGCCGCAACCACCTCCTGGAGCACAACAAACTATACCAGTGATTTTGCCGCACAACCAGTAGTTGCGATTAAAAATGGATGAAGAAAGACAGAAAACTACTAGTATTCTGCAGAAATAGACTAAGGTTTACAAATTCAAGTTACTTTCATGATGGCATTAGGCACTCGAAGGAGCTTTCACTTATTGCTTGCAATATTATATCAATACACATCTATAAGCAGCTGTGACGTTTCATTTTGTTATCTTAACATCTGCATACTGTTTTTATTCTTCATAATTGTAATGTCAGTCCAAACAAAGGTAATCCATCTTTCAAACTAATTTAACGAACAAACAATAATTTCATGAAAAATAGATTTTATAAGTAGATCAAGTTACACTAACGTGAAACAAAGTGCTGCTCTCATCTTGAAAGTGACTTTATCGAATGGGTTAGTTAATTACGAACTACCCGCAGTGATGTTTCGTCCCTCAAATATTATGTTCGAATCTTAATCTAATTATGCAAATCATATGTCGATGCAGCTTAACACCACCCAAGGCTATGAGTTATTAATTTAAATGTAATAATTAACAAAAAGGGGAAAAAAGTGATAAAAATATGTTTTTAGAGATTTATTTCTAGCAAACGACGATATACGAAAAAGAAATCGGCAACCGAATATACTTATAAAAGGCGTATATTGATAGGTGGTGCCTATACGACAACTCGGAAAATGAAAAGAAATAAACAAAGAGGGACTGTGACCATTACAAAATTTAATAACATTTAAATTGCAATAGCTCGTACTACTTTGTAAACATTTATTAAGCCAAAATCCAATCTGTAAGGTTGGTGCGGAGTGCTATTTACTACATAGGATGGTGTTGCATGTACGTTCGAAGATCTCAGTACTCGGAAGATGAAAAAATCATGAACATATAACACGAATGAAAGGTTCTTTTTTTACATGGAGCAATTATCGGAACGGTATAAAAGATGTAACGTACATGGTGGCATATTTTCTGCTCGTGCTTTCACAAGTGATATTTCACTGGAGTGAACAGAAAGCATGGAAATAAATTCATATAATTCTTCTAAATTTAATCAAATTGCATTCGATTATGCGATGTTGAAAACCAATGACGAAAGAATTGACACACAGTTCCAAATTTCTCAGTTTGTTGATAATGGGTTTTGTTGAGAGATATTAATGCACGAAATCCTCGAAGCAGAGACTAAGTCGAACTAGGGAAATATCGTAGAAAAAAAGCGGTTCGGCAAGCAATGTCGTTTAAAACGGCCAAATGATTGTCGTGACAGGAAAGCATCGGTCTATGTGTAAAGAGGTACAAGCTTCACGTACTCATAATGTTCTTGTTATTAGTTCGGCGATTTGAAGCATAAAATTCCAATGTTATATGCAATAATACTTGTACAAGTCTTTATTCGAATAGATGAAATATTTTCTTCGAGAATCAGAATACTACACCGATATTAGAAAGCTCGAGTTGTGCTACAATTTACATAACTACAGTGTGAGATCCTTGTAAATGTTTTTATAAATTAATTTCCCTTTCTTCTAAATAGTACAACAAATGTAACATACAGAAGATAGTTTGTTATTACGCAAACTTTGAAAGATGCGTTGTGTCGTATACTCGAAATTATTGAAACGTTAAAATTAATTGTGTACCTCCGACATGTAAACGAATACTTTCAGATGCTATGGTATTGAGAAAGACAGATTGAATAACGGCCTTAGACCTAGTCGTGTATATAAGAGAAACGAAGGACAGGACGATCCTTAACTGTGAGATAGTTGAGTGCGTGGCATCGTTAGACACAAATTTTATATCGAAGAGATTTAAAAAAAAAACATCAAAATAAAGTCAATGCGTTAAAAACCAACTTGTATAAGAGTATATGTTCATTTCACACGCTACCCTCCAATTGTTTCAAACCGTCTTGCTAATTTGTATTTCATTACAATTATCTTTCCTTCCCATCTAATTTACATTAACTTAAACAAATATTCGTTTGTTGAACATGAAATAAGTACTGATAAGTACTTGGGAAGAATAAAGAGTGAAAGTTTTAAATTTATTTATGTACCTATGTAAGTAAATAAGCATAAGCCAATGATACGTTGTCGAACGCGTGGTCGAACGTAACTGAACGTAACCTGACGTAACCTATTGCTGAAAGTTACCGTTTGTTACCGTCAAAACCCCATTAGAATGATAGAATCTATTGGCCCGTTGGAAGAACGTCTAAAATAAAAATCATAATGAAAACACAAAACTGGAAAGAATTGGAAGTAGATTTAAGCACTCCTGTGTTGAAAACTATTGAAGAATTAAAATTTTCTTGCATGACACCAGTGCAGGTAAAAATTGTACAACAGAAATTATAAGTTTATATGTCAAGTAATGCTGCATGTTTATAACACTAGTGTTTATATGACGGTAACACTTAAGTAATTATAAATAATAATTAAAAAATCAAATATTTTTATTCTTTATGAAATTATAAATAGGCAGCTTCTATACCACTATTACTAAAGGGAAAGGATGTTGCGGCAGAAGCTGTAACCGGTAGTGGAAAGACAATTGCTTTCATAATTCCTGTATTAGAAATTTTACAGGTACCTATAAAAATGTTTTATATATAGTTAATGTTTTTTGAACAATGTGTATTCGATATGAAAACAGAATACCTATTCAATGATGTTTATTCTTTTATCAAAACCAGAAAAGGAAAGAGAAATGGAGATCTTTAGAAATTGGAGCGATAATAATCAGCCCTACAAGAGAACTGGCAGTACAAATATATGAAGTTTTACAAAAATTTTTAAATAATTTACCACATTTAAAACAAATATTGCTTGTTGGTGGTACAACAGTTGCAGAAGACGCAGAGAGACTTAAAACTGGTGCAAATATTATTGTAGCAACACCTGGTCGATTAGAAGATATACTATCAAATTGTAAAAGTATAAATTTGGCAGCACATGTAAAATCATTAGTAAGTAATTCTAAAATCCAACAGTATAGTTTATGAATAAATGAAATTTTCATTAAATGAAATCCTAATTATGTGATTTATAGGAAATATTAATCTTAGATGAAGCAGATAGGTTATTGGATCTGGGTTTCTCTATATCAGTGGACACAATATTGAGTTATTTACCTCGACTCAGAAGAACAGGTTTATTTTCTGCAACACAAACAAAAGAATTACAACAGCTAATCAGAGCAGGATTGAGAAATCCAGCTCTGATATCTGTTAAAGAAAAAGCAAATATTTCTACACCGTCAAATTTAAAAAACAATTACACTATTGTAAATGTTGAATACAAATTATCCGCAATGATAGACTTTATTCAACAAAAAGGAACTAGTTTAAAGTATATGGTTTTCTTATCTACATGTGCATGTGTAGACTACATCAGTCATGTTGTACAAGCGTAAGTTATACTACAAACATACTGTTTACTATAAACGTTATACTATAAACGTACAGCATACTTAATTTTTAGAATGTTACCCTCGGTTCAAATACTCGCGATTCATGGTAAAATGAAGAGCAAGAGGTATAAAGTCTTTAATGAATTTCGACGTATCGAAAGTGGTATTCTAATATGCACAGATGTTATGGCTCGTGGTGTAGATATTTCAGAAGTCAATTGGGTGTTGCAGTATGATCCCCCTTGTTCAGCTAGTAGTTTTGTGCACAGGTAAGAGTAATCAAGACATAATATGCATCATGGTACAAATCGTTTACTTGAATTCTTTGGAACAAAGAACTTATTTTTCCCTCTAGGTGTGGCAGAACTGCTAGAATTGGCAACGAAGGAAATGCCCTCTTATTCCTTCTAGAGACAGAAGATACATATGTAGATTTTATTAAACGGAATCAAAAAGTGGATTTACAGAGACTAAACATTGAACGGTCTGTGACTTTATATGAAAAGTGTTTAAAATGTATGAGAGACTTACAAAAAAAAGATCGAATATTATTTGATAAAGCTAACAGAGCATTTGTATCATATGTACAAGCATATAGTAAACACGAATGTAATTTAATACTAAGATTGAAAGATATTGATTTGGGAAAACTTGCAATGGGTTTTGGATTGTTACGTATGCCTCGAATGCCTGAACTTAAAGGAAGAGATGTCTCATGTTTTAAAGAAGAAGATATCAATATCAATTCAGTTGCCTACTTGAATGAACGAAAAGAACAAAATCGCCTAGAAAAACTTAAGGTCTATCAAGACAGTGGGATATGGCCTACAATACACAAACGTAAACGCAAACAAACTGAATCTTGGTCTGAAACTAAAAAAAGAAAATTGGAAAAACAAGAAAATCGTAAGAAACGAAAAGAAAAAAAAATTAAACAGGAATCATCGACGAAATCAACGAAAAAACAGAAAAGAAAGGTAACTCAACAAGATATTGAAGAACTCGCAAAAGACATAGCATTAATAAAAAAATTGAAGAAAAAGAAGGTACATATAATTTATAGAATTTTTCGAGTATTACTTATAACAAATGTTTGGATATATTTTCAATGTGATGACTATTTTAGATTTCTCAAGAAGAATTTAACACAGCCTTTGGAATTGATAAAACAATTTAGTTAAAATAAGGTGTATAAAAAACTCCTACTTGATATCTGTTTGTACATTTATGTATACAAAACACTATCATCCAGTAAAGAGATAATAAGGTAATGAATACACAAAGATATACAGTATGAACTCCAGCAATCCTTAACTGGTTACCTTTAAAATACACTCTCTATTTGTCCTGTATGATTCATTGTGTTGTATGAAGATACATAGATATTAGATAAGATGCATATATTTTTCGTGTTTTTGTCAAGTTGTATTTATTCAGTGTACAACGTAGCAGTAGTAGTCAGACAAAGAATGAATCGTTATGACTATTCAATGTTACATTGGCGTTTTCTTGGAGGAATCTTAAGAGTATTTGTAATTCTAATTTAAAATTTAACTCGAAGCTACTTGATATCAAATGGAAGAATTTTTGGACCTAAACATAAAATTATTGTTACAATTGCTTCTTCGTAGAAAAAGAAGCTGAGTATCACTGAGGACAAAATGAGCAAAAGTCTGGAGATCACCGTTTTTTCAACGATACACCAGTTCCCCTGAACAGCTAATACCCCCCATCTGGTTTCACTGCACTGTAAGGCTTACTAAGAAATTCTTAGTGGTAGTGGTAGTGAACACAGATGAGGTGTGACCGGTATGACTAGCTTAGGGGAACACGTGGCCTTGTAGTCCGATAAATTTCGGATTTTAACCTGGGAAACGCAAACTATTAATTCAAACATTATTTTACTCGACTAGCCGAAATATTATGTAAAATGTACATATATTTGCGAAATACTTTACAAAAAACGTAAATAGGTTTTAAGCTCGGTGGAAGGGGGAAATACGATAGTGACTGCTGGTCGTGTATAAGCTACAGTGGTGAGTCATGCGTTTGTGAAGTGTCAAGGAACTGGATAAGCGTGTGTTTCGTTAAATTTTTTTAATCACATTCATTCGCGCAGTATTGAAACAAAATAATATTGTTTAAAAATGGATGATGGAGAATCAAAATATCATCCGAAATGGTTGTTAGAAATAGAAAATCGTAAAAGGAAGGTGAGCGTTTATCATCTTTAAAAATTTTATTAAGGACATGCATCCCTATATTTATGACGTAATTTATTATTATTTACATAATTTATACAACTACATAGGTATTTAGGAGGAAACGGATCGTTTTTAATAAAATTTCACCCTTTAATAAAAATTGGATTTATTTAACATTTAACTTATCTAAGATAAGAAGCGGTTTTTCAAATAATAAACATTGTAAGAAACAAATAAATAATATACAAACGCTAAAAAAGTATAAAAAGACTTATATTAACAGCAAGCATTTATTAGAACTTATGAGATACAAATAAGATTGTCTTGAATAGTTTTGGAATTATTCTGATTATTTCTTTAGCCTAGATTAGCGCACGAAGCTGGAGCAGGAGCCCCTTGTGCAATTTGCAATGCAACATGCCCTGGTTTGGACCTTCATTTTTGGAGAAAAACTTGTAAGAATTGTAAGTGCAGCAAAGATGACCATGATGTAGATGATGAAGACTTCCCACAATTTGATCTACTATTTGGATCCTCCAAAAAGTATAAGAAGAAACCCATGTGTAAATATTTTTGTTAAAGTTACACAGTGTAGTGTACATAACATTATACTGTGATAATAATACTTTGGTATTCTCTGTTTTAGTATTACATGTGCATAGTGAAAAAGAACATGCAGAAGAAGCATTCGAATGGATTCCACCAGATACAACGAAAGAACTTGCTACAGAGTACATGAAAGCCTTACCTATAGACAAATTGCCCATTAAAGGATCAGCTGGTGCCGCTTTGAGAAGGCAGTTATTGCAAAAACAGTTACCTCTTCATGATATAGATTCTAAATTTTGCGACGAATTGAGCGAACAAGAAAAAAATCAGTTTGAAAAGTATTTAGAAAACATAAAGAAGTATGTAGGGCAAGGAACAGTGACAAAGGTAAATTAATCGGTAAGAAAGCGAGCTGTACCATGAATATAGTTCTCCTAATGTATTTTCTACTTCACAGATACTAGGCGCTCGTCCATTTGATCGGTCGCTAATGACTCCTGCTAATGCTACCGACATGCAACCTTATAGTCCCCGAAATAAACCTTGCATACAGTCATCTATGATTCACTTGCGTACACCCAGCAGTTTCACGTCCAATAATTCGTACAAAAAAGATTTACATACAAAATCGAACGACCATGAACCGCCAACTTTGCCTATTGCAGAAATACTAAATAATTCTCGTGCCGCCTCGATTTCTGAGAAATGTAATACAATTAGTAGTAACTGTAAAATAGTAAAATCAGAACCAATTAAAGGTGGATTGTATTATAATGAAAATATTTCTCCGATTAATAATCAAAGAGTTAACAATAATTATCAACAGATTGTAGATAAAGAAGATAAAGAAATTCCAACGAATGATAACTTAAAATATTCAAATTCTGCAGTTATACCGTTTCAGAATTCATTAGAATATTGCGAAAAAGTATATAAGGATACGTTAGAAAATCCACCAATCTCTCTCTTGCATTCAGAATCGATTAATGATGAAGCCCGTATTGCAGAAACTATATTAGCAGACGCATTGCTTCCTCCAAGTAGGGTACACGCTCATGATATAATTGGTAGTACATTAGATGAAAAGGATTTGATGTTCATACGAGAAAAACTTACAAATAAATATAGCAACCAAAGAACTCAACTACAGATACCACATAATGCAACCGGTTTCAGAAAAGTTTTCGATACCAATGAATTGTTACAAAATAACGTTGAATCGCAGAACTTAAACACCGACAATGAAAGTAACAGAACAGCTGTTATAGCTGCCACGAAAAATACATCGTGTGTACCAACACTATCGAAGGGTCGAATTCAAACGCTAGAAAGAAACGTTAATGAACCTACGCGAATAGACGCAGAAAAATATCTAACCAACCCTAATTCACAAACATTTCAATCGATTCCTCTTGATGTTACGATGTCGCATTCGAAATCAACAAGAGAAAATCCACTTTCATCAGTCTCGTTACCACAAACATGCGTGCAATTTGCTAACAGTGATAATCATCGAACAGAATTGGGCCTTACGATACCTTGTACTGTTATTTATTCCGAAAAATTACAACACAAAACGTTCCCTTCTGAAAGTATTGGTGGTCGAAACCAACCAGTAGAAAGTCCACTACTGAACTTACGACATCTGAAAGGTGTAGTAGAAGAACTGACTATGGATCCTATTAATCTGCAAAAATGCTATAAATGCGAAGAAACGATACGCGTTGGCGACGTTGCTGTAATTACGGTAAAAGCTAAAAACGTCATGTGGCATCCAGGATGCTTTGTTTGTAATATCTGTAACGAACTACTAGTGGATTTACTACATTTTTATTACAAGAACAAACTATACTGCGGAAGAGATTTATCGACGCTTCTGGGAATTCCTAGATGTTTTGCCTGTGATGAAGTAATTATATAAGTCATACATAGTAATACTTTCTAATGTTTTGTGGTCTTCGGTACAATTTTCGTTTACTTTTTACAGCTTATTTTTGTACGAGAGTATACTGTCGCAGAAGGGCATAATTACCACGTAAAACATTTTTGCTGTTGGGATTGTGACGTTCCCTTAGCTGGGAAGCAATATATTACAGAGAATGACCGTCCGTTGTGCCTTCCATGTTATCAGAACACATACGCGAAAACGTGTCACACGTGTGAGAAGGTAATTGCTGCTGATCAGCAGGGTGTTACTGTAAAGGATTTGAATTTTCACGCGACAGGGACTTGCTTTTGCTGTTATATTTGTAAGAAGGATTTATTAAAATCTCGAACGGCAATTAAAGAAACAAAATTATTTTGCAGCAAGGAATGCATTGCAAAGTTTTTGCAACCGCAAAAATAACACTGTATTCTGCTGTCAAGAAAAGTTATGAAATATACCTTCAATTTGTCTATACAAAGTCTTATCAAAAAGTTCGTGGTCTTTATGTATAAATCATTTATTATTAATCTTAACGATAATTACATAAGATTGCCTTCAAAGCAATCTCCTTCCGTTCTTATATACCTTTGGGATCTTTATTTCCAGTTTTCGAAAGTGACATGATAAGCAGACGAAAGAATAGAGTCTACCTCCTCCTGCAATTTCTTAACATTTTGACGGACGCACATTTTACTCGAACATTCAAATCAATCGCCGGCATTACTACTGGTACCTATAGAACGGTACACTTGGTAAACCGGCCGATAACCGATGGCTGGCGAAATCACACATACATGATAGCAGCCGTCGCAGTGTTAATTATTGTCTCTCACGTGGCGAAGGTTAAAAATCACTGGCTCAATGATTGCTTCACCTCGTTCACATCGTAACCAATAGACAAATATTTTATGCCCAGTTATGATTAATTTTAAGAAACTTTCATGTTTTCATCTCATCTTAAACGGGTACTAAAAATACGACCGTTTCACCACGCGGAACACAATAATTACGAAATTGCAGAAGGAGGTAGATTTAATTTCAGCGTCCGCTTATCACTCTGATTTCGAAAACAGGAAGAAAATATCTCAAAGGTATATAAAGGCAGACAGAGATTTACTTTGAAAGTGATCCCATATAATTATCGTTAAGAGTAATAATAAATGATTTAAATATGAAGTTCACAAACTTTTTGATCAAACATATGTTGACAACATCAAACGTACACCTGTTGAAAGTAAAGAGCTCTACACAATTTTTTATAAGAATAATATATTTTTCAAGCAACATATAATTATTGTCTATTAAAGACTCTATCCTCACATTGAGAACACTGGCGATTTATTATAAACATGGAAAAAATAAGTAGTAAAAAAATTGCTTTTCGTGAAATATAATCTATATATATGTATACATACATTACATACAAAGCAAATTGTTTCCGTATCGAATCTGTATCGTTTAATAGAATATATTTTAGTAATTAAGAAAGCTAACTTATAATGACATTTTTAAAAATGATAATTTAATTTTGAACTTAATTGGATTACTCTTGATTGTTTCAATGAATATTACCTGAATTTCATAGAGGACTTCTAAAACATTGAATCTTGTCTATGAGTGACAATGGAAGTATTATACCATCTGTAGTGAACAACTTACGGGTAACATTACGCCACAAAAACCTCTACAAGATTCAATGCAACAGAGGGTTGAATTCTGTTATATTCATCTTCCAATATTTATGTATAATCGTCTGTTACAACTGATATTTAAATGAAAAATAAAATAAATGTTCTATGTTACAGCATAATCCATACCTATTCAGTTATCAAATTCCTCAAACTTAAACAATTCCTCGAACGTAAAGTTTTATCGTATAGTGACTCTTTAATGAACCACTTGAATTTCCTGTTAAAAGAAATGATTTTTATGATAATATGTGTGCTTTAGTAAATTTTTATTTTTTACGTATAAGAATTTCAAAACGTAATTACATAAAATTTTTATACTGTAATATTTTGTTTCCATTCGTACTTCGACCAAATAACAGCGTCTTTTATGTATAAAAATAACGAACGTAACTAGTATGTGATTCTTAACATTAAAAAAAGAAACTTACCGCATTCAGATCAATGAACGCATATGCATCTTATAAACAATTTTTGAGTATTTATTTAAAAGTTTTATCATATTTCACTCTGAATCACTATCGACAACACTTAAAATTCTCTTAAAGCTGCTGCGTGCTTCACGATGTTCTGAAGGAATCTCTTCTCTCTTTCTCTGAGCACGAGTGACGCGTCCTAAAATTAGCATATTATTTTAATATATAAATGTTGATTATAATTAATATATTTCTACAGCCATTAATAAAATTTCAAAAAATTCTAAACCTTCTGATATAATATTGCTTGTATTCAATTCAGCTATATCTTTGAGTCTCTCGTTTCTGTCCTTAGCCTTTTTACACTTTTCTAAAGTTGGTTTCCCAGTGATTCCATTATTTTCAAGCAATTTCTGGAGACACTTTATTTTTGCAGTATTGGATTTGCATCCCACCCAGATAGTGCTATAAGATTTAACGCGTATTCCAGCCGTTCTAATGTACTTTTTTAATATTTCTATTCTTTTCTCGCTTGAGCTAATTTTCTTAGCACTTAAAACATTATCAGATTTTTTGTCACTTTCTTCATCAGAACTTTCAACGTCGTCGTCATCCTCCTCTTCTTCGTCTGATTTCTGAGTCTCTTTTTTTGGTTTATCGCGATTTCCTTTCAATTCGGAGGATGATTTTGAAACTTTTCTGTTGGTTACTGTTTTTTTAAGTTCTCTTTCAGTTCGAGGACTACGATTTTCGTTTGAAACCTTCTCATTTTCTTCGGAATCACTATCGTGTGGTTTACTACTTGAAACGTCCTCAGATCTTCTATCATCTGCTTTATTAGAACTTTTGTCATTGTTGTCATCCTCCTCCTCTACGTCTGATTTTTGTGGCATTTTGTTTGCTTTGCCATGATTTCCTTTCAATTCTGAGGGTGATTTTGAAATTCTTCTTTTTGCCACTGTTTTCTTAAGTTTTCTTTTAGTTCGCGGACTAGAATCTTTATCAGAGACATTACCATTTTCTTCGGAATCACTGCCTTCTGATTTACTGCTTGAAACTTCGTCTGATTTTTTATCATCCACTTTATCAGAATTTTCATCATCCTCCTCCTCTACGTCTGATTTTTGTGACATTTTGTTTGCTTTGCCATGATTTCCTTTCAATTCTGAGGGTGATTTTGAAACTCTTTTTCTTGCCACTCTTTTCTTAAGTTTTCTTTTAGTTCGAGGACTAGAATCTTTGTCGGAGACATTACCATTTTCTTCTGAATCACTGTCCTGGGATTTACTGCTTGAAATTTCGTCCGACTTTTTATCATCTGTTTTATCAGAAATTTTGTCATCCATCTCTTCTTTGTTTAATTTCTTGGGTACTTTTTTTGGTTTAGCATGATTTCTTTTTAATTCGGAGGATGATTTCGAAATTCTTTTCTTTACCACTGTTTTCTTAAGTTTTCTTTTCGTTCGAGGACTAGAATCTTTATCAGAGACATTACCATTTTCTTCGGAATCACTGCCTTCTGATTTACTGCTTGAAACTTCGTCTGATTTTTTATCATCCACTTTATCAGAATTTTCATCATCCTCCTCCTCTACGTCTGATTTTTGTGGCATTTTGTTTGCTTTACCATGATTTCCTTTCAATTCTGAGGGTGATTGTGAAACTCTTTTTGTTGCCACTCTTTTCTTAAGTTTTCTTTTAGTTCGAGGACTAGAATCTTTGTCGGAGACATTACCATTTTCTTCTGAATCACTGTCCTGGGATTTACTGCTTGAAATTTCGTCCGACTTTTTATCATCTGTTTTATCAGAAATTTTGTCATCCATCTCTTCTTTGTTTAATTTCTTGGGTACTTTTTTTGGTTTAGCATGATTTCTTTTTAATTCGGAGGATGATTTCGAAATTCTTTTCTTTACCACTTTTTTCTTAAGTTTTCTTTTCGTTCGAGGACTAGAATCTTTATCAGAGACATTACCATTTTCTTCGGAATCACTGCCTTCTGATTTACTGCTTGAAACTTCGTCTGATTTTTTATCATCCACTTTATCAGAATTTTCATCATCCTCCTCCTCTACGTCTGATTTTTGTGGCATTTTGTTTGCTTTACCATGATTTCCTTTCAATTCTGAGGGTGATTGTGAAACTCTTTTTGTTGCCACTCTTTTCTTAAGTTTTCTTTTAGTTCGAGGACTAGAATCTTTGTCGGAGACATTACCATTTTCTTCTGAATCACTGTCCTGGGATTTACTGCTTGAAATTTCGTCCGACTTTTTATCATCTGTTTTATCAGAAATTTTGTCATCCATCTCTTCTTTGTTTAATTTCTTGGGTACTTTTTTTGGTTTAGCATGATTTCTTTTTAATTCGGAGGATGATTTCGAAATTCTTTTCTTTACCACTTTTTTCTTAAGTTTTCTTTTCGTTCGAGGACTATAATCTTCGTCGGAAACATTTTCATTTTCTTCAGAATCGCTGTCTTGTGGTTTGCTAAAAGAAGTTCGAGCCTTCTTCTTTCCTTTCTTTACAATTTCCTTCAATTTGATTTCAGATACATTTTGCGAATCTGACTTCTCTGTTTCAGAAGAACTAACATCTAGTTCTGAATCATTAGGTTCAGCTTTAACAATTATTGTCTTCCGTTTAGGTTTTCTTTCGTTTTCATTTTCAGATTCTGAAGAACTCGAAGACTCCTTGTCACTAGCACATTCTACTGAAAGTTCTAAACCCTCCACTACTTCTGCATCATCTGTTTGGGATTTACTCAGTCTTTTTTTCTGTTGAATATTATTTTCTTCCTCCTCCCCCTGTGGTTCCTGCCTCTTTAATTTTCCCTCCTTTGTATCAAAGAAAAAAAGAAAGAAAAATATTATGACATACTATGATTTAAAATAAAATTCATGTTAAATGTATAGCTTGTTACCTTCTGCTCAATGTCTATTGAATCATCAGCCTGAGTTTTTATTGTATCAATTTCTTCACTTTTAATCTTAAACTCTATATCACCAATTGTTGTTGGATCATTGTTTGTATTTTCTTCTGACATAGATACACATTCTGCACCATCCGTGTTGTTGGAAGTATTTATATTTTTTATATCTTCTTTTACATTCTCAATGCTACTACCATTTACTCCTGAATTACATTCAGATTTCTCTTCTTCAGATTGAATTTCATCAAATTTCATTAACTTTTTAGAAGATAGCTTTTCATCCTCTGAACTTTCATCCCGTGGTCTCTTTTGTGGATGTTCATTGATACTTAAGGAATCATCAAACGTTTCTTTGTCGCTTTGATCGGATTCAATCATTTTTTTTTAGAAACTCCTAAAACAGGAACAAGTTCTAGATGTATTATTTTGATACAACAAACTTAAAACATTGGATTAATAAACAATTCCAGAAAAGTAATATTCCGTTACAAAAAACATGTCTGGTTAGATAACTTATTTTATAATAATGACAGTAAAAAGCAATTAAAATTATTCGATGTCTGTAGCCTCAAATCAAACATTTTTTTGATCCCATATTCACTATTTATATAGAATGATCTTAAAAATTAACTGACATTAACTATAATTTTCTGAATTATCATAAAGATCATCGATCACTCTTATTATAAATAATGTCGCGTTTTAAAAGTTCGTCAGAAATTAATTATATATATAGTAGTATGTTATTACCACATTATAGTTGTACTAAATATTTACCGTAGATCTGTTAAACATAAGATATTTTGTGATTTAATCTGCAGCAACTTCAATGAAAATAATCACTGAAACAATGAAACATAATAATTAATTCACAAAACGAAAATTCTACGCGGTGACATTCGATCAACACTTTCACAAGCGATGGTCGCAACGTTTGCGCGGCAAAATCTACGACGCGGTAACTTGCGTAGTCGCGATTGGCTGTCTAATCCATCTACAGTGTAAGCTTAAGGGGGGACACTCCTTTGGGGCCAACTCCGAATCGATCGAAGCGCTGATGTAATCAATCGGACACTAACGAAAACACATAATCGATAATTGGAACAGCTTAATAATACGATATCTAACGGCAATACCCACAAATAAATTTTGTTCCCCGTTACCATCAAGTTGGGTTTGTGTATTTGCTACGCGAAGACAGTGTTGCCTGACAGTATCGATTTTTGACAATTCTGCCCATCAGGAGAACGATGGAATACCTACGGCTCGTGGCGAGATTTCAATTCTCGCCGAACGTAAGAAAAGAATGGTGCGACTGAAAGAGATTCGAGAATGAAGCAATACTTACGTACTAATGTGTGCAACGATAAACCTTTTCTATTCGTACTTGCAATGATGCTAATTTTTTGTATTACATACGAAATACTTGAAATGGCATTCCCGAGAAACAATAGTTATTTATCATTTATTGACCTAATTAATGCAGATGTTATATACTTAAACATATATTTCATAAAAAGATGCAAAAAGAACACAATTAATCAGCGGAAATAGATTTTGAACTAACAATGATTTTTCGACTTTCTTGTATATATGTGCACAGGGATAAGGAAGGAAGGACTTGAAGGATTTGAAAAAGAGTACGATCTTCATATTATCCAAAATGTTTTATTTACTGAAAGTAATTGTTAACATATATGGGGCGGCTGCCCCCCGTAACTTCTTTATCTGAAACGGTAAAATAAAAATTAGATCTTATAATAATACTCGTACATTTATATCGGTGATTGGGCAACTGTTTGCTCACGATCATCGGAAGGAGAAATCCAGCCGCGCGTACTCGTGATATCGTTCAGATCAGTTGCGATCGTTGCCCAGATATTTCTCGCAATTCACGCACGCACACACACATTCATTCTTGATTGTTTTTTGTTAATTACGCCAGCTACGTCGTGAATATTCTAGAATCTAGAATACGGAGTATTCGCGAAAAATCTAATATATGTCTCTCTCGTGCATCGCGTATACATACACGGTTTCCGTTGATTGTGTGAGTGCATGGACACAGCACACGAGCCACGGAGTCTCCCCCCTTAACAGGAATTGCAAATCAAATAAATTCCTTAGTTCGTATTCATTTTTGTTTTTTTGGAATATATATATTATCAAAACTTACTATATTATTCTCTGAGCAACTTATCTACATACATATATATATAGAACGTTTCAATCGGTAAAGTATATAACATGCACTCGATTCATATAATGTACGGTGACTTACCTAAGTATACTAATGCATACTATGTAATGTATAAATTGATCATCCCCAGTAAGGATTGGTAAGGATAGAGTTCGTAAAATAAAAAACGTAATGTTCATAGGGCATAAGATAGTGCCAGAGTATTCGTTAAAAAACAAAATCTGTTCATTTTGCACCCAAGATCAACCTTTTGCAAATTGTGTTTGTTCGTTGCACTATTAATTAATATAAAAAAAATTAATGCACAGCTTTGGTAATTGTTCTGGACAATGGGTTGGATGCAGATATAATTGAAATATTAATGGACGATTTAGGGCAACGTAAAATAATTTAACAACAACAAAGCGCAGAATTAGATTAAAAAATGAAAATTAATATTATATTGTTTTGTATGTAAAATGCCGTTGTGGCTGCATTGTGCCTCGTATGTGCGTTACATTGTTTACATTGTCGGTTCAGTGGGTTCCGCCATATTGAATCACAACAACAGGTTGAACAAAAGTAGCGTATTCATTTATAGTTTATTTCTGCTACAAAATATGGTGACCGTTCACTAAACATGTTGAGAAACAGCAAATGAGCAGTACCGTTCAGCGTAAAATCTAGTGAAATCACTCAACAATTGAGTCTGCTAAACGCAGCCATCGATACCAATTGATACGGTGATTCACTAGTGTATGGAGTGTATGATAGCGTATACGACCGTGGTGTCACAGCTGTGAGTGTGTGACTCACAGGGTACACAGTAAACGAAAATCGAGTGAACTGTGCTACCGTAGCACTGCTACGTGCTACGTGATGTATATGTAGTACGTGTCAGTACGTGTGATTGGTGAGTATCATACATAGAGACATAAATAGAAATTTCTATTTTTATATTCATAATATTATCTATGTCTATGATCATAGATAAGTAATATTAGCTTACATAGTTTGTATGTACCTAGGATACGCAACATTTGTATAGTAGGACTTTTACAAACTAGTAAAAATGAAGCATAAGAAAGAAAAATATAAATCTAAAGGTGAAAAAACAAAATCACGGAAAAAAGATAAGAAAAACCATAAAAACCAAAAGAAGCATGATACATCGAGTTCGAGTAACGTGAGTATATGACATTATTGTGTACACTGGTATCGAATTGTTTCTTTGTATCGTATCTCTTGCACATATTTTAGTGTTAATTACAAAAGTAATGTAATTTTAGACTGGCAGTGAAAGTGAGCAAGAATGGGTGGAAAAGTCAATACCTCGGTCTGCGTTTACGAATCAAAGTATACCTACTGTATCAACAGAAAAAGCAGAATTTTGTAAAAGAGAAGATTGGATGAATGTGAAAAATATATTTCCTTGCGTATTTAATGATAAAAAATCATCTGTTGACTTGGATAAACATACTGATAAGTCCAATTTAGATAAATTAGGTCAAAGCGACAAAGAATTAAATCTATATTGGAAGAATGGAGGTAATGGTTTACCTAGTATGGACAGAACAAGAACAGATAGGAATCGAACAATGGATGTAAATTGGCTTAAAAAAAGTCTCAAGCGAGCACAAGAACAAGCGGAAAATGAAGGAAGAAGTTTAGAAGAAATTGCAGCTGAAAGATGGGGTGTAAGTATAAATTATTATTTGATTCGAATCTACTAGAAGATATAAAAAAAAACAATAATTTTTGGTCCGACGAAGTAAAGTTCAGCCAATTCTGGGATACGAACGTAATGCTAATACCGGTGTTACCTTTTTGTAGTCTTTAGAAGTTATTCAATCAATGATATTCAAAGCAGAAAAAGTATCAATGAAAAAGAGATTAGAAGAAAATGCAAAACAATGTTCGGGTTATGCTATGAAGCCAAAGAGAAATTATCACAGATCTAGATCCAGAAGTTGTGACAGAAGGGAACAGCATGTAATGTGGGATGATATGCACTATGAAAAACAATTTAAGCAGGCATATAAAAAACCGATGGATGACAATTGCTCTGTTAGCACTTCTTATAAAATACATCATTCAACTACAAAAAGATGGCAGAAGGGGAAAATATCGGATAAAACTGAAGAAAATCGATTAAACGCTTCTGATTTAAAGACTATCGGTGTTCCGTGCAGCAGCAGTGCAGATAAAATAGTTAACAAAGAAATGAAAACTTTCACAGAAGAAGAACTAAATAAGTTAGGGGCAAAAATTGTTAAAGCTGAAATAATGGGTAATACTGTAAGTTTTATATTTTGCTTTTATCTTTATACACATGGAATGCATCAGTAAAGCATAGGAATCTAGACATTATTTTCACAGGAACTTGCTGCTGAATTAAAAATTCAGTTAAAGAAAGCTAGAGAACTTGTAGCAAACACCATGCAGTCAAATGAATCTGATGAACTCCATAATGTAATCCTTGCAAGAACTGATAACAAAGGTACGTATTAAATGCAATAAGTTTTATATGACTTAAGGACAAAGATTTATCATGAGTTGTTATGCATAACAGGTATTACAAGACCATTAGAATCTAGAGGTCAATCTATAGAATGGGCAGGAAATTCAAAACAGAAAAATGCAACAACGCACGTTGCGGGTAAAAGAGTGCTGCATTATTTTGATGACGATAAATATTCGTTACAGCAATTAGTAAGTATTTAGTTGAAGTAAAGTTGTGGCATTTAATATTATATTCGTTTAAAATAACAAATTGTCTCAGTTTCAACGTGAAAAGGGAAGACCCACAAATGAAGATGACGCTCAATTTGTTAAAGTTGCTTCTAGGGTATGTAAATAAATAAAACGTTTATCTTAACGTTATCATATGCCGATAAAACTAATAATTGTATAAATTTACAGAATATGAACATGGACGAAATATTTGAAGAACAGATTATACGTGTTCAGTCAGATGCCAAACAAGATGAGAAAGATCGCTCACGCGCTATCAAGGAGCATAAACAATTATCAAAAAGTTTGGGTAGTTGTCACTGGTGTATTGAGTCGAAATACATGTTGAAACATATGATTGTTGCAATGGATTCTGATATCTGTTTGAGTCTTCCGGCTTGTACTTCTTTAACTGATGGACATTGTATAATAACACCTGTACAACATGTTACTTGTCAATTACAATTAGATGAAGATATTTGGGAAAAGCTGAAGGTATGATAAACTCTCAATATCTTTTATAAACATAAAATCATACAAGAATTTTACTTTCAGGCATTTAAACAAACTTTACATAAAATGTTTGTGGATCAAAATAAGTATCCAGTGTTTTATGAAAGTTACAAAAGTCGTCACAAGTTTTTACATATGCAATTAGAATGTGTTCCATTACCAAAAGAAATCGGTGAATTGGTTCCGATGTACTTCAAGGTAAAATTATATGTCCACGATAAATTGAATGGCATCAATATTTATATCTTATAATTTTCGGTACAGAAAGCATTACTAGAGTGTGAAACTGAATGGTCTATGAATAAAAAGGTTATCGATCTTGAACATAAAGATATACGTCATGCCATTCCAAATGGTTTATCTTATTTTGTGGTTGAATTTGAAACGAATAAAGGATATGCGCATGTTATAGAAGATGAACACATGTTTCCAAAAAGTTTTGCAGAGGTAATTTTTCTTCAAATAAAGTATTTAAGGTATATAGCTGTTATGTATTGAAACACGTTTAATAACATTTTATAGGAAATTATTGGTGGAATGTTGGATCTAGATCATGATGTATGGCGTAAGCGTAAGAGAGAAAATTTTGACCAGCAACGAGAAAAAGTATTAAAATTCTTGGACATATGGAAAAAATATGATTCTCCAACTACAATTTGTACTTAATTTAAAAAGTTAATTTTAAAAAATTGTACATAGATGTATAATTTTGAACGATACATTAACTTTCCCATAGAAATATTAACAAAAATAATTACTTGGTTCATATTATTTATATTTTTTATTTACATTTAGATTTGCTGTTTTTATTTATTAAAAAATCCTGTGACTGGAAATTCCTGAAAATACTCTTTTAAGATAGATGGAAATAGTGATAAAATCTTAAAACGTTTTCCCATCTTATCTTCGTCCATTATTGTTTGATATCCAGATTCTAACTGTTCATGTGCATCTTTTGAAGCATTTCTTAAAAGCTTTTTTAACCGTACATCGATTCCAAGACATCTTAAAAAACACGCTTGAGGTACTGGTCCAAAGGTTATTAGCCTGTCATCTTTTTCTGCAATCCTTTTTATAGCTGCAAAATCAACATCTGCCGTCAAATCTGCAATTCCCGGATTTAAAAGTGGATTGTATGCTTTGTGTCGACAAAATGCACGGAAAGTATCGGTTTTATCACCGCTGTGACCATAATCACAAATTAAAGCAAATCCACCACATTCCCACAAATACTGAGCCATGTAATCTACTAGCACTAAGCTTTGTGGGCTAACTTCTATGTGATCCCTTTTTTCATTGTCCTGTAAAACATCTGTTTATATAATAATTGTTTGTAATACAATTTCAACAGAAAAATTGCATATTCTTACCGGTATATAAACAGTGGCAGGTGTTTGTATGTTTGATAACACGTAACGAAATTTTTCTTCATTGCTGTTTTCAATTATATCCACCAGAACTTCGTTCCACCCTCTGTCTGTTTTCTGTAGTTGAAACAAGTCTATTTATGTATTGTTTAGATACAATATAATTATATCCTGTTTATTTTTTAAATACCTGAAATTTGTGTATTGGCAGAGCATCAAAGAATTCATGCGCTAAGAATATACTGAATTTTTTGGGTACATCCTCAATAGAATAATACCAATATATATTTACATTATCTTCTGTAATACCTTCTCTATAATAAGTTATGCAATCTTGTTCAGAGTTCTTTATTCTGATATCATGTTCTATACTTGTTTTACATAAATTTTTTGCTTGTATCATTGACAAAATAGGACTAACTTCCACCAAATGTATTGATACATTGTTTAGCACACGAAATTGCTTAAATACCTATGTGATAGGTATATGTTTACAAAATAAAATATATAAATTTTGACATATTTAATACTAAAAACATACCCGTAATATATCTTTCATTAAAGTTCCTCTACCTGGGCCTAATTCAATAATTTGAAAAGGACAATTCGTGATTTTTGTCTTTTCATGGTACATCCAAACTGCTATTATCTAGAAAGTACAAAATAAAATGAATTAAACTTATATATTAAAGACATTAAATTCAAATTATTTTTCGTTGAAAGGTTTTAAACATAATAGACTTACATACTTCGCCAAATAACTGTGTGATTTCTGGAGATGTTGTAAAATCACCCTTTTCGCCAAACATGTCTTTGTTCATGTAATAACCCGCATTTGGATGAGTTAATACTTCTTTCATGAAATCGGCAACGGTAATAGGTCCGCATGCTACGATTTTTGAATATAAATGTCGATAAAGGTTTGGCAATTTTTCCTCATCCAAATGGGAAGAATCGTTTGATGAATAAAATAGAGAATTTGTTTTTCGGCAATGTGATAACATACTTGCCTCTAGTAATCTATAACTCCCAACATATTTTCTAAATAATCGAAATGTTTGCAACATTTTTTTTTTACAATTAATTCAACTAAAAATCATAAGGTACGGAGTTAAAGGGTTTAAAGGCAAAGGTGTAAACACAGTAAGTATACATATAAGCACAATGTAAGTTGGTATAATAGACTGCGCGGTCTTATAGTATGGATGAGGTTGGCAGTGAGTGAGAGGATAATACATGGAGTAACAGACTTCTCTTTCTAATGGGGCTGTTGGTGGGGGATTCTCCTACGGCTATGTGGAGGCATTACATGCGTGCAGCATGGTGCAGCATTCCTTCTCCTCATCTGTCCTCATCTGTCCTCATCGCCCTCCAGTGCCAGGCTGGCATCACTGCTCGTAGCTCGTAGCTCGTAGCTCGTAATTCGTAGTCGTTCGGTCAGATGTCAGATCAGTTCTGATCAATTGTGAGCAGTTGTGATTGGTTCTGATGAGAAATTGAATCGTAGATAACAGAATAAACATCGATTTTATTATCGTTAGATTACAAAAAAGGACATAATAATCGTGTGAATGTTAATTATTTTTTCGAATAATAAGTGGGATTATTGCGCAAATTTTTGTTCAATATACTGTACTGTTCTGATAACGTTAACCTAAATCGGTGACAGATGTAAACGAATGACAAAATTTAATAATGCCCTGTGCACAAAAAATAAATGGATTCAGAGATAAAGGGTCAGAAATCTTTACCACCGTTAGTTAAAGGGAAAATTCATGGATATTTGAAACTTGTTATAGATGAAGTCATTTGGTCGGAAAAAAATTTTCAAGATATTAAAATATTCGCGTCTTGGTGGGGTGAAACTATAAGCGCTCAATTCAGGTGAAGTATATTATATGTATATCCAATATTAAGAATTTGTTTATTGAGTTTAATCTATCTATTTTTATTAGTATTAGCAAGTATCTCTTCTTTAAATAAATCAAGTCCTTTAATTTTTATATTATGGAAGCTATGCTGCTTTCTAAATGTTATAATGTGCATATCTTTCAGACCAGTAGATATTACAAAAAATGTCACGCGATCTGAGTATGAAACAACAGAAATTTATGCTATTCGTACAAGTATAAATCTTTTTCAAGAATATGTTAAAAACTGTGAGTGCATAGAATTAACCATCATTTCGGAAGAAAATAACATAGTGATAGGTACATCTAGAATAACAAATTTATTAGATTTTTTTGACTTGAAACCATGTTTCGAATACGTTCCAATCATAAATGAATGTGGAAATAAAATAGCAGAAATTCACGTTTTCATGAAATTAGAACATGTGGACAGATCTCCAAATATGCAAGTAAAATCACACCAGTATGTAAAAGAGAATGTTATAGATAAGATTGTGCTTGGAGCTACTAATGATTTTGAATATCCAAGAGACGTAACTAACAATACATATAATGTATGGAATAAATCGAAACCACAGGATAGTGAAATTTATAAATCCATTTTAAAGTCTAGGAGAATGAGATATGAGAAACCTTTGACAACAGCAAATAAAGAAATAATGGATCAAGTTGTTGCACAAATTGTTGCAAGAGCACAAAGACTCAGAGGGGCAATATTGAGAGAAACGTATAACAAAGATGTTTGTACTGACAGCAATAAATCATTAAACGCCACTGTATACTTTGATGTGTTTGGTGAAGATAATGTAAAATCATACGATTACATTATGGATGCAAAAACAATTACTCTTGATGAGAATGAAGCATTGTGTACAGCCAAATTGACTTCCCCAACTTCAAGTTGCATCGATTTTACTGCCAATGATTTTACAATTGGCAAACACGGTAAGCAAAACATTACATTAAATAATACATCTTCTGCACAGACAAATTTTCCACTGGATGAAATATTATTGGAAGAAAAACTTCATAAGAAACCAAAAGGTATATAAATCATTTTAGTAAACATTTAATATGTTTTAACTTTATAAATTGAAGTTGTAATATGTTATATTCCAGAAATTTTATTACTGAATCATGTAAATAGTATTAGAATTTTTGTGGAATCATTTACTTTGACTCCTGCTGGTTATAGGCGTGTTAAATCTTCTTCTTTATCACGTATGTTTACATAAAATACAAATATGAAGTATCATGTAAACATTTAAATAAATCATGGTTTTACATATATGTTTCTTTTTAGATCACGATAATATTTCTTTGTCTGTTACTTATGTACTTCAGTACAATATGATATTTGATCATGTTAGAACAACAGGAAAAAAATTAGGAAATAATAACAAATCCGTAAGAGTATGTTCCAAGAAGCAAATAGATCAAGGTATATTTTAAATATGTAATATCAACTTTTACAATTTTTATTTGTTAACCCTCGAACAGCTGATCGAAAATATGGATGTGGTGGGCCGATACTGGGTCATTTTGACTCATACGAAATTTTATATACATACGTCTTCATTTTTTGCTGTTATATTGAATACTGATGCAACGTGCGTATTTTCAAATAAAGATCAGAGGGAGAAAAGAAGAAAAAAGTTCTCGACGAGCTCGAAGAAATGCGACACTGCATAGAATCCACTATTTGACTGTAGAAACATGTATACAAGAGACAGATCGAAATGACCCAGCATCGGCCGGGTGAGGGTTAATTATTATTAATGACATAATAGAATTAATTGAGAATATATGTTCATAGAAATTTATTTTAACCACGATAGTATCTATGAAATATCGAAGTTAAAATCACACACAGAATACTTCATAAGGTATAAAGTACTTGTCCGTCATCGTAATAAAAAATCGCTAACAGAATTAGGCGCCGGTACTATGTATGTTAGTGATATTATAAAAAGTGAGAATTGGAGCATTGCACAGTGCATAATTATTGTTAATAAAGGAATAAAGATTGGCGAATTAAATGTGATCGCAGAATTAGGTTCGGATTTTATTCACTTTGGGAAACAGTATATTGGTAAGCATATTTTGATTAGAGGTAAAAGTATTCCTATTTTGATCATTTTGTGTGTTATACTCTTCTAGATGATATTATATGTTCCAAAGAAAATATACCCGCTTTGAGAATACAACGACAATTAAGCCAAGATAAAAGTAATAAAAAAAGTAAAAGTGCAACAGATGTTCAGTCAGAAAGCAATAGTCAAGTCCCATCAATTTCAACGCAGAAGGTAGATTGTGTAACTGCTGACAATGATTTACTTGCTTCAACAGGTATATCTCACTGCAAAACAGAAAATACAGATAATATAAGAGTTGATGTAAAAAGTCAAGAAAATTATGTCAAGGAGAAGGTAAAAAAAGAATGATTTACAATATAAGTATTCTTAACATGATTATTGTTGTTGAAAGAACAATTATTCCACAGGTTTTACTTCAGGGTTTGATATATATATCTGAAGGAAAAGAATTGTCAGAAGTAAATACTTATTTAGTATGTAGAGCATTTTGGAAAGAGGACAAGAGTAAAAGTCAAATTTGTAGTAACACAAAAAATCCGTTTTATCAGTTCTGTCAAGTAATTGTTTTACTTACTTATTTTCTAATACTTGTTTATACTAATACATAAATACTATTTATAAATACTTTTTATATTGCAGTTAGTACCTGTCGTTCACAGCACCGATCTATTAGATCGCATAAAAGACAATTACATAATTATTGAAGTTTATTATAGAAACAATAACAATGTAGACAATCTACTAGGATTGACAAAACTGTCTATGCATCAGTTATATGTTGCGTATAGAGATCCATGTGTACTGCCTCACTTACTATTGTCTAAGGTACATAATTTTTATTTCACATAACTCTACATGCAGCAACCCATAAAATTAATTATTTTAATGTTTCAGTATCCTGTTGTGAGTGTAGATGAATGGGTGCAAATTACTGATCCCATAACTAGTCAATCCCATGGTGAATTACTTGCGTTGGTAGCTCTTGGAACTGCTGAACAAATTGCATTATTGGAAACGTCAAGAAATTTACGAAATACCCGTAACAAATCAAGTTCTGCTGAAAATGTTTTCGGATCTATAAAGCATCTAGAGAAGACGCGACTTTCAGTGAATTGTAATTCATCCGAATTACAGAGAAAAGTGGAGATATTTTCACAAGATAAAGATGTTGATTCAGGAGAGAAGAAAAAATGTTCTTTAAATTTCAAAACTCAAGAGTGTCAGACCGACATCTCAACTATCAGAGAATTAAAATTTAGGAAAGAATCGCAATTAGAGACGAATTCAGAAGATTTAATTTTATATACGTTAATGGATCGTCTAACGGAAGTTTTAAGTATTGACAAATCTCATGCAAATAATAAAATAAATTTGAAAAAAAAGAAAGAAATACCTACAAGTGTAGGGGACCAAATGTCCATAAATGACTTAAATTTTCACAATAGTTATGACGAAAGTGATAACGGTAGCGTTAAACATAGTCAACATGTACCCACGGGAATGTATAGAAGTGTTGGGGTTGGTGCTGAATATGTGGAAGAAGTAGACCAACAACTAAACATTGACTACAGCAGTACAATATATGATTTGCCATCTGCAACTCATAGAGACGAAGAATCAATGAATTCTGTGTGTAGTCAAACCATGTTTCGAGCTGTTGTTGAAATTGAATGCGCATTACATTTACCAAAAGTAGAGAAGATAAATGAAACCATCGAACCAAGTACATATGTATCTTTTCGGACTAACAAATGTGATCCATTAAAACAGTTACACTCCCATATGATTAGTGATGTTTTCCCACATTCTTGTAATCCTAAGTGGAACTGGAAATGTGATGTGAAACTGCCAGTAGAATTACTTTTACACGTATGTTATTGTTAAACTACATATGGAATTTGTTACTTGTCTTCGTATAATTAAATTTTTTTAGGCCGAGAAGAGACTGATTATCAAAATTTGGCGCTTATTAGACACAGATACCAGTGTGCAAATAAACTTAGAACAGGATATTGTTATTGGATTTTCCGCTATTGACCTTTCAGTGTTAATTTCTGGTTTTCCTACAGTATCTGGATGGTTTCATGTAATGGACTTTGCTGGAAAATGCAATGGACAAATCAAAGTATTGTTTAGATTTAATATACATTTGTTCTCTTATTTGTTCAATTGTACAGTAATATTTGTATTTCAGGTGTCTATAACGCCATTGGATAATTTATCATTGTTCGGAAAATCAACATCATCCTTGAGTACAACACGAATTTCAACATATAATGTATGTCAATCAAATTGGTTTCCATTAAATACTCATGAGACACATTCTGGTAGTACAGAAAAAAATACTTTATCAATAATACCTGTACAAGAAGAAGTTTCAAAACTTTGTGGAAATCAGTTAACTGACTCTGTATCACAGATTGGTTCTGAAGATGTATCTATGTCATTCTTGTCTTTATCCTTGAAGTAAGATAATTTGTTATTAGTTCTCTATCATAAAACGTATACTTTTTCAAAATATAATTACTGAATTTATATTTTTCGTAGGAAAAAATTAACTGAATTAGATGAAATTACAAAACGTTTAGAATCACGATTACACGATGTCACAAATACGGCTTTTGAAGATTACTTTGAAAGTGAATTTGATGTAAATGAACCAAATAATGATATAGAAAATAATGATTACAAAAGTACAGACACAACACCCGTCATAGTAACAAATTATAATGACAAAATCTGTGAAATATCTCAGCTAAATGAGAAATTATTAGAAAAGGCAGATGTTATAGTGAATGAAAATAAAAATACATCAACCGAAAATGAATTTCAAAATTGGTCGTCCAAACCACTTGTTACTTTTAACAAAACCAACACGTATGGAGAAACTACACCTGGTTCCTGTAATCTATCAAAATCTTATTCTAAACAAATTTTATCAAATGGTAATTGTCAAATGCAACATGGACATGAACATTTAACAGACAATATTGAAATAGTAGACGATAATTTTTCGAAGTATCCACAACGAGGAACGAGGACCCATATAAGTTACTTACTTGATAAGCTATCATTACAGTTACCCTCGCAGACCCATTTAACTGCAACTGTCCCAACGAGGAAAAATTCCACTGATTTATTACCCAATTTACCAGAAAACGATAACGGTATACAAAATAGTAATATTTCCACTGAAGAATTCAAAGCATGTACAATGCTCAGGGAAACAGAAAATGTAAATAATCAAAATATTCAAACTTTGGAAAGTTATGAAATTATATGTTCGCCTAAAGGAAACAAAAGATATAATGCTAGAAATTTGTCTGAAGTGTCTGCCCAATCACAAAATACTAACAGAATGTCGACTGTAATCCGTGAGGAATTGACTGCTGATGAAAATAACGACACTTCAAAATGTGACAATGATTTAAACAACATTTTCAACCCACTTTTATATCAACATTTAGTACCAGATCCGTATTACTCGAACACGCCACCAGAGGAAGAAGCCATTGAACAATTAGATAATCGTTATACTAAAACCTTTGTTACGTCGGTGGATAATACGTTAAGTAAAGTACGGAATTTAGAAGAGATCGGTGCATCATCTTCTGTAAATACTGAATTGTTTAAAATGACACCGCCTAGTGTATCAGAAAATATTGACAACAACGTTAATTTAACCGTTCTTCATGAAGCCAGTTACACCGATTTACTAGCAAGTAATAGTACAGAATCAACTACAACGTTGTCGCCTGGAAAGACTTCAGTGAAACAGATCGATGATGAAATGACTGAACGTAGTTACTCTACTTCCTCTCGAGCATCGGATCTTGTATTATCGAGACAAGCTCCTGATGGCGGTAATCCCATGGAAGATGTTACAAAGCAAGCGATATTTCAGCAAAATAATGACGTTCAAGACTTGTCACCTAATAGCTGTAATTAATTGCTTAACAACGTATAGGTATAAGCGCGCATTATTTGATTACGTAACAATGATTTTCTGAAGTAAGGAGTGGCGAATATTTCACGCGTATAATTCATAAACGAACGTACGAATCTGTTGTTCGTTTGTTGTATACAAAGCGTTTATGCATATAAACATAAAGGTAATACCTGATATCGGTTACATAGTATGCGTAGACTGCATACTACGCACACAAAATGTGATGATATCAGAATTATTAAATATGCTGTCTAGTAGAGTATATACATTAATGATATTAATTAAGCATCTAATGTATCTACATACAGACATATGTATGCAAACGCATCAAGTATGTGTGCGCTCACATTTTTATTTTTTTATATAACAATTGTACATATTATTCCTAAAAGCATAAATACATTGAAACGAATTGTATAACCGTTGATTGATGTTGAAACAAGTTGGATCAGTATACAAAATTTTTTTCAGTAAATAAATGTTTACATTAAAGTCTAAAGAAAATAAATATGTAATTAAACACTGCTTGCCTTGCTATGTTTCGAAAACGTAAGTCAAATATTAATAGGAATCAAATGATACGCGTCAATTGTATTTACCCTTTTAAATAAGCAGAAAGGTAAGCTTCCCTTCGTGTCCATTGTGTGACAACTTTAGGATGTATCAGCCATGTTTTGGCAATAGTCGAGCCATGTTGATGTATAATTGAACAATCTCGGATTTTCTACAATTTTATATAAGTTTTAATAGTTTTCTATAATGTATGCACAAATGTGTATTGTAATAGTTATAGTTTCTTATAATGATTATAGACTTACACGGAATAATATTAAGTCCGATTTTTTATATCTTTTTTGCTGTTCATATTCTTTAGTCATACATAATCTACATAAGAATATTTTATTTTTTAAATGCCAATAATCATTTACTAGCCGTTTTCCACATTGTTTGCAAACATCTAGATTTCGACTGCAACATTTTAGATCCACACCAAGTCTCATTTTTACTCTACCGCCAAAATTGTGCTCAAATGTAATACCTTCACCTTTCGTACTGACATACATCCCTGGACTGTCATGTATAAAGATTAATTTATGTAAAGTAGATAATTGGTATTATCTTGATAATTTTGTTCTTTACCCTGGAATTGTATTTGCATTGAATGGCCTCTTCTCATTATTATGTTTAGATAGAGACTTTAATTTGTGTATCTGTTTAGGAAATATAGAAATATTGTAATCTAATGGTGATGGATAATCATCTTTGACCATGACTTGTTTAGCAAATCTGGCAATACCACTGTATCCTTTTTTACTAATACTATGAGAACAAGGCTGAAATGAAATGTACTATTTCAATCTATGTTGCATTTACTATGAAATACTTATAAACACTATTTCCTAATATTGTGAATCATAATCAATTGTACCTTGGCTTTAATGGCTTTATAGGATTCCAAAACATTATATGTATTTGGTGCTACATTCTGATGATCTTCTAATGTATAATATTTCATAAACGGACTCATACCCTTCTTGGAAGTATCACGTGGACGTGTTGATCCAAAGCATATTTTTTGTTGTTCTTGTTTTTGTATTACATATTTAAATTCTATTCACAAAGAAAATCATATTCATTCGATATAGAAAATGCAGTTTTAAAATATTAACCAAAGTTCTCAATTATGACTATATTTAGATATTAGATTTCGGTATATTATTTTTTTTTGAGATCTTTATTGACAATTCATTTAGCTGAGTACTATGTTACCTTCCATTTGTTCCTTAATTTAGATTGATAGACAATTTTTTTAAAATGTTCTTACTTTTTTAATGTAATCGAAAATTGTCGAAAAATCTTTTTATACATTCGCAGACGTCTGGCATTTAATCGTTTTATAGATTACCTACTTAAAAATAAATAAATAAATAATGTACGATTCGCACTTCACATTAATTTATATCTATTGAAAAGTAATGCGTAACTAACAATAAGTTCAATTTGAAAGTCACGTGATCAAAAATTAACCAATCAATACTTTATAATTCGTATGTTTTATGCAATTTAATAAAACTGAAATAGAGGGCATCATTCTCGGCAATCGTGGCAATAATTTTTATTATGGTAACTTGGTAACGTAAAGTGCAAATAATCTACAATTTATGTTGTAAATAAGGTCTACCATACACTTTCTTCAATAACAGATTTAACGATGACCAAATTATTTAATTGATATCTAATGATGTAACGAGAAGCAGTTGTAATCACAATGATTTGTTTGTAATCATTAAAATCTGGCGCCGTCCAGCGCCCTCGTAACTACGCATGGCTGTATCATCATGTCATAATGATACATTTACGCTATTTTAGTCAAATCAACAACTCTCGAACGAAAATTTATTATTTTTCGCAGCATGGGTTTATAACAGTAATTTCAGATAGACATACGGGTATATAGAATGTACTCAGAGTATGGATATTTGATCAGAAAAGAAAGACGTCAGGGAAAAATCTTTTAATAAGATGAAAGTTAATGGAAGTTAAATCGAACAACAGAGTGCGGTAGTCTCGGCAGGTCGATGGTGCTGTTCGTACCGACGGCCCGTCCGCAGCTGTCTTTGCTTCGCGATGCGTCCACTGATGTGTGTTTCTGCACATGGCCGTGCCGCCCAACGGGCTTCTGCATTGTTCTACGGTTTTTCGCACTTTGCTACCGGTAAATGAATCTATTATAGTTAGTTTTTTCATTCGTACGATTAAAGGACACACGATCCATGTTTTAAATAATATCAGAAGCCTTTTTCCTTGATAACTGTAATTTGTACCTGGAAAATTGAGTCACGGGTAATATCACATCAATGTTTGATCTGTAACGTAGACTTCGAATTTTATTCACATCTTTAGAAATTTCACTGCTTTTAAAATTTCATTGATTCTTACACGAGTTTCTACTAGGAAAATACTTTTAAGTAGTGTTTTTTTTTCTTCGGAAAGTCATTATGTTGTAATCGGATATTCAAGGACGCACAGTGACAAACCGTGACTTCTACAGTATTATGGTTCGCTAACAAATTGTGTACTTCTAAAATTTCATACAATCTAAAACTATTCACAATTCTAATTTTCAATCGAATGATATATGTAATTTCTTTTAAATCGAAGAATTTCCTGAATATGAAGACATATGTTATTTATTAATTTTGATAATATTTCTCTTCTGATGGCTGAACATTGACAGGCTTCTAATAGAAGCAGTTCTATAATATCGAGCAACAAAAGAAATTTTTTGCATATAACATAAAATTACATATTTTTTTATGTTGTACTTACTCATTTGTTTCATATAATTATATATGCATTTTCTAGTAGAATTACAAAAAGTCATAAACATATTTGTTCTTTCTAAAGAATGCTAGATATTTACTTTATTGTATTATTTTTTTTTAGGATTGTACCTACTATTTTTAGAAGAATCATATAATACAATATATCCACCATGACTACATCATCAGAAGATGTTTTAATGCAAGTAGGACAAGTTCGTTATAAGAAAGGAGATGGTACTTTATATGTTATGAATGAACGAATAGCTTGGATGCTCGATAATAGGGACACTGTATCTGTCAGTCACAAATATGCTGACATTAAATGTAAGATCATCCGTGTAATATTCAAAATACTGTTTAATAAAATAAATATTCCAGAAAAAACATAATGCTATAAATTCATTGTATTCTTTCATTATTTTGACTTTTTATGTTGTTTACCTATGTTAAAAAAATCTATATATTCAATTATAACAAAAGATATCACCGGAAGGAAAGTCAAAAATACAGCTACAAGTTGTACTACACGATGGTTCATCATCTACATTTCATTTTGTAAATAGAAATGGGCAGGAAGCACAAATTAAAGATCGTGATGATGTAAAAGAGTTACTTCAGCAACTATTACCAAAATTTAAGAGGAAAGTAAATAAAGAATTAGAAGAAAAAAATAGGTAATATCATAAGTATTGTAATTGAAAGTTTTATTATATTGGTATACAATAATAAAATATTATTTACCAGAATGCTTCAGGAAAATCCAGTACTGCTTCAATTATACAGAGATTTAGTTATCACACAAGTTATTTCATCCGAGGAATTTTGGTCACAACATGCTGCAGAATATACTCAAGCTAAAAAGAGTCAGCGTCAAGAAATTGGTGTTAACAGTGCATTTTTGGTAAGACTTGTTTAATGTTTGAGCATAAGTTACCAGCCAGAAGAGGAATCAATCAATATTTGAACATGTTGTCTTTTAGGCTGATATAAAGCCACAAACAGATGGCTGTAATGGATTGAAATATAATTTGACTGTTGACATTATAGAATGCATATTTAAGACGTATCCTGCAGTAAAAAGAAAACATCAAGAAAATGTGCCTCACAAAATGTCAGAATCCGATTTTTGGACAAAGTTCTTTCAATCACATTATTTTCATCGAGATCGTATCAATGCAGGGACCAAGGACCTATTTACCGAATGTGCCAAAATAGACGATCAAGAATTAAAGAAAGATATTCAGTCGGGTATTGATGATCCATTGGTGGATATTACTTCGTTCGAAGATCAAACTTTGGATGAGAACTACGGAAGTGGACCCAGCAAATCTGACAAAGTTTCAGGAAATATTGTACATCAAAGTATGATCAAAAGATTTAATCAACACAGCATAATGGTTTTAAAAGCCAGCACTGCGAAGCAACTTATCCAATCAACTCAACCACAATTAAATGGATCTGCTCCATCCGTGAGTAAATCTGCTACACTTTCTGATCGATTAGATGAACCACCAAAAACCAAAAAGGTAAACTTGTGCACAAATTTCATATTAACACATAGCCAACCGTGCGCGAAACGTCGATTGAAAGATCTCCCCATTCGGTGGCTAAGTGTTAATGAGTGGACTATTAAACATTAGCAATAGAACCAAAACATTTGTATGGTTTTCAGCTTAGAATACAAGAAAAATTAACGTACGACGACCTTGACTCAAGCTGTGACATAAACACAAAGAATAGTACACCGTTAAATTTGGCACACATAGATAGATATTTACACGGCCCAGTACCAGGATATGGCAATACAGTACCGACATCGGAAGAATTGGCTGACAGGAAATAGTATACCGAGGCAATTAGCAACCTCATTAGTCAGTCCAGCTGCAGCCGTCTCAGCTTTAGGAGAATTAACTCCAGGTGGTTCCCTAATGAAGGGCTTTAGAGAAGAAAGTCTTGGACGTAAGTATATTGTTATTATTATGACAGAAACTCGAGAAATTGAAATACTATATGTACATAAGAAGAAGTGTTATTTGAAACATTTCGTATTCTATCTTCTGTATGATCGTAGAACTAATACCAAAGGATTTAGAAAAAGAGTTACGTAACGTTTATGTATGCACATGTGAACTCCTGAGGCATTTTTGGCGTAGTTTTCCACCTACAACGCCACAGCTTGAAGAAAAGGCAATTAGAATGCACGAAGCATTACACAGATTTCATTCTGCTAAACTTAAACCGTTTGAAGTAAGTTTTATTAGTAGTTATACCCTTTGTTTATCTGTTTATATTGTATGTCTAACATTTTTATCCGTTTAGGATCGTGTTCAACGTGACTTTTCCGCTGTCAGTCAACACTTGACAAGTCATTTAAATCAGCTGTTAAACACGGCGTATAGAAAATTTGCAGTCTGGCAACAACGTAAAATGCAAATGAGGTAGCCGTTAAATAATATGTCGTATAAGTGAAAAGAGCGTGAATAAAACAGAGCAATATTGGCCATCCTGCGTATATTGCATTTTGTAATGTTACCATAATTAGGAATTATGGGTGTGTCTCGTAAAAACCAAAGCAAAATCGTATCGTGCATCCCGTTCTGCCTGATATTGTTTATTTATTCTTACGTAATCATGTTTATTATTGTTTTAAAATTTTCATTAGTATGTTACACGAATTCATTCGTAAGATAATATGTACTTCATTATTAGTAGTTTCATAATATGATGTAATGTATAGATTATTTATTTACTTTTTCTAGATTATAATGTATCTTGTTGCTTATTTTGTGACGCTTTGTCGGTTATATTATGATGAAGTTTTGAAAAAATTAAAATATTTAGATTTGTAAAAAAACATTACATATGGAATAAAAGTAATATTTATAAATTTTTTAAAAAGAATTGTGGAGGATATATAAGATTTGTAAAATGTAACCGTTTAGACAACTATGAGTACAGAAACATTTAAATATTGTACGATATCAAAGTAGCTGTGATACTGCCACTGTACAGCTTTTATGAATAGATTTCATCCCTGTCAATTACCTTGATTTCCTCTTTTAATTGCAGTGCTGTATTTGTAGTAGTAGAGTTACAATATTGTACATATTTTGTTTGTAATAGCGTAAACGAAAAAAAGGCGAAACATATTTATCTAATGCGCAAGAAGACAACGTATTTGATGCAGTTTGCGCTTGCGTCACAAATTATGCATCACGAATTTTTCATGTTAACACGGTGGCATCGGTATACTTTTCAGGGTATCTGCGATATACTCAACCAAGTGTCTTAATTGTTGAATCCTATTTTTTTTTATAGTAACAGGTAAGACAATTTACAACATGAGATTTCATAAACTGCCTGCTCACTTTCTCCATAGTAGCAATAATTTGGCAGTTATTCAAATGAGTGATACGTGTTTCCAACAGTAACGAAACGATCATAATCGCAAGTTACGCCATTATTATTATTATTATTATTATTATTAATACTATTATGATAATAATTATAAATATATTCTTACATTACAATTATAATAAATCTTATTATTATGCATACCAATATTTAATTAATAATATCTTAATAAATTACAATAAATCGTTTTTGTATTAGAAGAAAATATAAGACAATTTTCATAATTAGTAGTGCTCTGTTTACATGTTGTATCGAAATAATCATGTGCACGAAATACACTTCATAGTGAAGAATTAGATAGATTAATAGTATAAAAAAGTCTACTATTATAAATCATTTCGAAAAAGATAAAATGCACGCACTAAACGAATATGTACGATATTCTGGAGTTGGTTTCGCAATCAACAGGTGTACTTGCAAGGCAAGCACTCGTGCACACACATCGTTTTTTCTATATTTTATATCGATCTATATGGTTCTCTGAAAACTCTTTTGTTCCTTCGAAATAAAGAATATTATTTTCTCATATACGTACACTGGTAGAAGGGCAAAAGAGAAAGAGATAGATCAGAAAACATACTAGGCTCTGATTTTCTTGAAAAAACCCGCTCGCAGAATCTCTTTTTCTTGATGATAGTTTGATAGATGGCGCAATTCATTGTTGATTCGATTCAAAATGGCGGCCTATAATGAGCACTGCAGGGTAACATTGTTCAATTCCCCGCGATAAATGAGCCCGTGGGACGGTAACTAAGCGCGGTGTGTGCGTGAGTACCGGGTCTAGGGTGTACCCGGAATGTACACTTTTCTTTGGATGATCGAATCATGTGAGCGTAATCACGGTCCCAACCGATCGTGTGTCGTGCGTTGGCCAAGTTTGTGTAGCCATATTTATTGTGTTATTCGGTGAGACGTTATATCTTTTTGTACACCGGCAAATGTAATCAGTATTTAAGACATATGGCTGTACATTGCTCAAGGAGAAATTATCGTTTCAGCAACTATTGGTGACAAAAAATGTGGCGATTTTATTACCTATGATAAAGATCGATTATGCACGTACGAAACATTGAAGGACCATATCACAATAGGTCATGAAAAGACGCTACACTAGGTTCTCTTCGATTCTTAAAAACTGGCGCACATCTGTTATTAGTTTCTTTTTATATAAACCTTTGTTTCTACAATTTGCGAACAACACAACCTGTGCAATATATCGAAAAACGTTGGCTCGTTTGATATCCGTACTAACATACATAGTGTTGTTTTGGTGCCTGAAGGATTTTACAAAAAACGTAAGTTTTTCCGTATGAAATTGTATGTCCGTTTATTTTTTCTAGTATTTTAATTTGTTAGCTTCACGATTTTATGGATTCAGTGACAACAGTGCTCGAAGAGAAATAAAAGTAACAACAAAGTATTTTGACAGTACATACATATTGTTATTGTTATGATAAACCAATTGATATGTTATTCAGAAAATAATATATTTAAAAGAGCGTCTGTAGTTTCGTGTTATAGTATATAAAGTATTTAATTCTACTAATGGTATGTTTATTACAAAATTGTTGTGTGGAATGTAAAATATTTTTCACATTGTTAATAAAATACCTGTGTACTGGTTTTCTAAGCACATACACAAAGTGATTACATATTTATTCTATTAACTTAATACAAATATTAAAACCAAGCATTTTTTCTTATAAAACATTTTATATAATTTTCATATTATTTGTAATTTTTAAATTATACCTAAGAACAATATGTGTGTGTGTGTGTTTTTTTTTTCAGAATAAAATGGAGAAACCATTATATCATATTGTCAGCCCTTATTGGATGAAAGTTTATAGACTCTATATACAGTGAAAGAGTTTTCGGTATACTTTTTTTACTTACTACAAAGAATGGACGTACAAAAGTTGTAAGAAAAAGTTGTGTTATGAATATCACAGAATATATGTGTAACATTTATAAAGAAGAAAGTCTGCTGTACGTGGACCAAGCAGGCTAGGCACCACTGTGCCAAGCTTGGGTAATGGATCCCGTTGGTCCATGGTATGCAACGTATAATCGTCTTACTGCAGCTAGTGCAACCAATACATTTCAGTCGACACCTTCAAGCACAAGTAGTGATTTTGTATCTCATCACTTAGCAACAGCTGTTACTCAAGCAGTTCCATCGACCACGTCACAACTAATTTTACAAGCAGCGCATACAACAGCAACTCTGGCGGGTCAACCATCTCCGTTTAACCCAGGGGGGTTTTTGTCTCCACCCCCTGTGGGATACGATGTTTTCTCGCCTCTGTTTCATCATCCTAATCCTAAGCAGGCACATTATGTTACTCAGCATAGACAAGCTCTTGCTCAAGCACAAGCAGTATCAGTCACAAAACAGAATACTACAACGGAACCCGACATCCCTATATTACGGGAGAACTATAGTTCGGCGCATCAACCGACGTTTTTTGAGCATCAGAGTGCAACTACATCGCCTACATCTACATTAGCCTGGACTCATCAAAACAACACGCAATTACCAAGTCCGTTTGGCATTTTACCCCATGAAAGTATCGTTCCATCGTCTCCAGGACCATCGCCTACGACAAAACCTACTACGACTGGTGTTTATGAAAACACGTTTAATCCTCATTTCTCTACCAGTCAAACTATCAATAACATAAATTCTCAGCTGCCTTCACCTGCTGTCTCTGCTTCTGAGTTCAAACCAGCCAATTATCCAGATAGTAAGAAAGCTATTAACGTTAAACCAGCAGTTTCTACATCACAAGCGAGTAGTAATCAAACTTTTTTTCAACAAGTACCTACGACCTTCAGTTCTGAGACATTATCGAACAGTTATTCTGCCACCAATGGAAATCAAACTCCAAATGGAAAGGTGCAGCAGCCTCCTCTACAGCATCAACAACAATCGTGTATTGTTTCGACCCCGAGCATCAAGATAAACAATCTACTCGAAACAATAATTTCACTTCTCCACCAAATAAGATAACAACTACATCCCAACAAAGTATTCAGACAAAAGCTCAGACAAAAATATATCCAGAATTAAATACTCATAGCGAACACAGACGAAACGAACAAACGTCACAGGATAGTACGCAATCGTCTCCTATTAGTTTTTCTATTATGGAGTCCCGAAGTTTGAACTACACAGTTGGAAATAATACAAATTGTTCAAGCACCAGTGGGAAAATTGGTAATCCAAGAACTCCATCAAACAGCAACTTACAAACTCATTCGCAACAATCGCAGCAGCAGCAGCAGCAGCAGCAGCAACAACAACAACAACAACAACAACAACAGTTTCATATCATTAATCAACACCAACAACAACCGCAGCAGCAGCAGCAAACATCGTATAGACATTATATAGCAGGATCTGATTCAGAATATCATCATTCAGGAAGATCCAAGTCTACAGCTTCAACAGATTCTGCTTACTCTTCCAATAATTCTGCTCAAAGTGGACCTGATTGTAGTGTTGTTGTACCGCGAAGGCCAAGTCCATTACAAGCACATTCGCAAGCAAGTCCTTTGGGGCATGTTCCCAGTCCTGCTTATCCTATGTACAATAGTCCAATGGCTGCGATGTCATCTCCTTCTCCCTTACAACAACACGCCGAAAATAATGGAAATCAATGTGCAAGTGGACCACCTTATAAGGGTACTGTACAACAACAAGTTACACCTCCGTCGCCATTAGATGTTACTGTACCGCGACCTGCATCTCAGGGACAAGTTGTTTATTCATCGGTTATCACACGAGCTTTAGGTACCACTGAAACTAAAACTACTTATAATGCGGATAATAAAACTTACGATAGACAACAACATGATTTTCCCCAAACACAAAAACAAATATGTTGGGAAAATGATAATCGGAATCCGATAGCCAATAGAAAGTTTTCTGTTGCTTTATATACTGGTGGAAATGCTGAGGTAAATCCTCAGAGTTTACCAGTTCAGCAACAAGTACAACGAGTAATAAATGTTTCGGACAGGCAACAGGCATATTTTGAATCCAACCAAGTAACTCTACAAGACTTAAGCAGTTGCAGGGGTGATCCTATGAGTATAGTAAAGAATTTGCAAACTTTACAACAAAGTTCTTGTCAAGTACAACAACAAGCTGCTGCTTCTGTTACTTCAACTGAACAACAGAAACAAACGGAAGAACGTCGCAAAGTAGATACTGTGAATAAAAAGAGAAAGAATGTAGAGAAGAGTGGTCATAGTTCTTCTTTGAATGAAGTAAGTGGAACAACAACGGTAACAGAATATCTGAGTAGAATACCACCACCAGCGCATCATAACGCAAATCAACAGCAACAGAATGGCTATTTTGATTTTGAGAGATGGAATTTACCTCCGCCACCCGCTAAAATGTTTCCCGGTACGTCGGGTGCTTTTAGTTCGCAATCAACCTTACATCATTCAAGTAACTTCGTCGGTACACCGGCGCATCAACACCAGTCTCTGATGGTGTCTCATCATCATGCTCCACCTCCGATTCCATATTTTCCTGCTTTTCATATTCCTCCAAGCCATCATCATCCACATGAATTTCAATCTTCTGTTGAGATCACGCCTATTGGTTTTGGTGAAAATACGATCAATCAAAATGCTACGAATTATAATCAAGAAATCAGAGATGATCAGCCTAAAGTGATTGTTCCTAATATCGAAGAAGAATTAGGTTTTTTACAACAACAAAGTCACCAACCAGTTGAAACAAATAATTTATTAAATAAAGATTTTAAACGACCCAATAAAGACCCTAACTCGGGATTTATGACGAGCTATTTAAAGTTCTTGCAAGGTGAAAGAGAACCTTCACCTCCACCTGCAGTTCGTGGTGGTAGAAAAGCAACTTGGAGTAGGTCGAAACCTTATATTCCTGTGGAACCCAGTAAATCGGTGGACAGTTCTACAAATGGAGAGGCAGTAAAAACACATCCAGAAAGACCACCACCGCCTAAAGAGGCACCAGTAATTGATTACGCTAATGATCCTCGATATTTTCCGTTACCGAAGGAGCGGAAAAAGCAGGTTTTTGACTCGAGCGATGATGGTTTTACTAGCGATGACGATTTCCTGTTTCCACCTAAGAAAGCTGAGAAAAAAGCAACAAATGTAAATATTCCTCAAATAGCGGAAAAAACTGTGACCGTTAAAGCAGAATGTAAATCTAAGAAGGGAAGACCGATTAAACCCGGAGGACCGACAGATAGAAAGAGAAGAGCTGCCACAGTTGCAGCAACAGAGACGACGACACTTTCTACATCTGGCAAAACTTCGAAAAAACACGAAGAAGGTAATGTGCATATCTTGTTTTCTTTTATTATATTAAAATATTATGTTACAATTGAACTATTGTCTTACAGTGGACCCGTTACTTCTACCTCCAAGACGAGAAACATCGAGGAGGAAGGCGAAAGAAAAAACTTCGGTAAAACAATTTCTAGATCGGCAACAGGGTATAGACTACTTTGATATTGACGAAGAACAAGGTGATTCCGATTCTGATCCTGCTTGGACGCCTGCTGTGAAATTGGTTGGGGACGAAGAAGAAAAGAAGAAGAAACGCGGCAGACCTGTTATATCGAAAAAAAGCAAAAAAATCATAGAGGATAGCGTTTACTGTCCCGGTACTGTAGTTGTTTCAAAGAGTAAGACCAGAAAAAAACATGAATCGAAATCGCACTCGAAAATCTCCAGTGTCACTGGAAAGTTGTCTTGCAAAATAGACGAAAAACTCATAGCGTCTGTCAGTGATGAAGATATTGATATTTCGCCGTTCAAGGTATGCCATTCAATTAGTATATCTAATTAATATTCTGATAGTGCGCATGTACAAAAATGAATATTCATATATTGCATGCAGCGTTCTGTGGAGAATTCAGAAGATGCGGTAAATCCTTTTTACATGTATAAGTATCAAAGTATTTTAATTCAAAAGTTTCAAATTTTCTGTTTTGCGTTTTGTACTACGCATCTTTCTCGTTAATAAAAATTAATTAAAAAACGAATTTACTTATGATATAATTACGGGCGTATTACGTTTTTCTAGTCCGGAGAATTTGTTGTAATGAAAACAGATTTGGATGAGGAATATCCGGCACTTTGGCGAATAGATGGGAAAACATTACTACAAAAATACGAACCATTTAAGTCTAATGGAAAAACTTTATACAGAAACATATCCACAGTAAGAAATAGAATATTTTGTTTTTCCCCAAAACATGAACATTCCGTCGTACATATTCATGTAACAATATTTTTTAGTATTCGGGTTGGGCACCACAAAATCGCCACATATACCAGCAGGTTCCAGTGAAGTTTTGGCAACAAGGCAAGACAGAAACTGTAGTAGAATTCTTGAGAAATGAAATGATCATCGATGATAAGTAAGTTTCAGTGATAGTGTTTGATTAATTATTGAAGAAATTTAAAGAGACGTTTCAATTTTCCAATTTGTAGCGAAGGTATTGAGAAATACATGAAAGAAACTGAAAAATTTCAAGATAATTTCGAGGTGTATATACAAACATTGATCTCACAAGCTTTAGATTCTAATTTCCTTACAGAAATATTTCAAGAACAAGGTATGGTGTTTGCTTGATACGTATTTATGTAGGTTTTCAATTTTGTTTAATAATTGAATGTTTTTCTTCCCATTAATTTTCTATAGATGATTACTTTCTATCGAACGTTAAGACTGTTGATGAAGTAACCGATGAGAGGAAACGTCGTCTATTGTCAACGACAAAGTGGCGACTAAACGTTGTAAATGCAATATCAACCTGGCCATGTCTTAATGTTCTTAAAGATTTATCATCCATAGAGTACAAAGGGAAATCTTGTGCTGGTTGCCAACAGTCCAAAATTCATGCCAGAGTTTTACTATACGGTCAGCCGTACAATGGTACTACGTTAGAAGGTTCTCCGCCTGATCCGAGGATACCTCAAGAAAAAGTATTGTTTACATAATTTCTTAATGGTTCCTTTTACAATACATATATAAATGTTATAACATAAAGTACTCATATGACCGTTCTTACGATATGTTTGCCAGGATTTTTTATTATGTCGTGTATGCCAAGCGAAGGTAGCTTTGTACAACAAGGTAGCTCATCAGAAATATTTGATGTTTTTGGAGTGTGCAAGAAGAGTTGCGGACAAAAGAGCAGCAGACCCTAATAAGGACACGACGATTATACTGAATGAATTATTAGCGGATGAGACATGGTTAAATCAGGTAAGTTACAAAACAAATTCTTTTTAAATAATCCATATCGCAAAGTATTTGTAGATAAATAAAGGAAAATGTAACGTTTCTCAGCTGTTTAAAGAAGTTAGGACTATCTGGGCGGAAATTTCCAGTTTGGAACAACAAGCTAAATCAAGATCAAACCCAAAATCTACTTTCTCGTCTTCAGTGTATAATTCTGGAGAAACGACTGAAAATGTTTCAACGACGCAAACTGAAACAACTGTTGAGACTTCTGATTCACAGGTGCCTACACAGAAAACTGGAGAGAATTCTGATACAGTGTCTTGCGAGGTGCAAATGAACAATATAACATCTTAGTGGTGCTATGATAATCATTGGTTTTGTTTAATATTTGATGTCACAAAACCGTTACGAGGTTAGTGATATATTGGATTTATGGATATAAAGTTAACACCAGTTTCGAGACCAAACAATTGAATATGATGTATTTTGGGGATGATAAATGTTTAAATCAAGTTAATATTACACGCTGTGACGTACGGTGAAATTAAATATTAATGTATAATCAAGAAACTATGGTTACGATGATAAGAAATAGTAAACAGCGAGGTAAGTAAGAAACGATTCGTGTATAAGCATCAGACATGTGTAATATATTCATCCCTGCGTAAAAATTAGGAAAGAGCCCAAACTTTGCCATTGTAGTAGCATAATGATAGATTTACAGAATATTTGTGTGAATACAGACCTTTAGTTCTAGAATTTGTATCGTGATAATCTTATATAAGATGAAGGTCTATTGTGTTAAAAGATCTGATAAAATACGAAAGACAAACGATTAGGATAAAACTTACAAAGTGATATGGCATATAGAACATCGTGACCTTCTGCAACCTATTTACGTACATCACACTCTTTAATACCGCGAAGGTCTATTCTCTGTAAAAGCCAGAGATTGTTACGCTGCTCGTTCCTCTAAATGTAATTTTTTAACTCATTGTGTATTTTATATATGTATACATATATACATATATATACAGGTATGTCCCAAAAAGGTGGGACAATCCGTAACATGGATATTCCTCATGCAAATACAAATCGAAAAGTCCTTTACCGTTTTGTAATCTGAAGCTCCATTTCCAAGATATTAGCAGTTAAATTAATTCGACTTAGTAGTTAACAATCAGCTGAGCGGTGGACCACACACCACACGTACATGCCAAGGACACAGTCAAGAAGCAGAGGCCAGTGACTTCGGTCGTGCGCTTCTTGACTGTGTCGGCACGTACGTGTGAGTTCGTTGAACTGCTAATATCTCGGAAACGAAGCTTCAGATTACAAAATGGTAAAGGACTTTTCCATTTGTATTTGTATGAGGAATATCCATGTTGCGGATTGTCCAATCTTTTTGGTATGGGATATATATATACATATATGTCTATATATATAGGTATGTATGTACATAAAGTAATTTACCATTATCTTTTTTAATAATTTCATAAATGTAAAACGGTATTTATGTTTGTGTTAATTTGTATATAAGCAGATCGTAAAGGTATAAAATTTACACGTATGAAATACGTTAAAAACATCATCAGATGTACCGACACAGCATTCTTTTAATACAATGTTTTATAGTAAATGAAATATTTTGAAAATATGCATTGTTCTCTTATTATGAAAGAACATTAGACATATTGTAGAACATTTGTACATATACATATAAAGGTACTTTTGATAGGATTAGAAATATTTTCTTCTATATACCTTCAGTTTATCATGTTTTGTCATGTAACTTCCATAATTTAGTGCATTGCAGTATATTAGTAATTCAAGTACTAACTAGTCTCTGAATTCTTCCATGCTAAAATTACATTTAACAGGCAAATGCTTCTCATTTTACAAGATATGAATAGAACATTAACATTATTTTATATTATTTATTCTTGCGAATAGTACAACATATTAGTGAATGATGCATTAAAACTTAAATTATTGCAATTAAAAATGATATCTATTTTCATGGAAATTCTGGTTGTATCAATGTTTAATATATTCAGTTTTATTCTGGAGAACTACATTTTATTAGCATTTGCCATATTATTCAAATTCTCATCGTATATTCGTTTTCATATTTTATATAAAAATATTTATTACATCTAATTTAGAAACACACCGTTTTTATCCGCGAATGTTTAAAACTCGTTTATTGTAGTTTTAATAATTTCGATAAATTGTAATTCAACTTAAAAATAATGGCAATATCATAATTATATAATTTTTGAGAAAAGGATTTGTACTATAGCGAACAATTCGAAGACCTCGGAGTTGGAATATATTTTACGAGTAAGGACGTTTCTATCGATACTTTCCCTTTACTAATTGCTAAATGTCTATTGATAGAATAATGTTCGCTATCAATTGTGCTGTACATTACATATTATACTTTACATCATATTATTATGTTATACCTATTATTATCTTTATTATAACTGTCACTATTATTGTTTACATCTTAAAATCGTTTAAGTTTTTGATCTGTTTTAGATTCGTTAAGAAAAAAATATTCTCTAAACACGAGAGTGGTGATATGCGTGTGTGGCGCGAATGTATTTTTCGAAGACGATATATCAAATTATATTTGTAAATTGTAAAAATATATTAGTAAAGGCAAGTGACCGCTACAACAAAGCCATACGGCTTCATACATCTTTCATATGCTATAATGAATTGGAACTATTGTATTAGTGATCACTGTCGGATTCACCGAATTGTATAATAAATTATTGGAGGAACTTAAAACCTAAAAATGCGGGCATTTGGACACTGGCGCAGTAACAATAAAGGAAAGTATGTAGTTCCAAAAGATTTTTTTCTAGCAAACGTGCCATGCAGTATTTCATATCGATACTAAGTTTGTGCTATATACATACACATACAAAATACACATATAAATTTATATTCAAAGTTCTATAATTAGATTGTTATTAGTTTGCGGATTTTATACATTTATGACACACGTAAATGTGTAAAATACAATAAAACAGTAACTTTAGAAAAGATTAATATACATTTTATCTTATTTTTAAATTCATAAACCTATTAATCTATGGAACAACATTTTTCTGTGATTAAGTATTTCGTCTAAATAACCAGGGAAAACGAGTATTTACTTTAAACATCCGCAAACTAATCCGTAAATTACTAAAAATGTACGATCACTATAAGTGTATTGTTTGTTTCATTTGATAACAGTAGATGCGACAAAAAATTGAAATATATAGCACTTGCTTAAAATAAAGTCATTATTGTCAAAGTTATAGGAATTACTGATACTATAGTTTCTTTAAAAATGAAAAAAGTAAACATTCATTTGTTGAATTGTAAATTTTCCATGAATTTGAACACAATGAAAATTAAGTGTAAAATTTCTTGTCCATACAAAGTTACAGTATTTCTGTTATCAAAATTAAAAAAACAAATACGATCAATTTATGGTGAAATATTACTCGTAAAACTTGTGTTTTTATGAATCTTTTTAAATAAAATAAAAAAATTATATAAAACTGTTTATAACATTGATTTTTTAGAAATATTTTTAATGTTACTTATCGTGTACATAAATAATAAGTTTATGAATGTTTGTGGATTCATGTGTGGAAAAGCTATTTGTTAAAATATAACTACGAGATAAATTAAATTTACTTATTATTTAAGAGCAAAGGAACAAAGGAAAACTTATTGGCATTATTCAAATTTTAATCGTTGTGAGCAATCATCATTAGAGAAGAATAGAATTTTGTTGATTTCAATGCAATCATAGTATTAAAAACGTAAAAATTTGTAATAAGATTTAATTTTCGAATTTAACAATGAAAGTAAGGGTCCTGACGAAAAGTAATTACTGCACTGACTTAGAGGTTACGTTCGAGTTGAGAATGAGCATGCGCTTGACTACACAACCACAGTAACCACTTCCCTTTCCCTGTACCCCGCGGCTTCGTTGCTATTCTGATTTCCAGTTCGCGTTTGTTGCCCGTGAAGGATGCCTTCTGCCAACCCTAAACTAGAGAAACAGGCCTCTACGGAGACCGTAGAACCTATACGCCAGGCGATAATCGTTATCGAACATAAAATACGGAATCTTGAAAAACGTAAGGTGAGTACTCGAATGATACTTACACAAGTAATACTCGGAAAACTATCTGTCAGTTGATGGCTTTCACGGTACAATCCGCCATGATTGGACACGCCATGTGCTCACGCTCGAGAATTCATAGGCATCTAATGATTATATTAAGATCAATTAACCCTTATTATGGGACTTTTTAAGTGATCCCTTCCCATTGTAACTGATTTATACCGGTATCGTTCCTTTTTGTACGTTCGAATACCTAAATTTACTTATCACGAACCTCGTGTCATGGCGGTATCTTCCAAAGTTTTGCATAAAACTTTACATGACACGCTTTCGAGCCGCTACCGGTAAACGATATTATGCGATACAACATTTGGTTCGGTGTAACATTAACGATTCATACCTTCAAATTTACGTATACAAATTAGTACGCGTAGTCCTATATTTACATAGAACATCGGTAGTTTTTCGTTTGTCCTTTTTCTTCTTTTCGGTATTTACGCAGATACTCTGTTCTTTATAATCGTACAGTCTACTATACGTAAATGATTACTAGTTATTATACACAAACCTGATTAGAAATTATTCAATTACTTTTTTGAAACTCTAACCATTTTTTACTTTATAGATATGTACTTGTATACTAGTATGTTCATATCCCTGTACATAAGGAATGTATAAAAATCATAGAAAGATATATAAGTTAACATTACTATTTATATGCTTATATATGATTAAGATGCTTTAGTATAATCAAAAATATTTGTACGTATAGGTCAAATTGGAATCATACAAAGATCTACAAAAAAATGGAAGGGAATTGAACACAGATCAAAAGACAGCCGTGGCCAAATATGACGAAGTATTACAAACGTTGGATATTACAAGAGAATTATATAAGCAAATTCTTGGCATTGCACAAGAAGCAGTTAAACAACAAAAAAAAATGGCGAGAAAGGAAGCAATTGAAAGGATGCAGCAGGATATTGCAAAAGTAAATTTATAATTTTATTACGAAAAATTGATGTTTAAAATACGGATAATTGGTATAGAAGTCTGTTCAATACTTCGCACATGTGTTTGTTACAGGTGCGAGAGGTTCTTCTTATACAGGATGCTTTGATGAACATGGGAACAGACTCTATTAGAGAGGATTTTCTTACTGGCAAAAATGGTGCTGTGAAATTATCAGAGGAGGATTTAAAATATTTGGACAGCCTATATAATGAAGTTATGACAAAACATCATCGGGAAGGTGAACCAACTTTCCTTCAACAAGTACAAAAAGTAGCAGAACATTATGTAGCTATTGTTGATGGAAAACAAAGAGAAGTTGTTGGTACAACATATAACAAATTAAAGGAAATTATTAATTCCATTAACCAGTGTGGCTATTTCGATCAAGTCCGTGAAGTCGAAACTGCAGTAGAAGTAAGCCACAACTTTTGTTTTAAAAGATTTATTTTGTAGAAACATTATTAAATCTTCTTTTTTGCAGGTTACAGAAGCAATTGCAGAGACACAAGTATCTGAAATTCCTGCACAAGAACAAATCAGTGAAGAATATAGTAGCAGCGAGAGACACATTCCACCAGAGTCTATGATTCCTATTCCTAATTTTCCAGTGCAAGTTGCTCCTCTTCCTGTAGTTTCTGGCACTGCCCCTGTTTCTGGTCCTATTCCTGTAGTGGCACAACCAATTCCACCGCATCCTGCTGCACCAGTCGAAACATCTTACTACACAAATGCTACAGGATTTATTCCTCAACCACAACAGCAGCAGCAGCAGCAATCTCAACAAACGCAGCAACAGCCACCACAAGCCCCTAGAATTAACGATGTCATAGGAACGCCAAATTTCTTTTTCCTGCAAGAATCTGAGCTTGATTCGCCAGACGTCACGTCACAGGCACCTATTGTTTCACACGCAACCAGTGATATACCAACATCAACCACCACAGGATATGTCCCACATACCTGGATTCGCTAATCCGAATCCACCTCCGCCTATTCCAATGCCACCGTCTCACCAACAACCGAACATGCAGTATAGTCCACAGCATCCTGCAAACTTTCAACAACAACCACAGCAACAAACTCCTTCACAACAAATACCACAGCAAACACAGACACAGAACTTTGAACATCAACAAGAGAATCAGCAAACCACAGAGGTATTTTCGACATAGTGTTAAATGTTTACTATGCAACTGTGTTTCTTAGATGTTATCAATATATTTACTTTTTAGGAGAAGACAGAAGAAAACCAAGACGAAACAATAGCACCAGAATCTGAATTGGAACAACCAAATGAGCCTGTAGATTGGTGTCAAATAACTGACGCTAACGATTGGAATCAGGTGGATCAATCGCAACAACCTACTCAAGATTCACAACAAGAACAACAACAACAACAACAAACGTCTCAGCAAGCTTGGGGCGATCAACAACGCAGTGGGTACAAAGGTAGGGGTGGAAAGAGAGGCAATTCTAATGGGTACAATGGAAGGGGTAGGGGCAGCGGTTATCAACAGAATGGACGTGGTGGACAAGGTGAGCAATATAAGGAATATTTAGAAAACATGTAGTTATCTTTGGTAATATTCTATACGTTCATCATTTCTTAGGAACGTATTATCGTAACGATAGCAATTATCAGAACGGTTACCAACAACGTTCTTGGGGAAATAACGAAGGTAACGGCGGTTATAACTCTGGCTATAAAAGGGGTGGTGGTGGACCAAGAGGAGGTCCGCGAGGTGAGCGTGGCATGGATAGAGGAAGCCGAGGACAGTTTCGTGGTCAAAGGGGTGGAAACCGTGGTGGTTACACGCCCCGTGGTAAACCCCATGCACAACAGTAATTAAAACGCGATAGAACAGTGCACAGTGAAACATTATAATAATGTTGTAAGATCATAATTCAGTTGTCTATTTATGAAAAAACCTAAGCTGTATCTTCGACATTAACAAAACGTAGGATAAACTTTATGCATGGTGGTATGTATAGGTTTTAATATATGAAACTGCAACCTTGACGTTCACGAACGACTAATTAACTGTTTTCCTAATTGGTTTACGTGAATTGCAGAAGGAAGAAAATGCTAGTATTGCGTGATTTTGCACTTACTCGTTTTGATATGACGAAAGAGAAAAAAAAAGTTGCGTGAAAAAAAGATACATTTTATATTTTCTTTTTATACGGCTTAGGGTGTTTCTTAAATGAGACGTTGAATAACCAAAATTTTGCATTTGAATTTGGTATCTGCGATTATCAGGGGAAAGATCCTATTAATATTAACGAGAAGATTATGCAGACGTAATATTGTGATATAAGAAGAGATCAACCAAATTCAGAAGTGTGAACCCACCATGCAAGTATTATTGTGTTGTGACAGAAGGCAGTTTTCACAGGGCAACAACAGCTGATCAACAAAGATTAGAAATATAATTTTATTATAAAAAAAATACAAAAAAAATGAGAACTCGTACAAGCATTTCACATAAAGACACAAGGATGTATTTAAAGAATAACGTTAAAATGATTACACGAATAGATGATCTGCACGACCATCTCTTTGTCTTGCGGCGCATCGTTCTAGAGAATTTTCTAAGGTACCAGAAAAAAAAGAGGATACAGTGAGCAATGCCTTCTAGCGCTATATATACCTTCTTAACTTCATATTCCTTTTGCGGTATATGAATTTGTGAAGCGTTTAGAGAGTTAAAGTTATCGAGATTTAGTAGTTGGAAGAGGTAAAAACAGGTTTGCGTGATACGCGAATTTCTAAACGCGTTTCTCGTAAAACACGTTTCATAATTTGTAACAAATTACGTCGCTCCCTCGTTCTGTTTTTTTCTGCGTGATTTCAAAATTCTTCACGGTCGCCTCCGCAGCTGGTCAAGTAAAAGAGATTGCAGTGCAATGTCAAGTTTATGAAGTAACATTACCTGATTTTTTTATCGCAAAATATATATGATTATTTTTAAAAGAAAGGAAGCGATAGTGCGGAGCTTTAGCATATAAGTCGAGTGTACAATTAATGACTAGAGCCAGAGAAGGCGTGTTTGAATAGTGCGCCATTGACAAAAGCCACGCTCCCGCCGCCAAACACGTGATAAGGAGTACCGTATTGTATTTTGTTTGTACATTTGTGTTTAATCACCTCCATCTACAGTTATGTTCAAATATCCTATGAATACCTATGTATCTTCCAAATAAAGATCTAATTCAACCCTGCTAATTAGCCTATCTATCGTACTCATTGTCAATATGAGAAATAACGTTTCACTTTTCTGCTTGTTCTCAGATAAAAAAATCGAATAAAGTGTTTAATTGTATTTGGATATTAATATGTACTTATTTTGTTGCTTATGTATTAAGAAAATATCGAATAATTATTGTTATTTCATATTTGCTTGTAGTGCAAAAGAATTAGTCCGTCCAATATCTCACAGATAGAGAGGGCTAGTTTCGGTTCTCACAAAGTATAAATCCTTGCACAAACTCATAGACATGGAGTAACTCCGGTACGCCTCTTGCTCGTACACTCGCGTGCAAACTCGGCTTCCGCTAGGGGAAAAAGTGCCGTAGAAGAAAAGTATTCCAGCACTTACTAAATTTATTTCAAATACAAAAATAAATATTAAACCGAATAATAATTTGGCATAAATTTCAGTAACTCCCAAAACTAAATGGTAGGAGGCCTTTCGCCAACCTCACATTTTCCCCTAGCAGAAGCCGAGTAGCACGTCGGTGTACATCGCAGAGAGGGTGTGATGGGCGATGAGGAGAAGGAATGCTCTGTACGCATGTAATGTCTCCATGGTCTTCCATTAGAAAAAGAGGAAAATTACTCCAGTTACTGTCCTCTCTTTTTAGTGCCGACTTGATCCCTACGATAAGACCGCGCAGCTATTATATATGTATATGTCTATGGATAGGAAGCATAGACATATACAGGGTGTAACAAAAATGCCGAAGGTCTCGGAAATGGGAGACTCGTCACAACTCATGAGATGATTTGAAACAAGTTTTTTCTTAGCAAAAATGTTATCCTAGGAATGCAGCCTATATTTTGTTTGTGATACCACACTGTACCACCGACTAGGTATAGAATAGACCTATCATCCAATGCTTTTTTCTGTCCAACGTTCGGAGGGCTACGTAGCCCTGTTACCATTTTAGTGTCAATATCCGACGTTACTGATAAAGCATGAATTCTGAGTATTATCACAGAAGAGATATAAGAATAGACCTAACATGCAATGTAATTTTCTGTCCCATGTTTCAAGGGCGTCAGAAGCCCCCTTACCATTTTAGTGTCAATATCTGACGTTACCGATAAAGCATGAATTCTGAGTATTATTAACACAAATGAAGTGTTATATATTCCATTCATATTGCGTGTATCTATATGATTTAACGGAAATAAAAATATCGGATGCTTCAATTTAAGGTTAAGGGATAAATATGACAGTCATGAAACATGAAACGGGAAAGTATATATTTTTTCACTTAACTACAAGACAATTTATTCTAAATGTATCGTTAATGGACATTTTATTAATGTTACTTTTTACATGTTCTTGTTTTATTCGTTTCTATATCTTGTCTTACATTTGTATATTTGTAACAGATAAATTCAGAATAGATGTAGTTTCATAAATAGTTTATCAAATCTACATGTGGGAGAATATATACACCGCTTCTATTAACATTTACATATTTACTATTTATATGGGAGTATGAATAGTTTTACTGCCTATTGTAAGAATCTTAATACGCACGAACAATTACTTTCTGGCAATTGGTAAATTTTTACATATGAATTTACTTATACGTTATTTACTTACAAAAATTTTATTTATTGCGAGTAATTAAATAATGAACGTATGTTAATATTCAGCTACGTGTCTCTCAAATTAAGTGAAATA